CTAGCCCTATCCCCAACTCCAGCCCTACTGCTAAAAGCCCAATCCAAAGCCACACCCGCATCACTTCCACCCCCAAACCCCACCATGCACAAACCCACCAAATACACCCAGCTCCACCCACATCAGGCCTAGCCCTATCCCCACCTCCAGCCCCACTGCCAACAGAGCCCTAACGAAGCCCATGCCACACCTATGCCAATGTTGCCCAGGTTCAATAGGTCTACACGTACAATATCTAATTCACAGCTTCATGCCCTAATCCACACCCATCCCGTGCCCCAACCCTAGCCCTGCTGCACCCTACCCAATCACTACAATGTAGAGGCTATTTTAAGGCCAACCAAATATTTCTTCAGTGAAGTCTTCAAACTAGTCTCCAAATTACAACTGCATATAATGTAACTCTTTGCACTGTTTTCCCTTGATTGATAGAGTACATCATTGTTATATAACACCACTGAAATCCAGCACAGATATGTAATTGAGCCTCAACCAAAAGACCAGTGAACCATCGCAACCAATATTGACTACACATCAATCCACACATGTTCATTACACAACAAGGCTAACCTTCCCGAAATTGTCTGTGTTTTAATCATTATAAAAGATGTACATGAACAACAATGAGACCAACATGTACGTACATGTCTAATAAATGTCAACATTATACAGAGGATGTTCAAAAACTATTTCTTGATATTTGGATTAATTACCTTAATGCATGCATGAGTACATTGAGAAAACACGTGCAAGCAGTGAAGCACAATATTAACTGGATATTACATTAATATTCACTGACGCCAAAAGCACCATATAAATTTTATTAGCAATAAAAATATCTTGTGACTTTACGTATGAAAGAGCAAAGAAGAGTGAACTGCCGCTGGCAGAAAATGAACCTGCGACTTATGGTCCGATGTACCAGTGCTGCACCGAATAAGTTTTCCTGCCTGGCAGTGAAGTGTCCAGAAAAAGTCAACCAATCTTTGATCAAAAGAAAGGTTCTATAAGGACATACATCGATGTAAAGTGTAGACTCGTACATTGTACATAGATTTATCTATTAAAGGCATGTGGGATCATTTGCCTTTCATGCATTTTGTTCGTTTCCAATATTAACACTACTCAAAATCCTAAGGAGAATGTTCAAAACGTAACCTGTTGAAGTTTCAGCTCAGTGGATATTACACTTGTCGAGAAAACAGTGAAAAACCATGCACAACCTTTGATCATGAAACATGATTTCGTCAATAGCACTCTTTATTGAATAAATAGTCAATTGACTGATCATTGGGAATCACCTATATTTCTTCATTTCTTCTAAGTGACAGCAAACCAGACGGAATAATTCCACAGGAATTTTAATACCAATACGATCTTTCATCCAAGTAAGCTTTTGATAATTATTCTGTAGGTTACTTTTGGGATAAATGCAATGATCCTCTGCCTTTAAGCCCTCTCCCAATAATATGTTGACCAATCACAGCCGTGATTAATGTACAACATGCGTGCACAAAAGTCTGACAGTATGCGTGCATTCATGTATGACGTGCGCAGCTGGAGCATGCAGTGTGGCATTGGAGAGGAGCACATGGTGTTGCCCTCTTGCGCAGTGGGCGGGGCGGAATGGATCCGTCTATTATTCTTTCTTCACACTTTACTACTGGCTCTGTGCACGAACTGATCGCATGTGCGTCATTTATTGACTGAATAAATGGTTACCAACTGAAAGTTCACAGAAAGTTATGCTGCATTAATAAATACCTAAGACAGTTTACCCATCCCTATTGATCGGGAGCCCGTCAAGTGGCTGGTTTTAAACAGTTGATACCACTTTTCCAGTGTCGCATGAAATTTGGACCCCTATAAACTCTTGTGCCAGCACTGTTTTACTGGTTGAACGTTCACAATCCTCACATAGGCATGCGTAATACTACCAGTGAGTCAGTATTTCATAGCCCTAATTCACACTACACTGGTACATCTGCGTTGTGCGCCACATCACGCAGGACTCTCGACGCGCCCGTTTACGTTTACCAGAGGGCCTTACCGTTGTATAGCCAGAGATGGTTTTTTTAATCACATTGTTGAAAATTTTAAATTTTTGACTTGTTTTGACTTTCGATTTTTTTTTTACTGAAAAGGTACTTTCAGTCAATGTGTAAATGGAATAAATGTGTGCTTGGTCGGTATTAAACACTATGTTTAAGACTCGTTGGAGTCTGGAATGCTGATAATTACCCTTGCCTTTGGCTTGGGTAATTATCAGCATTCCAGACTCCAACCGGTCTTAAACATAGTGTTTAAAACCTCCGAAGCAGACGTTTATTCCCTAATCAATGTTGCAGAGTTGTGGTTAAAGGTTCATGTACATGTAGAGTACGTCATTTGTCATTTGTGCATTTTTTTCGTTTGAAGCAAGAAAATTGCTCAGAATCTAAAAAAGGGTGCTTAACAACTAACCTGATGAAGTTTAAGCTCTGTGAATGCTGTATATTCCAAGAAAACAATATTCTAGGATCTCGATTTCAATTCAAAAGTTGCCGAGTCATGTTATTGAACTGCAACTGAAATCAGCATCCGGGACACGTTCTCATTCAGCCGACTGCAGCTATGCATCCATTCACGGTTTCACCGAATTGAAAACAAACTACTGACAGAAATTTCCAAAAATGCATCTTTAGACGCACCTTTGGAAATGACCTTCTTTTATCGTTTTCTTCAAAATGACAACGTGCCAGGAAGACTAATTTCACAGGTAGTTTAGTGCCATTACCATCTTTAAAGGGAATATACATCATTTGCTTTGGCGGTAATTTTCGGAAATGGATGGAATTGGGGGGTTGGAAATATAAAGCAAATATAGTTACACTGACTTTTTTGAGGTTTTGGGTTCGAAAATGCTATAAAAAACCAAGAAAAACGATCATTTTCCTGTAGTCTGGTTCCTTGACTCCATATAAGAAGAAACAGAGCAGTTTACATACATTGGGGAATTGTAAGGTCAGGGAACCGGTCTAGCTGGCTCGTACCCGTTCATAGGTTTGTAATCGATTGCAAACAAGTGCAATGGTCCATTGGGGCCAGTATTTGAAAAAAAGCCAGTTGTTTCCAACGCTGATCGGCCGATCAGCGTTGGAAATTGATACAAAAATACCACTTTTCTTGAAAATGACAGTATACCAGGTGCCATAATTTTACAGGATGCTTTAGACTGTCATTTACCAACATCCTTTTAAGGTATTTCGCAAAAACTTGGTAGTTTTATTTTTCGATGTTTGCAAATGTTGTATATTCCCTTTAAACCAAGTATGCTTTCCAACAATAATTTCGTCAGTTACCTTTTTGGATAGCTACAAATGATATACTCTACCTCTAGGCCTTAATCAATCACAATCAATCAATCTTCAGCCTCAAGTCCAGAAAGAAGCTGTTCACGTACACGTATGCATGTACAAATGTACATTGTCATTGTTCATCTGTTATTTTTGACAGACTCAACCACGCTACTCTTCATTGTTGCAAATGTTGAATCAAATGGCACCAATGTATGTGCTGTGGAAAATGATACTTGAGTGCCCTCACTTTACAATGAGATTTGTTGTTGTTTTTAACACAAGTCGGGCCTGCATACACGCATAAAGTCAGTGCAATAATGTAGCAATACAGATACCCTCTTCTCTTCTCAACCCCCCCCCCCCCCCCCCCCCCCCAGGCTGGGCTTTGCAGAAGACGTTGCAGCTCACGAGTTGTAATAATTTCAAAGAAAATCTCCAACAATGCAAGGGAGCAAGGAAACTTAGTCAATCACTCAAGAGCAAGACAAGTGGCAAAAACCCCAGAAAAATGTTTGAGACACCCTTTGAAAAATTCTTGTGTTGGGATCTCTAGGAGTTAAACATTCTTGGAAGTTGCATTGTGCTGAGGTCCCCTGGGGCATTTTGCTGGACAAGGAGCAAAGTCTGATTTTCACTCCAGTGTAAAACATCTGTGCATTAATGGCAGACATCATTCTGGGGAAAGCCTAGGGCTATATAATAACCTTGAGAGTTGAGACTACGGATTATTCAGTTGCATTAGTGTTAGACTAATGCCTGAAATCCACACCAGATACATTTGGCTAATACAGTGTGAACTTGTTTTCCAGGCAAACTTTTTAAACATGACTGCAAGATTTGCAGGATTCTTAAAGTGTACTACGGTGCTTTTAAGGTACGGCTCTTAATACATTGGAAGTTGTAACTGCGGGGAAAGCTATGTACGCGTTACTCTCACTCAATATCAGAGGGTGAGACTATAGTGCAGCGAACATTTACCAACCATTTACCATATTTGTTCGAACGTATTTGTGGAGTGAGTGCATTCCAAGTGTGGCAACTCAAATCGATGCTTCGTCCGAGCAGTTACACGTCCGAGCAGTTACCGTGTGTCCCATTTCATCCTCTGCATATTACATGTAACTGATGCACTTTTGCATGCATGGTGTCGCTTTAGGCATGTTGAAGTGCATTTACATGTAAGGGAGTAAGATGGCCATGTCACCAGCAGCAGCTCCTCGGGGGAGGGGGCGCCACCAGGGCTTGGGGGAGGTGAGAGGGAGGCAACGAGGGTTGCAAGGGCCCCTCTCCACCTAACCCAGAATTTGGAAAGGAAATAAGTTTGTGTCTCTCGAAGCTACCGGTACATGTTTTACACGAGCCCCATTCCTGTGCCCCAAAACAATTCACAATTTGGAGAAGGAACAAACAGCTATTTTTTCTTTAACTACATGTACGACCAAATTAATGGAGTATCCCCCATCAAATCAAAGCCTACCGTAGTTCCACAACTGCTCTGATCACTGTACAGCTGGAAAAGTTTGTAGACTATCAACTGATTTTAAATCTACCACACATGTACATTTTAAATCAACTACATGAATGCACATTTGAACAGATTCTGAAAGGGATCACGCCCAAAGTCACCATGCTAGCAACATACAATGGAATAAGCAAACATACCTGGAGTTTATGGATGTGGTCCTCCGCCAGCTGATTTTTGGTCTTGAAAGAATTCAAATCCTCTTCCAGTCTCAGTTTTTCATCTGCTAAAATGTTGTACCTGACCTGGTGGGCTCTCAGTTCATTATCCAACTGAAACAAAAAATGAACAAATGAATTAACTGAAAAATTGTACTTTATCAACTTGTAAAATTGATTATTTGATTGAACTAAAAGAAAGTTTAGTTCATTGGGTAACAGGATTTCCTGCGCACACTTCTTTAACTCTTTTACTTTGGGACAAAAGGTTTGGTTAAAATTTAAATGGAAACAGAAAAATATGTATTAAGTTTGAAAGGATTTAAGTTGAACCTGTTCGACTTTAATTCTTATTTGCTGTCTACCCGGCCCCATACAAACAAATCCCACGTACATGTACTGGTATGTTGCACAATTTCTTAGGGAAATATCGCATTACTCTGTCAGTACCACAGACTTCACACAGATGATATCTCTGGCATGTCTGGTGCAAACTAACTTATGAAATGTCCCTAGTATCACGGAAAATCACAGTTATCTAAGCGAATAAAAGGAAAAAAGAACATTTTTAAATGTTTCATTGTTTGGATGCATGGAAACTACAGGGTGAATAACACAAAAAAAGGAATTCCAAAGAAGGTCTGCATGTAGCGCGTTCAAAATCTAGGATGTAAAAGCTCAATTAATAAGCTTTATTTTAGTAAAGGAATCATTCATATATTGCTCATGTACTTTTCAAGTTAAGGACTGTTATATGTTAAACACAAACACAGTTGTATAATTTTTTCCACGACTCACAAATAAAGGTAAGTGATATTTCAGCAAAACGAAAACAATATTCAAAAACACATCAGAACACTCTCATAACCATGACAACTGGCACTTTTCATAACCTTTACTTTTAACACCTTCTGCTTCCAATGTTAAAACAACATGCTCTATAATGGCAAGAGTTTATAGTCTTGCTCTTTGCCTTCTACTTGGCTACCCCTGATACCGGGACTTATTACAATGTACATGTACATGTATGTGATTATTCTGATATCGTTTTCATGATAGGACATGGTTTCGTTTTACTGAAATATCACGTACGGTACCTTAAATGTGATCCGTGGACAAAGTTTTAAAACTGTGTTAAAGAGGTTGTGGAAAACAGTGGAATGCTCGAAGACATTTCCGTCATTTTTCGGGTATATGTAGCCTAAGGTGTGATGAAATAAAAACGACTATTGTTTCTGTCATAAAATGAGTACAAAAGGTACTTTTGAGAGCTGTTTTTCAGGTCCTGTTTCGACCCGAACGTGCAATTTGTGTAAAAGTCGTCGTTGAGGGCAGCAAACAAAACATAGTAAATCGTGACGTAATAAACAGGACTCCCGATGCAGAGTAGCATAAACGGGTCCTGGTTATTACGTCACGATTTACTGGGCTACATATACCCAAAAAATGACGGAAATGTCTTCGAGCATTCCACCTCTTTAATGTTCACAATTCCAAAACTCAAAAGGTACATGAGTGATTGGAATACTTCTTGTACTAAAACAAAGCTTATTAATTGGGCTTTCATATCCTCAATGAGGAAAGTGCTGCATGCAGAACTTGTTTACCAAATAGGGGGCATCATTTGGGTTTCCTTTTTTTTAACTCGGATTTAAGCAGTAGAAGATTCTCTTCTTTTTTTTTAAACATTGTGTTTTTGAGTAATGTACACACACTCACACAAAACTGTGTAAATTCCAGTGAGAGTGTATACAATCAGTTACACTAAGAGCATTATTCCCAAGCACACTTCCTTCTATTTTGTCATCACCATTCAGGACATGAATTCCAGATTCACGAGCCTTTAACATTGATTCCCGCGATTCCCTGGAAATCCCAGTTATCATGGGTTGACATTACGTGAGCTGAAATCTCTTAACAAGGGCCCTTCCAGCATTCCCTATTGCCACACAAGACCAGAATGTGCCTAACAAACAGATCAGCGACGGAAACAGAAATCGTGGGATCTGCGTCGTCGGTCGTTATTGACAGACGTCTGCCCAAATAAAAAAAAGGGGATATTAGATACGCCCACTATAAGCAAACAGCGTCACTTTGAGGAGGGTTTCGATTTTCTGGAGGTTATAGATCTGTAGAACGTTTCAAAGATCACGGGGAAGTGTGCTTCTCCGGAGCGCATAGAATTCCTCAAGAGCAGCTGGTGGGTTTGAAAGCACCTGAGAGTTCGATACAATGGAGAGAAATTCCTTCCACGACATTTGATGTCTGTGTGTGTACAAAACATCCTTTTCAACCTGTGGGGTAATGCATGCATGTACATGAATCGTCTCACAAGGCATCAATAGCTTAAAGACCAACTCTACTGGTGAAAGGAAAACGTAAAACCTGAGCCAAAAATAAGATTACTCATTGAAAGAAAAAAAAAAACAGCGATGATTTATGGGCCGCCCGGCGGTCATTGACAAAGTAAAAACTTAATATGTGTACCCTGAATGCAATCAAGCACTGTGGTGATTGTAAGGTTTTTTTTAAATTAAATAGGTTTAATTTTTAAAAACATTTTTCATTATAAGTGCTATGTACATGTATGTTTAACTCAAAAGAAGATCGCATGAACGTACATGTACCGGTAGGTCCTTTTTTTCATAGGCGTATAATTCGGGTTCGTTTAAATGTTTCTTGAAAATTTGTAAATGTATTTAGAATGTTTTCATTTAAAAGTTTAAATGGGTAAATGTCAAATCCTTAAAAAATAATAACATAACAATAACATTAAATAAATATGGGTTTTTTATAATTTATTGAACAGCTCAGACATACCTTCCAGTATAATCACATCTACTCCACTGATGATAATAACATTGAAATCCACATTATTTATATTGTACTTGAAGTTGAATGAAGAGATCAATCCATTTCCAATCCAAAGTATTTCAAATAGGCTACCGTATGTCTCTGTCGTCAAATATGTCTCTATCATCATCAACGGTGCAGTTTAAATAGATGGGCTTAATGCACTATCTAGAAACTGTCTCCTTAAAAGCTGGCTTCAACAAGAGGTGCTGATGAATAAGATTGACAAAATAACACTGAATAATACAATTTGACCACAATAATCATCAAATATTATTTTCTTGTAATTTAAAGGGGCACTAGGTCCTATAATCCCCAAAAATGTTATGTTTTGGATTGTTTACTTATCCTATTTCAAACATCTGGTTGAAAGGAAACCAACCTAATGTCTTACCGTTTCCGAGAAAAGACAAAAAAAGCCTGGTTGTTTACATCGGACACGATGGAGTACGAATATGCTTTTCCTGTCGTTTTCAGTCAATGTACAATACATACACGTTGTGTGTGTCAGTACATCATGCTCGTGAACAGCAGTGACCAATCACCAATGCACAAAATGTGGTTTCTTACACGTCCGCAAAAGGCGAACACTTTACGGATGAAATCACAACTAGCACCCAAACAGCTCGACTTTTTGGGGTCGCAAAATTGCAGGATTGAGCATGCATCCTAGCAAAAAGGCCTAGGGGGTTGATTACGTCAGAATTATAAAATCATAGATGTCAGACGTTACAGGGACAGGAAAAAAGAGGAGCACTTATTTATAGAATGACCCAGTTGCTATTTATGGCATTTCACTCCCATAATACTTGTTTATTAAATTGCTTTTTGTTTAGTATTTGAAAGTCATAAATACAAATTTGAAAGAGACATCGAACAGACCCCCAAAAAAATCCGCCCTAATTTAGTTCTGGGATTATTACATTACAATAGATAGGCCTACTTTGATTTATTTGCAATCTGAAAATAACTCAGACGGTTCTTTTTGGTCACTGCAGCTACAGTATATTCAGGGTTGCAGGTGCCCAAGTTAAAAGAAAAAGGGTTTTTTTCACAATTTTTTGCTAGGATGCATCCCCCAAAAAATTCTGCAAACCATTTTTATTCCTCTTACTTCTACATTAATTTCTAGTTCCTTGCTTCATTGACATTTAGACTGTTTCTTTTGATTCGTCTTTCATGTTCATGATGTTCTAGGTTTCCTCCATGTCTTTTGGTTGTTGTTGTTGATTTATGATTTATGAACAAAAGACATGAATTAATAAAAACAATTTAAAATAAAACATACATAAATTGAAATTTGTTAAAAAGAAAAAAAAAAAAAAATTGTTAAAAAGCAAAGGAAGAGCAACCTCAATGTTCTGACGTACAAGATTAGTCCACCAATTACACTCGGTACCACTCATTCACTTATTGTCACATCGAACATCAAGAACACTCACGTTGGCCGTTAACATCCCAAACCTACAAATATAAGAATCGCAGCTTTCAAGCCCCAAACCAAAACACACACGCGCACACTCCGCAATTTCAACATCACCGAACAATCCCTCTGGTACTTTAACCGCCAAAAGAAAATAATAATAAAGAAGAAACTGGGAGTGAGGGCGGAAAAAAATATCTGTCAATAAAAGCAATGTGTGTCAACATGGTGGAATGCAGGGAGAGAGCCTAGTCATATCCTAGCTGGCAAGCATGCAGTTGGGCAAACACGCAGCCTTGTACTGTACTTTACCATTCAGTTCTTGAACAAATAAAGACCAATCAATACGCCGCCCCTGGACATGATGACTCAAAATTAATACATCTTCAGACACTGTGCCATACAAACGGATAAGTAGCCAGACCACATACACGGATTTTGGAGGATTTTTTTTTTCCTTCTTCTACATGTACAACCTGCACTTTTCTTCTGCTAAATATGTGTACTATTTTTCTATCTGTATAAAAAACAAATTAAAAGCATACATTTTGTTCACATAAATGAAAGCAAGATCGTTTTCTTCGTCATTATTCCGAGAGATATTGTATGCTGTAATAGGGCTTTGACATTTTCACAGAAAACTTGAGACAAATTCGAAAGGTATACACATTATATGGCACCAGAAATGCTGCAATTCCAGCTCTCATATCTTGTTACTACTATTTAGCTAAACTTTTTAAGTGATTTATTCTTCTATCACTGTCATGACTGTAAGTCTCTTTTTGATTAAAGGTAGAGTACCTCATTTACAGCTGTCCAAAAAGTAACTGACAAAATTATTGTTCAAAGGTGTACTTGATTTAAAGATAGCAGTGGCACTAAACTACCTGTGAAATTTTTCTTTCTAGCATGCTGTCATTTTGAAAAAGAGGGTCATTTCTAAAGACAATTTCTGGAAATTTCCATTAGTAGCTCGTTTTTAATTCTAATTAATTTTAATTTGATTAAGCGTTGACACAACGCTAACAGCCACACACACGTGCGGTTACTATTATTCGTCAGTTCAGCGCGTGACATCCCATAGCTGCAATCAGCTAAATGAGAAGGTGTCCCGGACGCTGATTTCTGGCGCAATTCAAAACATGACTTTTGAATTGAAATGGAGATTCTAGAATATTGTTTTCTCGGAATATACAGCACTCACTGAGCTAAAACTTTATCAGGTTAGTTGTTAAGCACCCTTCTATAGATTTTGAGCACTTTTGTTGCACTTCAAATTAAAAAAAAAAATGCACAAATGCCAAATAATGTACTCTACATTGTACCTTTAAGAAATTAGCAATTAAAGTTATAAAAATGGAGCTAATTTATATACTTGACTCAGGATCTTCATCTCTAGCAAGTGCCATTTGGAGATGAAACAATGGTCTGCCCTGGACCGACTTCATCAGGAAAAGTGGCCTTATTGTCTTCTTTACAAAATTAAATGCAACACTGACAAACATTTTTATTGATAAGACTGTCAAATGGTAGCACTGAAAGATTATTACATGTATGTACACTAATCCAGCTTCTACTGGTACCGGTAAAGCACTCTTGAAATGCCAACTCTTGTCTGCAATAAGAATTCCAAGTTTAGGTCTAATTGCGCCATGCATAGTTGCGTGCAAAATGTACATGTAGGTATGTTTTTTAATGTTTTACCTGAAGTTGTTGACTTAAATGGGGAATCACTCATGTCATAAAAATTTCAATTATTTTGGATTGAAATTGTACGTACTTGACCGACTTTTCTTAATTGCTGTCATTTGAACGATATTGTGAACTTTTTTTTCCGTACTATGCTGGTTATATCTTCCCTGCGATTTATTTGTTCTTTTTTAAACTTGTAGGTCATGTTTTGTATATAACTCTGTTCTGTGCTGTAACCAAGGGCCGCTAGGGAGAACGGTTCTTTAACAAAGGATGGGGCTACTCTGATAAAAGAGAATGATAAATAAATATTTAAATAAATAATATCAGGCATGCAACTAGGAAGTCACACAAAAAAGAGGAAATTCAAATTTTTCCAAGACTTTGTACAGTGTTTTTCTATTTTCAATGGCACACATGGGAAGTGAAAAAAGAGGAAATCAGCCGATCCGAGGAAAAGTTGCATGCCTGTAATATGACCTTGGCTTGAAGAATTCTTGTGACAATATTGTCCATAGCTGAATCATCATTGCAGACAGTCGACAAAACGGTTAAACAAACCCTTATTGGAATAATTACAGCCTAAACATTACGAGCAAATGACAGTTTTTGGGAAGTATCTGTTGATTTAATGACACCAGCCAGCATGATGTGAATGTAATAGTCATAGTCTAATGGTCTTATCAGACAAATCACTATCCCAGTCTTAACTCGCTGACCAACCCTCTTGAAAACAACATTATCTTTTAAGTGTCTTAATGACGCAGGTTATCAGTTGAGAAAAGGAAAAAGCTTAAAATGTACTTTTCACATTTCATTCCAGGAATTTAAAAATGTCACTCGCTGTCACATGATACCGGTATGATGACTGTTTTATTCTACTGCAATCAAATACCACAGTGGTTGTCGATGAACAGGAAAAAGATTTATCTGGCCGAGGAAAAATAACCTGATTTTTATTTGCAGACTGCATAACACCATGAGTGCGCTCGTGTGGAAGCAACTGGCCACGCAACGGCCTAGCTCCCTTCTGCACACCATTATGCTCTTGGCAATGGTTTGGTACGGTCCAACGGAAGCCCGGATATTCTGCTCACGGGAGCAGAAACTGCTTGTTCAAAATTTCTTAAACGTTTTGAGAAACAAACACTCCAGGCTACGCCTGAAGCCGGGGCCGGGGACAAAAATATTGCCACGACTGAAAGAAAAACAAACAACAAAATGAAAAATGAAAAACACATCCTTCTCTCCTGGTACCGCTGCGTGGAAACGAGCGAGCTATAAAAACAACATACAAGGCGGTTCTTGAACCACGCATCTCGCCTGCTTAAGTGATTATCTTTTCAAACGAGACCAATTTTACATTTTCAGCCTATTTTACAACTTGACCGCAGGTGACCTTTGACCTTGGTATGTGACCTGTGACATCATTTTCATATGAATGTTCCCATGTTGCATCTATGACCCCAGTTCTGTTCCAATTGGACTTCAACTTTTCAAATGAGACAAATTAACAATTTCAGCCTATTTTACAACTTGACCACAGATGACCTTTAACCTTGGTATGCGACCCTTGACAATCCATCATTTTCATATGAAGGTTCCCATGGTTGCATCTATGACCCCAGTTTTGTTCCAATTGGACTTCAACTTTTCAAATGAGACAAATTAACAATTTCAGCCTATTTTACAACATGACCTCAGATGACCTTTAACATTGGTATGCGACCCTTGACATCATTATCATATGAAGGTTCTCATGTTGCATTTATGATTCAAGTTTGGTTGCAATTGAACTTCAACTTTTTAAATAAGACCAATTTTACATTTTCAGCCTTTTTTACAACTTGACCTCACTGATGACCTTTGACCTGACTTTGTGACCTTAAAAATCAGTATTACATGGAGGCTTCCGCAATACATCTATTGCCCGAGTTTCATGGAAATCAAAGACAAAGTTGAGAAATGAGAGTAATTCCTTGAAACTTCAACCAAAATACCACATACAATACTTGCATACTAACATACGATGTACATACGGTACATACCGGTGTAGCATGAATTTTGGTTTTATGAAATATGGACTCATTGGTGGTATTGCACATGCTCATGCATAGATAATTAGGAGAGGGGCCGGTCACGTGAGAGGGTTTAACCAATAAAAGGGAAAAAGAGTCCGATTTTCATACGAGACGGATTTTCATATGACACTGGTACAGGTCTGTACGTATACTAAAAACAGACAACTAAAACAGACAACACTTCACCCCCTCACCTCTGCATGCAATGCTCACCTGTTTGTTATACAAATAATAATAGCTTTTAAATTAGCACATCCTTTACATGTAGCTCACAATGTACACACTTGTATCTTGCTGCAGTACGTGACACACTGATGTGGAAGTGATATCGTGCGCACCTTTACGAACAATCTGAACAGCGATATCCAGGATTTGAATTTGGGGTTGGGTTTCTGTTACAGGTACCCAGGCACCCGTGTTTTAGGCCACAAAAAAAAAGTCTCCGGTTTCTGGTATGCGCGCGCGTCGCCGTAGCCATGCGCGTCGGCAAAATGAAAAAGTTTTATTTTCAATGAAAGATGATGTCTCAAAACCGCCAAACTCACTGGTTTGACTGGAATTCTGCTGCTGCACAATTTTAACGTGTTTTTAGATTGGGTTATGGTCGAGAATAAGCTTTATGTGGCCTCTCTGGACTCCCATACATTTGCACTAAGTTTAGTCAGGCACCATTTGCAGTCATCAGCTGACATTTGAAGCAAAAAAATCAGGTTAAAAAAAAAAAAAAGCCGCGTCGCCGCACCACTTTTTGGGCAAGCTCCATACCAGAAACCGGAGACTTTTTTTTTTGGCCTTACTTCAGTAGGGTACCCAGTGCCGTAAATACACACCACTACAGCAGTAAAGTACTGCAGAACACTGCAGAACACTACAGCGGCCCATAACATCGATCGCTGCACGCAAATAAAGCAGCGCGCTATTTATGCTCTCCTTAAAATCCATGGATAAACAGTAAACATTGTTTTTGTTTTGTTTTGAATATCAGGATTTATTCAAGGGGCTGCATTTTAGTTATTTTTTGCATAAGAATATGCTCAAGTGGCGTAACTTCTTTCGTTTTTGTAACTGTAAGACAAGGTAAAATTTATGTTAAAAAAAAATAACTAAATGGAGATTAATAAAAGGTTTGACTTCTGCTTAATACGCTTTCATTTTTTAATACAGTCGTCATTTGGTTCATCACTTAATTAGGCTATACTTGGAAAATGGAGTTAATAAACGGCACATAAATATGATAAAGCAACTGAATATTTGTTTTCAGATTTGTTAAAATTATATGAATTTTCAGCCTGAACTATTTCCATTGCAGCTACGGAAGCTATACAAAAAGGGCCTCAAAAATGACAAAAACTTGCCTAAAGTGTTATCGAAAATATTTGCCGTTGATTTATAAATAATGGAAAATGCAGGTCAATTATACCATATGCACAATGCTAGTCACGACGAGAAACTGGCTAACAATGTCTGAACTTCGCTTGGTACGAGCGTGCGATGATGCACTTAATAAAGTGAATACTTGTAAATCGTTTTTACTTAAATTCAACTTTCAGGAAGAAAACATGGCCTACATTGTAATAAAGAGACTAAAAAGTTGCAGTAAAATTTTGTCTGCCCGTAATACAGTAATACATGTACCATGCGTAAATGTAGCTCCATATATGTACACACACAAGCGCTGCAGCTACCGCTACCTCCTTCGGCTCAGTCCATTATCGGCAACCAGGCCCCTACCTGGTTTTAAACCAGACGTTTACAACGGCTCTCCCACACTATTCTTCCCTTAATCAATACTCTTACCTTGTCCATGAAGTTCCGCGTATCCCTGAGTTCTAGCTCCAAGTCCTTGCGCAAAGACTTCAATTCATTGACCTCAATATCTTTGAGACGTAACTGTTCATCTTGGTGGGCCCGTTTCTCCTTTTTAAAATAAAAATGGGAAATTGACTTGTAGAGGATCTGAATTAAAGCAATTGAAGGTCTCCTTTTTAACACCATGAATGTTTTTTCTTGGAACCTTTGAATATATGGCCTTGGTTTTTGGCCCCTTCCAAATCTTGCAGGTTTCGTTCAGATTGTGACTATTTTGTATGAAATTTTGTGTTGGATAGATGTTGATTTCCCTGACACAAAAAAGTGATAAATAAGCCATTTGCGTGTAACCTATACCCTTTGGGATTTACATTTGAAAAACGTCTGGTACAATGACTTGCTCAGAATGCTTGGCACATTTTAACTGTGAATTCTCCAGACCAAAGACACTGTTGCTAATCACATGATTCGGGGCAAGCTCTTGCATAGTTACGTAAGAGACGCTCAGCACCAATACATCGTTCACAATGGGTGAGAATGGCACAAAGACACCAGACCATGCCGGAGCTGGGGGTTGCTAGCATAAGGCTTGCCCCGAATCACGTGATATAGTAACAGTCTCTTTGGTCGAGAGAATGCTAGGTTAAAACGTGCAAAGTATTGTATTAAGTCAGCGTTCCAGATTTTATTCAAATTTAACACGCAAATGGCTTATTGAGGCACTTGCTGCTATTCAACTTAAACTGGCTAAGTAGATGAGACATCTGCACTACTAGCTGTTGGTTGAAGTCCGACCTATGTCAGCTTGTGAACTTTTCCTTACAAGCCCTCCAACAATACTGAGTATACAGGGCTTATGAAATTACACTAGTTAAGGGCAAAACCCTGTATTGAGTTTAGAATATTAGTCAGAGGTTTTCCTCCCAACTCTAAAGCCCGGTGCACACCTTTTCCTGATTTTACCGATTCACCGGATCACCCCATCCAGGAATGCAACTGGGAATTTAGAAAAAATGAGGAACCTCGAAACCACAGAAGACTTTGTACAGTATATTTCAATTTGTAATGGCATTCATGAGAAGTAAAAAACGAGGACATTAGCAGATCCGAGGAAAAGTTGCATGCCTGCCCATCATCGGTACGTTTTTTTCACTGTCGCGGTTAGCCCGCAACGTTACCCGCTTACATAGCCGATTCAGTTCAATAATCAGTCACCTGATGATCAGTCACATGATGACCAGTCAAGTGATGACAAAATGGCAGCCGTCAACTTTCAATTATGTGACTTCTTTCATGAATCTGATTGGTTAACACAAATATCGCATCCGGTGAAATCGGATGCGAAAAAATCAGACATGTTTGATTTCATCCAGTCGCCCGGTGCACGGTCAGATCGGTCCGAATTTTCAGCGCACACCTCTGTACGATGGCCCAGTGATCCGGTGAACCGGCGAATCAGAAATTGTCATTTCTCAACAGGTTTCTTCAGGATTCAAACCAGAAATGTCACGGGCTATTTTAAGGATACCTCACTGTACTACCGAAGGTCAACAATACAATATGAAACCATTTCAACAGTATTTTCCATACCAGAATATCGTTGATTTCTCTCTGCATGCTGTCCACATGATGTGTAGAGGCACCATTTTGTGTCCGATGAGACTGGTTATCTGTCACTAAGTGTTGGTTGCGATCCATGGCCTGCGACAATCGATGCTTCAGAGTGTCCCCGTCTCTCTGCAGCTTAGCACACTTCAACTTCCACCTATTGGAAAAAACCAAAGCAGAAAATGTTGAGGTTGGCAAATTTTGTCAAACTATTTGCATACGAATGGCATGATGTTTGGACGACTCGTTTTTTACCCTGAATGGGCACAAACCCATATCGTCTTGGCGTAAGTGTACAACAGCAAAGCATTCAAGTCCAGGCTCCCATAGATCTCCCCACTTCTCTATTGAGGAGGCACGTGGGTAATGCTGACAATAAATGTAGCCATAGCTCCGGACACCAGTGTTGGACGCTGCTTAACTGTGACAGAATCATCCTTCTGAAGCACTGTATTTCAAATCTCAATATCTCCTCAAAACCATTTCAGACTGCAGTTGCAGAGTCACACTTAACCAAAATGCAGTGAGGGTGACTTAGGTTGAATCAAAATACGATTCTGTTTCAGAGAGCTTGCAAGAAAAATTCAAAAAGTTTGCTCAAGTGGGACGCCAACTCACAACCTTCTGCTATGAAACTAGACTCCTTAAACTCCACCACCAATCTTGCAGGGGTCGGCTAGCCCACCCAAGCAAACTTGTGAACTTTTTCTTGCCACATCTCAAACAAAGTATAAATATACTTATAAAGCTATTTTGGTAAATTAAGGTAAAATCTGCCAATATTGCCCATTAGGCTGGCGTTTATCTCTGGTTTCCTTGGCACAAAACGACTGAAAACATTTCTTTTCCCCCTGGATAGGATGTCCGTCCATTGCAGGTTACTCCCCAGCTTAATGCCGGTGCCCATGTATATTCCTGGGTGGAGAGAGACGAGTGGAGGTGAAGTGGCTTGCCCAGCAACATAACATATGATCAGCATCTGGACTTGAAACCTTAACCCTAACCACTAGGCCTCACTGCCCCCATTTCGGTAAAGGGCACAACCCAAAAACTTAAAATTTAGACCGATGCAGAGTTCCATCATATACATATAAGATGTTGCTATTTTTTAACTCACTGTCTTATTTTCTCCCTGGCCTTGGTCCTGATATCGTCTTTCTTGTACTGAGATTCCTCCAGCATCCTCTGCAGCTCTGCTAGCCTCTCCTCCTGCCGCTCTGATTTCCTGTCGCCGTCAGCTAGTCTCTTCTCAAGCTCCTTCAGCCGAGCCATGGCAACCTTCTCATGCTCCTGAGTCGCCTTAAGATTGTCGCTGGTATCCTGTAGTTGGGCAACCAGCTTTGCAGCATGTGTTTCCTTGTTCTCCAACTCCTTGGTGACACTCTGAAAGCAAAAGAAGTATTATGTCTGACTGGTTGAGTTCAGGTGTCAATGGCACTGCACAAAACTATCAGGTATGATGGTCTCTGTACAAAATATATGATACAATCAGAGAATGATTGTGAATGTCAATGATTGTGTGGATATGAAACTACAGGTACTGCCCAAAGTATTACACAAGGGTGAGCAAGTGACAGCTCACGTTGTGTTTTTGGAGGGTAGACTAAGGCCTCCTTCAAGGCGACCTGTGCTTTGCTTGCGCCGCGAGGGAACCTTCGGCATCAAGCAGAAAAATTATGCTCAGGTCACCAAAACTGAGAAATCGTGTGATTCTCGTGGAATAAGAGGCATCTCGACACAAAATAATCGCAACCACGCTCACGCCATCCATGACGCGACGACAATTCCTTGGCATAGACATGATCATGTAACGTCTTCAAAATGGCTGTGAACGAGTTGATAACAATCAAAGAATCTTCCACGGCCATGTCTGTTCATTCGGCAATTTTTGCAGCACGCTGATTGGCTGCACAAGGAAATAAGATTATCCAAATGTATGTATACACAAAGTGGTAACTTCACACAGGTCGACTGCGATTGATTCCTGCCTGTCGGGAACACGTTTCGTTGCGGCACGAAGTTGAAATTTTTCTACTCTTATGACTGTTGATTTTTTTGCCACCAACTGACGCCGATCGTCTTCATATCCTGGTAATTACACTCAGGTCGCATAAAATCGGGGACTGATTTGTCCCCAACAGTTGTAACTCAGGCGCAGCTTGATCCTGAAAAGTCTGTCGCTGACTGATCTGTGTCATCACAAGGTAGACCCAAGGGCGGTCTTAATAGCATTTTCACCCCGGCATAAACAGTGAAGTTGAATTGGCAGTGCTCTGCAGCCACAGCATGTTCATATGCCACAATCCTTTGATTGGAATTTGGAAAACAATGATTAAAAGTGGGTAAACCTCCTATCCCACTTTTCTATTGATTTGACTTTTCTTATTCAACTATTCAACAACTATTGAACTGAACAAAAGAGGGTTCACACTTCATGGAGAAGGCTTTAATTTCCAAAGAAAATTTCATTCACATTCCACTTTGAGTTATTTTAAACACCATGACAAGTTCTAAGTAAAAGTATCTGATTAGTTACATCATAAATAAAATACCAATTCAAGAGAGGTTCTCCACGCTATTTTTCAGTTTCTCCTCGAAAAATAGATTTTTTTTTTCAATTGCTATTTTCTGAGCAATACAAAAGTTAAACAAAAAAATGCATCAACGTTTAGTTCTTGAATTAATTTTCCCCAAACTTTGAATTAATGGCTGCCTGACACAGTAATTTGAATCTCACAGGGCGGGATTATTTTGTGCGTAAAATGAAAGACTTTTTTCAGAAGGTTGCAGACGCCCAAAATTGGAATAAAGTAGTTTTTTTTTTCGTTAAAACATACATATTGAAAATTGTAACGAGAAAAAAAAAGCCATATTTGGAACAGCACAGGGGACACAACTTTAAGTATCATACGTATTCAACTTTTGCAAATTTGCAATGTGAAAACTTCCTATGATGTCAACAACACAAATCTCCACACTGCATTAGCACCGAGTATGAATTTGACCTAATTATTTCTGACAGGAAAGTTTTACCTCCAAGTGCTGTGATAACTGGTCACGTTGTTTTTCACTTCGTTGTAATTCCCGTTGATATTTCTCATTGTCTTTCATGGACTGAGACTGACTCAGCTGTACTTTCAATCTGTCAATCTCTTCCTCAAGGCGCTGTCTGTCTTTCTCTTCCTTTGCCACTGTTTCTAATCAATGACAGACACGGATTGCATGTTAGGTACAACTAGACAAGTGTTGAACAAAATCATTCAAGTTGGTTTTGATTGTGACACCGCAAGCTCCACAAATGTGCACAAGCAGCAGTGTTGCTTGCAAGCCTGAAGCAATACAGAGAGAGGACATTGAAGAAACATTCAGTTTTGGAGGTGTGAGAAAACACTAATGTAATCAGCTAGGGATCTAAAACCTAATCCGAGGTTGACTTGGGTCTTCGGGAGCATTTTCAACTAGGTGGCAAAAGTGGTAGGTAAGTCAAGTACCACTGCGCAAACCTGAATCCAAAGACTTTTTTCAGACAATATTCTACAAAAGCAAACAATACCAATTTCTTGTCTGAACTCCGCACTAAACAAAATAATCACATAAGCAGTACGCGCAAGTTGATCTTGCACTCAACGATTTGTACAAAGGTCTTGTTATACCCATTCAAATAGTGCACAATACAGATAAAAACAACATACTGCATAAATTTGTGAGTGATTTCAAAAAGTATTCAAACATTAAATAGAAGTGATGTAAATTAGACAAGTGTTCATTTTTTTACCAGGGATTTCTAGACTGGTTTATTCAAAATTCTAATTCTTTCCACCATTTTCTTAACATAAACAGATACCAGAGTAAGTCTGATCAAACCAGTAGTTTGTTCTTTGGTGCACCATGTGACATAATATATAGTGCAAAACTAGACTTACTCAAGCAATGAGCTAACGTCATCACAAACCTAACTGTACATGCTTTTTGATCTACACTGTAATGCAGGAGGCTATTCATATAAGGGCCCTTCTCAATTCATATCCCAGACAAGTTGCGGACATTGCATCGGGTATAAGTTGCAGGATCCTGAACAACTTCCCTGCAATCTTTCTGCAATGAAGTTATCAATATTGGTGAGTCAAGCAGTTGCTAATAAAAATTTCCCCAGGAACATGTCCGGGACAAATGCAGAGCTTCTTCTGGACAAAGTGAATGATGCTACCAGCAACTTGTACAGAAATTATCCTGGATAAGAATTGAGATGGGCCCTAAAACAATGCTTATAATTGAATATAGTTTTAACGTTATTTGAGCAATGAAGTGCGAGTTGAAGTATTGCACAGTGGCGTGAATACAAGGTATGCAGGGGGATGTTCACCATGCGGCAAGGCTGGTGGCTATCAGTTGTTCTAAGAAGAAGCATTAGTACTAAAAGAACTGACCCTCAGTGTTTTCTTAAAGAGGTTGTGGAATGCTCGAAGACATTTCCGTCATTTTTCGGGTATATGTAGCCTAAGGTGTGATGAAATAAAAACGACTATTGTGTCTGTCATGAAATGAGTACAAAAGATACTTTTGAGAGCTGTTTTTCAGGTCCTGTTTCGACCCGAACGTGCAATTTGTGTAAAAGTCGTCGCTGGGGGCAGCAAACAAAACACAGTAAATCGTGACGTAATAAACAGGACTCGTTTATACTACGCTGCATCGGTGGTCCTGTTTATTACGTCACAATTTACTATGTTTTGTGTGCTGCCCCCAACGACAACTTTTACACAAATTGCACGTTCGGGTCGAAACAGGACCTGAAAAACAGCTCTCAAAAGTACCTTTTGTACTCATTTCATGACAGACACAATAGTTGTTTTTATTTCATCACACCTTAGGCTACATATACCCGAAAAATGACGGAAATGTCTTCGAGCATTCCACAACCTCTTTAAATGATTTGAACAGTATACTTTGCCCATCCTCTGAAAAATACTTAAAATGTGCACTCATATAAATATGTGCACATTCTTGTAATGTACACTCATTTTAATGTTGCCAACAACAGTTAACTTCATAGTTCTAGATCAAATGTGCTCCAAAATAAAAGTACTCATTAAAAAAGGTCTGGCCAAACCTTGCAATCTTTGATGTATTCTGTCCGCCCTGTTAAGTGGCAGCCCTTCTTGCTCTATGGATTCTTGTAAGTCTGACAGTCTATCCTGCATGACTGAGCGTTCATGGTCGGTGAGTCTCAAGCGATGCTTATAGTCCTCAATCTAAAAAGAACAAGAGTACCATAATCAACATAATAAGTAAAGTTCACTGTGAAAACTTAATTATAAAGATGACGCTGATGACAACAGTGGTAAAGACGGCCATGTTTTGATGAATGCTGAAAATTACATGTTAATGGTAAGCAAGTACTCGCTAAGCCACTCCACCCGTCTGAAAATACTATCACAGAAAATGTAGCAAAATCACAATTAAAGGTCATTTTTTCAAACTATGACTTTATGTCCAGCTTTGGCATCAGGCTAAAGCTTCGTGAATTTTGGTCCCTAACTTTGGAAGTTCCAGCTCAATGTGTCCATTTTCTTTTCAGCCAGAACATCATTTGTTTTTGTCTTTAAGCTAGAGTTTTTGGGTTTTCTATTTGAGGTTGAATTTCAAATGCCTACAAATGGTTCTGGAGATGAGGCTAATCCAGGGCCAAATTTAGCACACATTTAAAAACAAAATCCTGGTTTTAATCAGGACACAAAGCCTGCCTTTGGTTGAACAACCAGTAAAAATAAGTTGTAACTAGCAGTCTCATCACCAGGCATACTTAACTGTGTCACCCCGAAAATGAGCAGCGCTGCATGACAATGCAAACTGCTAACCTTACAGAACATTCTCCACACTTAAGTTTATCTCAACTCACCACTCCGAATTTCTCCACACTGAATACAAATCTGAGTAATACTGCTAGTGGTGAACTTTCTGTTGGGACTGTGTCGGTAAGGCAGCATCTGAATTGGTTGGATATGGCTTTCAGTCCCACACATGTCCATGGAAGCGGCTGAAGCCCCTCCCGTAGACAAGGGATCAGACACGGACTAAGATTGGCAAGTTCCTCATCTTGTCATTACCTGGTCTTGCATAGCCGCCTTGACACCTTGCGATCGTTCCAATTTGCGCTTTGCTGTCTCTAGCTGCATGGCCAGTTGCTGCTTCTCTGTCTCTGCCTTCAAGAGTCGCTCTCTCGTCTCTTTCTCTTCCTTCTTCGACTGAGCTTCTAATGCCTGGATTAAAAGCAAATTGCAGTGGATTTAGAGGTACATTATGGGCTCCATGTGCCAACAAAAGAGGGTGCTTTTTAACCTTTTTGAGAGCTCCGTTTATGGGACACACCGTGTGCGCATACTGGTTCTAGCGCTTATAGCACAAAGCACACAGGACTAATTTTATTCTGACTGTACACAAAGCCATAGTGTCTTCGCTTGAGCGTCAGCCGTTGTCGGCAATCCAGTGGTCTCACCCAACCCTCTTCTTCTTGCCGTTGAGGGGGTACTTTTGCACGGAACTAATTTCTATTTACTTAGCCTTACTTCATCCCTGACAGGTGCGGTAAAGCCGCAGCAGTGAGGTATGCTCAGAATTTCCTGGTCAGTGCTGGAGAAGTTGCCAAGAGTGGACTTGAGTCACCTTGCTGCTAGCAACTTTTACTGCGCTTGTCAGGGACTGGCTATATTATGGGCAATAAAATTTAAAAAAACAGTATTGGATCAAGACTACCATTAACCCTAACTCACTAGGCATTGTTGATCATATTTCCACTCTTACCTGCTTCAGTTCAGCTGATAGCTGGCCATTTTCCTTCTTTTTCTTTTCCTGAGCCTCTTGATGTATCCTGTGCTGTCGTAATTCCTCTTGGATTGCCTGCAACTTCTTATCAACTCGCTCAGAGGACTGCAACCAATCAAAAGCATTCAAAAGCAATCAAGCTTCAAGATGAAAATCTGCTGATTAGCAGTTATGAGGTTGCATTATTAAGTTGTCCCTATTACCTACTGTTCTTCCTATTTTCTCTGTGATTGTCTGTGACTGTCTGAGAGCTATCTTAGCGCTCCCTGATTGTCAATACGAGCTCTCATTATTACAATATCGTCATTACCTACAATTTCTTCCTCTTTTCTCTGTGATTGTCTAAGACTGTCCAAGAGTTATCTGAGCACTCTCTGATTGTCAATACGACTTTGCGATATAATTACTGTCCTTACCTTTGTTTTCTTCCTTATTTTTCTGTGATTGTCTAAGACTGTCTGAGAGTTATCTTAGCACTCTCTGATTGTCAAAATGAGCTAGCATTTTAAGTACTGTCCTTACCTACTATTTCTTCCTCTTTCCTCTGTGATTGTCTAAGACTGTCTGGGAGCTATCTTAGCACTCTCTGGGTGTCAAAATGAGCTGGCATTATAACAATTCGGGCGATTCACAATGCAGTGCGCCTCCAAGAGTTTGCCACGGAGAGTTCATTTTTCCCAGTGTATTGTGGGAGATGGTCGACAAATTCGCAGCACGGGACATTTGAAATTGTTAGTTTTTCCGTCAGTAGTTTTGTAAGCGTATGATTCGAGTATCTGTTTGCCCTTTTCTTTTCTTTTTATCAATATCATGTTTTTTGTAAGGCGGCAGAATGCTATGTCCCAATCTATAACAAATTATCTCAAGTTGTCTACTGACACTCATTCAAATGGGCCATGTTTTGTCGACTGTAAACTTGAAAAATGAACTCCCCATGGCAAACTCTTGGTGGCGCACTGCATTGTGAATCGCCCGAATTGTCCTTACCTACCTTTCTCTTTTCTCAGTGATCGTTGGAGACTGAGACTTTTCAAAGCACTTACTGTCCATGCTAGCTTTATCATAACAATTGCATTTACCTACCTTTTCTTCCTCCTCTTTTTGCTGTGATTGTCTGAGACTGTCTGAGAGCTCTCGTAGCGTTCTCTGATTGTCAATGTGAGCTTGATTCCTGAGCTGAATCTCCTGATCAAGATCCTCCTCCATGCGAAGATGACTGTCACTCAAATCTCTCACCGTCTCGTGAATATCATGAATCTGCAATTATTAATATTACACTGCATGAGATGATACATTGAAGTACGTAAATACATGTACATGCAACTGAAATGTTTCTTCCAGACAAACTGAAAATTAGAAACGCTGCAAGGCACTGCGTTCATGTTTAACTGATGATTACTTATACTGTAACAGTGCTGTATTCCTCATGCATTTGTATTTTAAAATATACCAAATATTCAATTATTTGATCATCAACCGCATACCCTAATAGCTTTTGTTATTTCAATTCAAATATTCAAAAAGTGCGATCAGTCTAGAGGAGATGATGAAAACGCCCACAGTGTTGTTTTGATCGTTATAAGTTGTTTGCTTTTATTATTTGCTAAGTGCCACACTTTTGTCAAATGCCACTTTCTCACATCGTCACCGTTTTCACGAAGAGCCACATATCAAAAATTACCATTTTTTTCGATCCTAATTTTTTCAATATTTTGCACTAAAACAATGTACTTAACCATTTTGACATGTTTCTGTAAGCAAAACATCATTAATTTCAAAGCTACATTAATGTTGCAAGAAATCTCGATAAATCTCGATAAATGCATTTTGCGTTTTCACGAAGAGCCACATACATTTTGGCCCTTTGAACGCGTACAAAACCCACTGCACGGAAATATGTAAAAGTAGGTCAAATGAGATTTTCGTTTTCACGAAGAGCCACATATCTTTGTTACATTTTCAGCTGCGCGCGCGTACTCACGCGCGCCTATCGAAATACACGTTGAACAGAAAGGGCCAATATGTTGGAAACCTGAATTTGCGTTTTCACAAAGAGCCACATATCTTTACTAATTAATTTTCTAATTAATTAATTAATTAACTGCTGTATTAAGTCTTATTACCGGGTTCATGTAAAAATTCAACTCTCGTAGAATTGTGTGATGGTTTCCTTGCTGCACAAAGTTGTTGCAAGGTAGTATTTCTTGCAGTTTTAAAATATTAGAAACTTCTTTGCGATTATATCGAAAACACTTTTCTTCAAAATCAACATGTGGCTGTTCGTGAAAACGGTGACGACATAATTTGAGATCCATCACGAGGAATTTTAACTCAAAGTTATTACCTCTTTTTCTTCCGTTACATTTTTCATAAGCACTGTATATTCAGTGTTGTCCGAGGACATATGTCGGCACAGGGGAAGACCCAAAATAAAAATTAAGTGCATTGTTAACCAGTGCTGTCTCCAAACTCAGTGGGCTTTTACCAAATACTAAACTAGTCCAACAATTATGAAGGAGCACAAATTTGATGATGTTAAGTTTACTACGGCTGGTCATGTACATGTACCTCGTCCAACTCATCATGGAATCTCACTGATGGCCTCCTCAGGTGCCTTCCCCTCGACCGTCTCATTCCTCTTGTAATCTAAAAGTTCAATGAAAAATAATTATTCAGTACCTCTGACCAGCATAATATGTCCAAGTCCAAAGATCCATGCATATGAGACATCCCACTTCAGGCTGAAGCAGACATTTTTTTCTAGAACTTATCTGGAGTTTCATTTTGTGTTTAGAAGCTTTCGTGCTTGTAGAAAATTAGATGAGTACTAACTTATCTTCCACAGAGAAATTTAAGGTCTACTCACAAGCCCGGAATAAGGGCACTTCCTTAACCCTAACCACCCCAAGTCCATCAAAATCCATCCCCATGTTTTGGGGGATTTGGGGGATTTGGTCCAGCCAGCTTCACTAAATGTTGATGGAGTCTGATGGACTTGGTCCAGAAGGCCTGAGGAACCTCTGGTGGAGTCTGATGGATTTGGTCCAGTAAAACAGGTGCTGGCCTGTTGTGGATATGTGATTGCCCCCAGTGCAATGCATGCCTCATGTTGGTTTATGTACATAATGAGGTGCAGATATGTGAACACTGTACACAGACCCTTTGTAAGGTTTATTGGGGGTCCATTTATAATCTTGACTGGTGGCCTTGTTTGTTTCCTGATTTTTAACTGAATGCAAAGAAAAGTTTATGACGGATTGTACACCTTTTTCCCATGTCTGCAGTGTGTAGGAACATGGAAAAAAAACAGTAAGAACGGCACTTGACTGCCTCCACAAAGTAACCTTTGAAAGTTCAGCACCAGATCGGGCTAACAGTAGTTGAGCACTGGGACTATAGAATGTGCTTACCTATGCCCTTGCTGATATCAATGCAAAATCATCATCGTGATTGAGGTACGCCTGAGCACCATCACTGCTTTTACCATACTCAGGGTGTGTTTTTATCATGTTAAAACCAAAGACCCTTTAACAAATTCACTTGAAAATGATGGCACACATTTACACTGAAATTTGTATCCTTGTGGAGACATTTCTTTGTTCTCATGTAGTAAAGTTTTCGAGTTTGAAAGTACAGTTTCAAAATGCTCTTATTTAAACCAGAATTAATTTCCTTGGCTGAAATTTGGACTTACTATCCCTTTTCTAAAACTCTTCCATTTGCGACGGATCAACCCACCTTAAAAATTCCTAGTTTTTGAGTAAAATCCATCTGTTTTGTGAAAACCTTGTGGAGACGTATTCATCTATAGAAGTAGCCCTGTGGAGATGTACACAATCTTTTGTTCCCTACTGTTGTGCATGTCTCCAGAGGGCACAGTGTATCAGATCACTACATCCCATAAACCATGCATAAACAAGTGTGTGCATGCTATACACATGTATCCTTCCTTGACTCTCATGAGTAGGCCACAAAGTGCAATCTACACTTCTTCTATGGAGTCTACAAATGTAATCTCAGCTTACAGTATAATCATCGAGAGGTGATGTAGGTCTGTATCTTCGTCGGCTTTGTGTCTCCTCCAAGTCACTAGCTCTGAGAGGCTGACTGCTCCTTCCAGGACTACTGTGCACTGAGGACAAACGTTTGGCTCGCTCCTGTCGAAGGCTTTCGGTGGAGCGGGCAAGGTTATCTCGTAACTGAAATATGAATTGATTGGGGTAAAAAGGTCCTTTGATTAAATATGTATACACAGGACATGTCACCTATGACGTCACTTGCTGGCAGGCAAAACAGCCACTCATATGTGTCTTTCTCAAGTTGTTTTCAAATACGATATGGTGTAACATGCACATTTTAACCATCAAAACTACAAAGGTAAATATGCAGCCTATAGGTTGTTTAGATAAAAGTCGGCATTGCCTCACCACATCATGCAATTTAGTAAAATAATGTGGCATTGTCTACAGGCATGACGGGTTACAAAGTTGAAATGGAATCTTTTCAAGATTAAGGCAATAGGCCCTACATGTACAATGTATGTAAATGGTGCTTTCTCACCCTTTCAATGGCAGCACTCTGTCTCTCGTTGTCGTCTCGGTAATAGCCCAGCATCCCATCTACAGCTTTCAAATTCCGATTTGTGCTCTGCAGTGAACATGTAAGCAAATGATGTACAGAAAAAGTCATGAATTGAAACATACGCAGATTTATCACATCAAAGAATCATTCGTCATATCAAAAATTGTGTGTTATAATTGTGAAGGAGGGGGTAGATTCCATCAAAGGTTTACTCCCTCCTGCACAATGATGCACCTCTCTCAGGCATCATGGAGTTGTCTTACAATTGATACATAGGTGCATTATAAGTCCACTTACCCTTAAGGAGGATGTCAAACCTTGTACCTCATCTGTCACTGAGGATGAGGATCTTGGGTGTCTTGTTCTGATGACTCTAGGCCTGGTGCTAGAGTCGGATGGCTCATATCCATCAGTGTCGGAAGACATTGTCATCAAATCATCCTCTTCTACGTCACAGTTTGAAATTATTGCCAAAAGGCATCATCTAGCCAAATGTAGCATCTTAGAGGTCATTCAGTCATTCGCTGTTTTGATCTTACAATCCCTGCACAAAATGAGAAATGTTACCATGTTCATGAAAAGCAATGTAAACAATTAGATTATAAACTTGGCAATCTCAATGAGGCGGCAGTACAAGTATCAGCCAATGCCTTCATTGGCTGATAACAGTACTTATTACTACAGCCCTCAGCTCATTTGCATATAGGATGTTACAATTACTTTTGTAAATGTTAAGCAACTGTTTTCAGAGCACTTTAAACATTTTAAAGTTTTTGTATGTCGGCAGTTTTAGCTATCGGTACATCCTGGTGTGAGTAAATTACCCAGGCCTTGTCGCTCCCATTCATGTCCCTTGGTGACTATAGACTTTAGCTTCAGATACACAATATATGTCAACCGCTGTCCAGACATCTAAGTGCTTAGATTCATTTTGTACTTGAAATATGATCCACAATTGCTACAGTCTGAGCAAAAGCATGCTTTAAATATGGTGTGTGCAAGGTCACCATAAGACCCTATAGGTGGTGGAATATATTGGCAAAAAAATCACGACATCAATGCATGTCGTGAATTTCATGTCACAAAATATTTAGCGATGCCCTGAAAAACTGTGTGATGTCGTAAAAAAAATTGTGATGTCATGAAAAAAAGTATTTAGGCCTATATGTTTCATTGATGTTCCTTCAGTTCAGGGCCACCTTATAGTTCTCGTACATTGGGAAGTGAAGCAGGAATTAATATCATATTGTTTGTTCTCTTTTCCGCTTTGCACATTCCCACCCCATCGTTGAGGATTGTGTTCACAAAGAATAAGACTTTCCAGACAGATTTTAAAAGATACATACATCATATGCTCAGAATGTTACATGTGTTACATGGACAGAAAATTTGTTACAAATATTGATCGAAAGTTATAATCACAATAAATGTCAATAGTGTGCCTTTTCATTCTTATCACTACAGCATTGTTACCTGCTGTGGAAACCAAGACAATCTAAGGTACATGTGTATGTCACAGGGTATTAGAGAACATTATGTACATAACATATTTAATACGTCACAGGGTATTAAATATATCATCAGACCCCCTAAGGCCAAAAAAAAAAAGTCTCCGGTTTCTGGTATGCGCGCACGTCGCCGTAGCCATGCGCGTCGGCAAAATGAAAAAAAAAAATTTTCAATGAAAGATGATGTCTCAAATCCGCCAAACTCACTGGTTTGACTGGAATTCTGCTGCTGCGCAATTTCAATGTGTTTTTAGATGGGGTTATGATCGAGAATAAGCTTTATGTGGCCTCTCTGGACTCCCATATATTTGCACTAAGTTTAGTCGGGCACCATTTGCAGTCATCAGCCGACATTTGAAGCAAATTTGAAGCAAAAAAGTCGGGTAAAAAAAAAAAAAAAAGCCGCGTCGCCGCACCACTTTTTGGACAAGCTCCATACCAGAAACCGGAGACTTTTTTTTTGGCCTAAAGCCACACGGTCCTTTTTCTACGCACTAGCTTTCAATTTGTGTGCAACAACGCGCGCGCGTTGCAAGCGTTACCTGCGCAGATTATGGAGGGTCGATGATATATACTAAAGAACATTATGAACGTAGCATTGACAGAATTCACACAAGATTACGTATGTTACAATTACATAATTAATGTGTCTTAAATTGAAGACCACAAAATCACATGTTTATTTTGGCTGGCATGGCTGGCATGGCTGGCAGCAATCCTTAACATGTTCAATGGGTTATGAACAGGATGAATAGTACCAGTAACTGGGGCTCTTTTTTTATAGTACACGTAGCTACGGGTAGTACTAGTAGACCCACCATTTGAAGTAAAAACTTCTTTCTTTAAAGGGAGTTGTACTTGTGAGTTGTGGGTCGGGCATAAACTAATAAAGGAAGGAATAAAAATAATGAGATGACATTTGGGTAAATTCATAGTAATTAGTGTCCTGTCAATAAATTTACATCAAACGATTCTGTCCTTCAATTACCGGTATGTAATTTAATATTTACGATGAACAAACATGATGAACAACCCAGTATTACTCTAGACTAAAGTTAAAGTAACGAAAAAAATCATCTTTATATTTTGTAGACCCACATTTGTGTACATGTATACATACATTAATAATATCACCACGATCAAGCCTGCTTTCAAATTCAGGGGAAAAATGAACAAAATATCTTGCTCTTCCAGGACAGGGGCAATGTGCCCCTCTCAGTCTCAGACTCAAATCCCAAATTTGCAGTGTACCCCGTAACTGTGGAAATGCCCAAATACTGAAAGTCAAACGACAGCATGTCGCCTTATTTACCACAGTGTTGCACCATAGACAACTATAATAAACAAGGAACTTCTCCCTTGCTCTGTCAACCAGACAGTTTTTGTACATGTGTATGCCCATGGTATGCCCTACCACGACCGCGTACCGGGGGCCGGCGCGGTAGCTTCATGGCCTCGGCGGCACGTTCCACTCGAGACTCGACAACTGACATCATGCAAGTTTTGCTTTAAATCTGTGAACATTTTGAATAGTTCTGGTGTTTAACTCACGTCCATTATGATTAATGCAGCATGTCCACGAACGCTGGCGGATCCTTGTTGCCTCCAACGCAGGGTACGCGGGTCAGGGAGTATCGAGAATATAAAAATTGAAATGGCCGCTCGTTCTGCTGTGTCAGTCAGGTCAGTACAGCCGATCGTGTGTAAACAATGCAGCATTCATCCACGCGATAGAATCGATCACAGCAGTAAAAACCTCCCCAGTGAGTTGTCTACGTTTAATACACGAACCCCTGTCTCGGCCTGGAGGCGGGTTAATGAAAGAATGGTCACGATCAGTTGAAACGTAGGGTACGAGGCTGCATTATAAAACTATCAACCTGCCGTTCTGCCTCTGGCTAGCTTCTTTGCAAGACCGTCTCCGCACTTTGAAATTTAACAACGCCTTTGAAGAAGGAAATTTAAAAACAACGATAAAATCGATAAAAGTCGACGAAAGCTACCGAATCCTTGTGTTGCGAGAAAAAGAGAGTTCAAAGAAACACTACTGCAACTTAATTATTGTGGTTGTGGCTAATAAATCTGTGTAATATTATTCCTCATTTGTCCAAAATATTAGATTTGATGTCCCAGTCCTGAATTGTCTTGATCTCATTGACAATTTTTTTTTATTCGATGGGACTGGGTATTTTATACATGCATGTTACTTTTTTTCTTTGTACTTGATGCACTATTAGTTCGCTTTTGGCAATCCTTCTGGGGTATTAATATCAATTGGTTTTGTTTTTATTTAGTCTTTGTACTAACCCTATTACCAAAAAATATGTTTGTATTGTAGTTTGTGTCCGTTTGTATGTGTTCTTACCCCCGAGGACAGACAGGTTGAAAGGGAGAACAACAGATCCTTTCAGTCCTCTAAGTTTGGTCTTTTAAAACGGTCCTAGTTTGTGTGCTTAGTCTATGGGAGAGTGTTATACAGGGACAAAGGAAAATATAAGGCATTGTCCTCGGGAGTATGGTAAAACAAAAGTGGTTGCTTACCTGCAGAGGCTAAACAATGCACGTCGGTTATTTCAGTGGGAAATCCTCGTCGAAATTTTCATGGAGATGAATCCTTTGGTGCACTAGCGTTTGCAACAACAGATTAAGCTGAATTTCGGACTAGTATGTATTCTTAGATGATCTACTCGTGAAATAACGACTTGGAGAGATCATTAAGGTTAATACATGCATTTGGGGAAGTTTTCGAACGATTTCTTCCAGACTTGAAGGTCAGCTTTATACCAGTGACCACTGACCAGTATTGACGTTTCGGCATCGATGACCGAGATTTTTTCACTGACAAGAAGTTCAGCCTTATGTCGTCTTCCGTCATAATTTAACATTTCAATCATATTTTCTGAGAAACACAACGCTCAAAAGGCCATTTTTTGGGGGGTGCATGGATTTCACTGCTCTCTAAGTACGTAAATACAGTAATCAGATTTGCCCAACAACATAAGAAGCTTTGCCCTAGCAACCACATGACTGCATATGGGTCATCTGGGCCACTGGTCCCATTATGGGCGGACCTATAATAGGCCCCAAGGATTCTGCACCATAATGATACTTGAGCCAATTTTGGCTGATCTATTTTTAACAAAGCACCAATGCAGCCTTCTATTGTCTTTGTTTATCAGTCCATGCACGGGACGGGGAGCCTATAGTTCACATTGTATACCCATGGAGGAAGGAATTTTCCTTCCTTCATGGAATACCCCTCTCCTCAATCATCAAAAATAACTTGGAGCATATTTTTTTTCAGTTTTCGTTTTCTGGCGGCTAGGGCAATTTTGGCTCATATGGCGCAGTCAGCTCACCTATAGGCCCATATACTGATCTTTGTCTAGTACTCTCGAGTCTGTCCAGTAAGTTGGTATCATGAGGTACTCTCCGCCGTAGAGCATTATGGATGTCCATCGATCATCTTTGATGGTGCCATGGGCGTCGCGAGGGGGGGGGGGGCAAGGGGGGGCACTTGCCCCCCCCCCTGGAAAAGCAAAAAAAAAAAAGGAAGAAAAAAAAAAAGAAAAAAAAAAAAAGAAAAAAATAGGCGCGAAGACAAAGTGGTGTAAATTTAATGAGTTGGGGGGGGATGTCCCTGCCCCCCTCTAAAACTGATAAATCGAGAATGTGTTGAGAAATACAAGCCTTTTTTTGGCAAAAAAAATGTTTGCCCCGCTCTAGAAAAAATCCTGGCGACGCCCATGGATGGTGCTAGATAGATTGCATGGTTATCAAAATAATGGCTGCTCTGGTGATGATATACCGGCACTCAGAACTCCCTTCGCGAATATTATGAAATTCTAATAATTCTATAATATCCAAAACGTGGATAGCTTTTTCGCTCGATGTCTATTTCAAAATAAATAATTGTTTGTTTAAAAAGTAATTAAAAATGTATTTTCGGGGTGAAACTCAAAAATAGCCTAGCACGGGGGATCGGAGCAGCAACCCAAAATCCAAATAAAAATGACGTGTGCTACCCGGCGTACCCGTGCATGCTCATAATCATCAATGTAAAGCAAGCATGACATACGTATTCGGGTTTTTTTCTCCTAACGAAATTTCGGTTTGTCTTGTATGTTTTTGAACGGGGAAATATACTATGTTTCTCATTAGTTGATTGGACGTTGTCAACCCTCTGAAACTGTTCTGCACCCTTCTTAACGCTACAAAAAGATTCGCATGAACGTCGTTTGGAAGGGCGGCAAATAATTCAACATTATGAAGTAGAATTACAGTGTTCCAAAACTAACACTTTAGGCGGATTTTGATGCCACATTGTTTTCTGTTCAATTTAGCTTTCGTATTGCTGCAATTTAAAAATAAAATGTAAGTTCGGGGTGAAACTCTGAAATTGCCCGGGGACAGCAACTTTAATTTGACTCCCCTGGTATAGTTTGTTTCTTTATGAATTTTTTGTATTGTTTCGTAATACGCAGAATTTTTAGTTTTTGCCAAAGATCCTATACTTTGGTTTTTGCCATACAGCTATATTAATTTTATTTAATATAGCTCTATGTTTTTTTTCTGAGATCGGTCATTTGGCGCGCATTGTGTGATAGGCCTAGGCAGCGCGCATGACACATCCGACTGACCGCGGTCAAGAAAATAATAATTACAATCAAAAAGAAACGGCAGTGCTGGTTGGTTGTTGACTTAGCGCTCAATAAAATCTGCCCAATCATCTTGCAGCTATCCTGACAATAACCATTTCACTGGTTTCCTACCTTGAACACTATACGAGACATATATACACGAGTACCAGTCAAGTAATAACCACGCGGCGCATGCAACATTTCAGCATTGCATTTTCTTTCATAAAAGCGTGCTTGCTGAGGGTCGATCACGAATCGTGTGAGTACAAAAAAGTGTGTTTACTATTTTAGTTTTATTACTAAAATACTAATTCTGAATTTCCATTAACAATGAATTTTAACACAGCGTGTAATTTTTACAATAAGTGTGAAATCTGTATACGTTAAGTTTGTTGAAACCCATTAAATTCGTCGTGTAATTGTAAAGTTGTCGATTTTTGTAGTTTTTTTCATGATGATTCAGCCTGCAGACTAGACACAGATGAGCAAACTCGGTCCCGGTTTAAGATGTTCAACATCATGCTCAACTCGGCACTATGTCAGCTCGGTCCTGGATTGTTTTGTACCTTGTCAATGGGAAGATTTTGAGTCAACTTGTACTTGTAGTTGTACCATTGACAACTCATCCCGGCACAATTGCAGAATACCCCGCCACTCGATCTATCCACCTCGTAGCCGGCTACGAGGTCACGGCTGATTGACCTCAATAAACATTCTCAGCGCTACTTGTATGTACTATGCATCATGCTCCATTGCACTCCGAGTCCCACTTCGTGACCGCGTAGCCGCCAACAGGGTAGTTGGTTTGGACTACTCCTAGAACTATGATGCTCCGCGTGAGCGGAGCCTCATAGACACAGAACTCCGCAAAATTGTTTGCAGCACAAAACACCAATTAAGTACAAAAACGTCCATCAAAACAGAGACATTTCCCACAGAACTGCTGCACAGATTGCCCCTAAACTTCGAACAATACCTCATGACATGCTCACGTTATGTGCACCCAACAAACATCGGTGGATTCTGTCTGTTTTCGGCAAAAATGATGAAAAATATGCCCTTTCCGCACTGAGCCAACCTAACACTTGAAACGAGCACGCGCGCAGATATATCGCAGTCATTTTCGGTTCGATCGCTCGGAGCGCGCCGCGGGGGGTATGGTGTAGAGCGGAACGATAGTATGCGCATGCGTACAAGTGCAAGTACGTACCCCCCGCGGCGCGCTCCAAGCGATGGAACCGAAAATGACTGCGATCATTCTGCGCGCGTGCTCGTTTCAAGTGTTAGGTTGGCTCAGTGCGGAAAGGGCATATTTTTCATCATTTTTGCCGAAAACAGACAGAATCCACCGATGTTTGTTGGGTGCACATAACGTGAGTATGTCATGAGGTATTGTTCGAAGTTTAGGGGCAATCTGTGCAGCGGTTCTGTGGGAAATGTCTCTGTTTTGATGGACGTTTTTGTACTTAATTGGTGTTTTGTGCTGCAAACAATTTTGCGGAGTTCTGTGTCTATGAGGCTCCGCTCACACGGAGCATCATAGTTCTAGGAGTAGGTTTGGACTTAGAATTTTTCAGCAACTCCCATTCATTTTGTGTCGCTTCGTTCTCAAATAATGGACCCCCACTCAGTATCCGTGTAGCTGGCAATGAACTTGAATTGTTTCTTTAGCAGTGATTCCAACCTCGTAGCCAGTGATTTTAGGGGTGTATTTCCGAGTGGCGGGGTATTCTGCAATTACTCCCTCATCCCCTTGGTACAACTAGGCCTATATAAATAATGCAGGGCCACTACACTCTAGACTAGTCTCTACATCCGCGCCTTCGTACGGCTGCGTGGAGGTGTAAAGCCGCAGTCGACCTACCTCCGAGAATTGCGCCCTCTATCTGCGCGCGTCTCTCTGACTCCGCGACTTTGTGCCTCCGCGACTCCCAACAAAATTCAAAATGGTTATCAAGCTAATATTGATTTTGTGAGTTGTTTTATCACGTGCCCAAATTCGGGTCACTTTCTGACCCCAGTTCGTAAGTTTGGCATCCCCCACAATACTACACACCTGCACTACAGACGATCTTCCACTCTCAGTGGCCCAAACCATCACCAACGTCAGAAAAAAACTTCCATTTTAACCACTTCGACATGAAAAAATGGCTGCAATCATCATTTTCATCTTAAACCCCATCTTACAAGGAATCCTAAAAAAAATTGAAAAATATTTCGCCTTTTACGGAGAGATTTTTAATCCCATTTATTTTGCAAGAATGCATCGTACGTTTCCCTTATTTTTGGTTGAAAACCCAAGGGTGGGAGTTCGTCTTGTCACCTGATAGCAACATGGTTGGTCACGTGACCGTGTTGGCGGGCCAGTTCACTATTTATATAGGGGTGCCGAATTTCGGGACGTGCTGAAATTCAGGACATCTACCCTAATTAATCATTCATTTGCCCCGTACTCATGGCAAGGTTTTATCCAGAGGTGTGATTGGGCATCTTTTCGACACCTTTTTGTTTATTTTGACAACCCATTTTGTCATGCACATAAAGGCAAACTCAGGCACAAGATTGGCAAATGCTCGTTTTTATACAATACAGGTTTAAGGCTAGATGATTAACGGTTTTGATGTTCTGGTTTCTATTTCAGACAAAATGACGAAAAAGCTGTACGTGGGCAACCTGCCCTATGACTGCACGGATGAACAGTTAGGAGGACTGTTCTCCAAGTTTGGATCAATCACAGAATGCAAGGTCATGGGAAGATATGCATTTGTAGTAAGTACATGAATAGTCATTGCCTCATTTATAAAATGTTGAATGACGGATCCCATCCGAAGTCCTACACCAGTTGTGCAATTAACCCTAACTACCTACTTAGTTTTACTAAGTAGAAGACCTTGTGCATCAAAATCCATCACTCACTCTACTAGTGCTTCACATAATGCTTCAGCACCCAACCCGTTTAAATCCACCACTGGTGCTGGTGGGGTTTGATGGACTTGGTACACATGGCTTATCTGCCCAAATCCCCCCAAATGGGGGGGGGGGGTGGATTTTGATGGAATTGGTAAGGTTAGGGTTAAAAATAAATCCTTCAAGATTTGCCCCAAAACCATACTTCATGTAATTGTTTCAAATGTTTTCGAAAGCACCTCTTCTTCTTTATTCAAGCTAAACCATAAAATGAAAGTCAGTTTCAGTTTAATGTTATTAAGTATTTGATTCTTCAACTCTAATGTTGTTCTATGAGATTCCTATCAGTGTGTGAAACACTGATTTATAACTCACAAAGTGGATTGAGTAAATGCGTGTTTTGAAAGAATAATGCTTCACCAATTTGTACCCTTTACATTTGTCCATGACCCTTTTTGTTTTGCAACAGCACATGTCAACCGAGTCTGAAGCCAAAGAGGCCGTGGATAACCTGGACTCCTACAATTTCATCGGCTCTAATCTGAATGTCAAGTATTCGACCGGAAGCAGTGGTCGAGGTGGTGGCCGAGGTGGTGGCAGCATGGGCAGCCAGGGTAACTACCAACAATTTTTCAAATATGTACTAATCTCTTGCCTGGTTTTCTTTTTGAAAATTCCCCACCAATGACATTCGAAACCTTTCTCTTTTGTTGTCTGAGAATTAACTGTGGAATTTGTAAGGTAGGTTGTGGGTACCCACTCCCATAATCTGGAACCGGTTTCCGACTTCAATGGTCGGGTACTCGAGTACCTGGTTCCAATGCACAGCCCCAATGGTTCGCTCGTACCCCCCGCCCTGCAAAAACAGGACGCTGGGATACTCTGATGAATTCAAGCTCTGATTGGTTGGATTTTGCGTGACCTGTGACCTGCGTGTCATCACGGTCATGACTCTGCAAGGTTTGAAACGGCCGTTAAGACTGATTCATTACTCTTTTATTTCAGTTTAGATATTTTTTTTTTTCGTTGAAAGGCGTTATTATGTTGGAAATTCTGTAAAACTTATCTGTGTTGTAAATTTACAATTCCCGTCACTTGCTCAGGCTCCGTTTCGAATCACGAACGGTTGGATTGCATTTTGCGACGCTCAAAATTTCGTCCACATGGTCCGCAATGAAATACAAATCACATCTGGTATGAAATGCGTGGATTTCTATGGGAAGTTTTCGGATAGCATTTGCGCACATTATATAACTGCGGTCTTGAACAGCTGCAGCCGGATGCTTTATACATAGGTTATAGGCAATTTCCTTCACAAGATTCTGTGAAGCTCATCAGAGTATCCCAGCATCCTGTTTGCAGGGGGGGGGGGGGTACGAGCGAACCCCAATGGTTGGTTCCTAACCAAGCAATCCACACATTTTAAAAGTCCTTGTACTTGAGATGTTTTATTATGTAGTTCCATTTCAATGTTTAAATGAAACCACGCACACATTTCAAGGTGATTGGGACTTAATGAAGTTGTAGTATGTTTAGGCATTCACCGTTGTTTTCTGTTTGTGTCTCATGCAGCCAGGACCAAGTTGTACGTGGGCAACCTTCCCATGGACTGCACGGAGGCCCAGCTTCTGAAGGAATTCTCCAAATGGGGAGAAGTTGCCGAGTGTGACGTCATCAGAAACTATGGCTTTGTTGTAAGTTGAGAAGATCTTTAACCATGCTCAATGTTTACAACCAAATCCAGCAAGTGGTTATCTGGGTCAGATTATGTTTATCTGAATATTGGACAAATTTCCAGCTGATGCAACCTGTTGGGCTGAGCAAGCTGCATCCTTGGCTGGTGTTGGATTCTGTTACATTTAGTGGTAACTACTAAAAACCCTATTGGGCTTAGGTTTAATCAGTGTAAATGGACCTTCTTAATAGTTAACGAGTGAGAGAAGTAAATCTGGGAACAAGATTCTAGTATTTGTGTGGTTACGCCTCTTTTGTGCACGTGCATTAACGCTGAGTCTCTGCAGTACTTTGACTAGACACCCTTCTGGATGGAGATAGGCACTTGTTGAAAGTGTCTTGCCCAAGAACAGAAGCACCGTTTTCCTTGTCGGGGTTTGAGCCCACGTACCAAAGGACGAATTGACCCTAAAGTTTTACTAGAAAGTATCGTGAGTCCGCAAAAATCCTCCAATTTTGTCATGCAAAAAAATGTTGGTGTCCTCAGTCCATCAGAATCCACCAGTGAGGCCATCAGAATCCACCAGTGTATACATATACCTCGTACATACCAAGCATATAGCCTAGGAGTTAAACTGTTAGGATCCTTAATCCATCATAGTCCCCCAACTGCTCAATATGGAGGTATCCTGAATCCATCAAAATCGTGCAGTGCCGCTAGGCTTGCTGTCCTGAATCCATCAAAATACCCTAACCTATTCAATATGGAGGTATCGTGAACCTGCTAAAATCCTCCAAAACAGGGGTGTGGATTTTGATGGATTCAGTTATGTAAGGGTTTAAAAGCATACATGTATATGCATTAAAAAGCATGGTCATGTTCCACACAAAGTAATGTCATTGTAGTCAAACTAATATGTGCTGATCCTGCCCTTGTGTTTCCAAACACCACAGCACATGAAGACAGAGAGTGGAGCTGTCGAGGCCCAGAAGAATCTCAACAACATGGATTTCTACGGCAATAGCCTGGTGGTCATGCAGTCAACCAGCAGGGTACACAAGGCACCGGGGGTAGGGAGTAAAGGAGAGTGCTTCCAGTGTGGCAACAGGGGGCATCTGTCCAGGGAATGCACAGAAGGAGGGTAAGTTCTACTTAATTTACCTCATCAAACTGCCATACAGCGTTACCACCAACTACATGTATGTCCATTCAAACCTTCCTGAATTCTCCAAAAATACATCATTGTGCAGAAAACACATGGCACGTTCTTCGTACTTTAACCCTAACCACCCCAACTCCATCAAAATCCATCCTCGCATTTCGGTGGATTTTGGGGGACTTGGTCCAGGAGGCCTGGCATGACTAAATATTGATGGAGTATGATGGACTTGGGCCTAATGGCCTGAAGCAGTTGAAAAGTCTTCTGTCAACCCACCAGAAATTTAAAAGAATATGAAAGATGACTTGTCTGATCATCATTTTTCTGTGCAGCCTGAACACCTGTTTGTGAGAGTTCTGAGTATTTTGAAAAGATTTTGGAAGTATGGGGATTTATCACTGGTGTCTTTCGGAATTTGTTTGCTTGGGTGTAGCCCTATGTCCTCTTAGCTAGGAACCACAGCTCATCCTTCAAAATCCTTCAACAGTCACTGTAATACGTTGAAACAGTGCGGATGATATCCAGTGTGACGTGGGCCTCAATTAAGCATGGCTGAACATAAATAATGCAGGGCACAGCCTTACGACCTCAAGAAAAACTGACATTTTTTTGCTGTTCAGCCTCAATCCTTCACAATCCTCTTAAACCACCTGGTTCATTTTGGAAGATTGAAGGAGTTAAGGTTAAAGGAGCATCAAGGCCAGTATGAAGCCCTAGTTGCTGGACTCCAGTTTCCTCAATCCTTGCAAAACCTTTGGATTTTGAGGGTTAAGAGTTCATTGTTATGGTCCACTTTGAGATCCACAAGATGTTGGAGTTTAAAGCTTAGTCAGTTCTCGTGGGGGTGGTTTTATGTTTAAGTTTGTTTTATATTTAAAGTTTACACATCAGGGCTGAAATGGAAATGCCAGTAAATTTTCATGTGGATGAGATTTCATGGTTATGATGAGACCCGTTATTTTTGCTACTACTACCGTCTGAGTAGTGACAGTGATTTCACAAGGTTTCTGAACCGATAATCATGTCGCCTATTATTTAAACTTGTTAAAGGGAATGTACAGTATTTACAAACATCGAAAAACAAAACTACCAAATAATTCTGAAAACCTTACTAGCCTGTTAAAGAATGACAGTCTAAAGCATCCTGTAAAATCATGCACCTGGGCCGAATTTCACGGCGCTGCTAAGCAAAAAATTTGCTTAGCACAAAAAAATCCTGGTTTATAAAACCAGTTTACCAGCCAAAACTCCGTGTGATTTTCATGCTATAGTTTTGGCTGGTAAGCTGCTTTTATAAGCCAGACCTTTTTTTTTGTGCTAAGCGAATTGTTGTGCTTAGCAGCGCCGTGAAATTGGCCCCGGTGTGCTGACATATAAATCAAAGGAACATGTATTTTTGTATCAATTTCCAACGCTTGTCGGTCGACCAGCGTTGGAAAAAAAAACTGGTGTGTTTTTTTTCAAATACTGCCCCCAATTTACCATATTTAGTCAGTCCGCATTTTGTTTGCCATCAAATTGCACTCTTTTGAGCGGGTACAAGCCAGCAGGACTGGTTCCCTGACCTTACAGTTCCCTGATGTCTAAACATTGTTCTGTTTCATCTTAAGTGGTTCAGGAAACCAGACTACAAGAGCATGATATTTTTTTCTTAGTTTTTCCAGTATCTGCGAACAAAAAAACTTTGAACAAGTCAGTGTAACAATATTTGCTATAAAATACCCCCAAATCCATCCATTTCTGAAAATCACAGCAAAAGCAAAATGTTGTATACATGTATTCCCTTTGTAAACAGCAATTCAAAAGAAGTGTTTTCAAAAAACTCTTATCACACTAAATCTTCCACATGTCACTATGTCGAGGGAAAAGTTTTATGTTTGTGATGATTCTCCCACAGATATGACCGATCAGCCAGAGGTCGTGGCCGAGGCCGTGGTGGTTCAAGTCGTGGCGGTTACCCACCAAGGGGCGGAGCTTCCGATGGGAGGTCCTACAATGGATACAGCAGCAGTTCATCGTCCTATGATCCTTACTATGACTACCCTCCTCCAAGGAGACCCCTGCCTCCTGCCGATGATTACTACGGCAGAGAGGGCGGCAGCAGACGATATGCTGATGACTACTTACCCAGGTGAGCTGGGCACAGTAGTTGATTGCGGCACTCTCTGATCCCGGCAAGCCTGGAAATGAGCTTCCATTCTTTCCAGTCAGGGAAAACTCAGTGAATGTGGGAAAACACAAAAAATCAGGGGAGAAATTAGCCTTGGTCAAGGCGCTAGTTGTTATTCATCCCGCGGCCGTAGCGCGGTAAACGATATCCTCGCTAGCGCTATGCATGCGGTGCATTAAAAATACAGCGCGAGCAGCGACCTCACGCGGCCACCATTTCTATGCAAATCAGTTGGACCCAATCTAACGCCTTGGTTCAATCGTCCATGTGAGGTTTTGGGGGTGGTGCTCATTATGTTAATAGCCTTAGCTGAACTTAAATGTCGATTTCTTATTGGTCGATCGTTGTGTGGAAACTTGCATAGTGAAACGTGGCACCGTACATAATCCATACACGTACACATTGTGTGTCTCTGCACTCGGCACCAATGCACAAAAAAACTGTGGTTCCTGTCACGTCTGCAAAAGGCGAATGGCTGCCAATAATTTGATGACGTGTAGATTTACCAAGGTGTGATTGCACACTCCACATATTAGTCTCGCCTACACTTATCTGTTCTTGCATATGAGGTCGTGCGCTAGAAATCCAGCGCAAAATAAAGAAAAACATAAGCTTTTGCCGACGATTGAACCAAGACGCTATATTGGGTCCAACTAATTTGCATAAAAATAGTGGCCGCGTGAGGTCGCTGTTCACGCTGTATTTTTAATGCACTGCATGTGATGACTGCATGCATAGTGCTAGCGAAGATATCGTTTACCGCTCTACGGCCGGATGAATAACAACTAGCGCCTTGACCAAGGCTAGGGAGAAATCTGGGAATTTGACAGTGACCTAGTCAAGGTTTGCTCTGGTTGGGGGTATGTGTGTCTTGAGCCATGTGTCCAAGTTGTGTTCACTGGGTGGCTGTGGTGGCATTTTAGTGTTTAACCCTTACTCTCTGAGGGTAGTTTACTGCATGTCAGTTGGTTATGCCAATGCCCTCCAGCTGCAGTTTATTGGAGGATACTTTGATGTAGCAGTGAAGGCTCCAATTGGCAGGAGTTGGAGGCCCTGGAGGGTGCCTGATACTGACCAGCTGGGGGCACTTGATTGTTATCAGAGGACTCTCATTGTTCTCTGTGGCATGTATTGGAGTGCCTGTCCAGTTACCCTTGAAATGACATGGCAGATATTGGAGGGCCATGCAAAAAACATAGATTTTCTTGAGGCACATATTGGCATGCGTTGGAGGGTCTAGTAGGGTAAGGGTTAAGCAGTGTCAACAAGTTGCCTGCGTACTATCAGCATCTTAGTTGCTCTGCTGCAACAACCCTTTGACCTCCCCAGCAACTGCTTGAAATTGGAAATGTTTCATGGAGTTTTAGAAATTTCACAGGGAAATATTCACAGGGGAATTTTGTTTTGCTTGTTATGATGTTATATTACATGATGATCTTATATAGTGTGCTTTAGATGAGAAAGTTTGAATACAAAAACCGGATATGTTTATTCGGCCAATACACACTGTCTTTCAATTAATTTATTAGTTGAATGTTTATGGTTTCAGGAGAGCAGTCCCTCGTGATTATGTGGCAGTACCTCGCGAATATGCATACGCCCTGAGACCTAGAAGCAGGAGCCCACCACCAGGGTACAGAAGACGCCTTTCACCTGCAAGGTAAAACCTCCCCCTCATGCCCCCTCCCCCTCATGCCCCCTCCCCCTCATGCCCCCTCCCCCTCATGCCCCCTCCCCCCAACACCCTCATCCCTTTCCCCCAACCGCTTCTCCCCCCCCCAACCATTTCTTCCCCCCGCCAACCCTTTCTCCCCACCCCTTTCTCCCCCCCCAACCCCTTTCCCCCCCCCCCCCCCCCCGCCCCACCTCCCAACTCCCCCCCCCTCCCCCAACCCACAGACACGTTTAGTTATGGTGTAAATCGAAGATTTTCTTTTGTTCCTCTTCCCTTTTCCTTTGTTTGTACTCGTAGTTTTTCACAACAGCTCTTATTGGTTTTGTACACGTTTTCTAATCGAGGTCATCCTCGATTTAGTTCGTGTCCGCGATGATGTTGCACTTGTGTGTCCTTCCGTTACACCATAAACAAACGCGCACACACACCCCACTTGAGCTCTCGTGAGTGGTGCCAAAGCACTATCTTCTGTTCAACGACGAAGTCCGTAATTTCATTGACGGAATAAGGGCACACTCTTTTCCAAATCCTGCAAGCCCCTGTATCATGGTCATGATGAAACCCTTTGAAGTATTGCTACTACTACCGTCTGAGTGAAGACAGTGACTTCTCAAAGCTTTCTGAACCATGACATGTATCCTGCACTGTGACACCTGCTGCTATATGGGGTTGGAATTGACCAGTAAGCTTAGAGATTGAGTGGATGTGTAATAATAAGCAGGAGGTCCCGAGTCCTATCCAACAGGCATGCAACTTTTCCTCCGATCCGCAGATTTCCTGGGTTTTTTTTTTAACTTCTCGGGAATGCCATTTCAAATTGAAAAACACTGCTCAAAGTCTTGTGTGCTTTGGAGTTTCCTCGTTTTTTTTCTTCAAAATTCCTAGTAGCATGCCTGACCCAAGCAAGCTTGAGATATTTATTTTCTTACGAGCTCTTCGACACAGCGCTAGCGAAATCGTCAGTTGGAAATGCCCGATATTAGTATGTATCTTTCATTCTTAACTATCCCTTTCATGTAGGGAGGAATATGACCGTTACTATGAGCGTCTGCCCCCCAGGGATCCATATGACTACCCACCACCCAGGCGGTAAGTGAAACCAACAACAGTAAAAGGCGACCAATTTGTAGGGTTAAGGCAGCTATTTGTCTGACGACATCCAAAAATTTGTTATTTGTAAATAGCATAAAAGAGGGTTCATTTTAGTGGAATATACTTCATGCATGTACGTATCCGTGAGTGGCTATGTACTCGCACTCGTCGTACTTAGCCAATTTGATGGGGATAAGTATTCACATTTTGTATGTTGCCAATTACATTAGTTCGTTTAGAAGCCTTTTGTCTGAGAAACCACTTTAGTTTTTTTGGGTTACTTTTAACTGTTTGTATGATGTTGTCATTGAGTTTCTGAAATTTGCCTGGAAATGAGAGGTAAGAGGAGATGGATGTATTACGCTGAAATGATCATGAAGGTGCTTCCATTGCTATTCATTCCAACAATTCCGGAAAACTTAAGCAGATTATCGGCAGAAGCTCGTTTGAAATTCAGACACAAATTTTCCTTGTATTTTCGAGGATTTTCAAATAGCAGCGTATTTCACCCCCAAAAAATAAGTTGCACTTTCAGAAGTATGAATTTGTGACTGTTGCGTTGTTTGCCGTGATTTTGAGAAGAAAAGTTCCGATCTCTATGAAATGTTCAATCGGCAGTGAATGCACGAGACTTAAGTATTCGCTATCAAAGTATCTGTTTGTGACGGGCAATGCCTTTGAATTGGCAATTATAATCTAATCTTGTCTTTTTTTCTTGTTTCGTCGCGTTCCTTTCCCACAGCTCTCTGCCGCCGCCATCGTCCTCTGCGCCTCCGGCTCGAAGGCTTCCGGCGGCGCAATATTAAGACCGCCCCCGTGTCGACGTACAAGAATAAGTGTTTATTGTCGTCTGCCGCGTCATGGAATAGTAATCGGATAGACTCTTAACCGTGTCACGTGATTAACTTTTGTATACCGGATTTACTTTATGGATATATACTGCGCTATACTTGTAACAACGTTTTGTTTTACATGTATTCCGGACATTTTAATTTCTGTCGTGCCAGAAAATCACGGATACCCGTTTGCTTGTAGTTACTGTTTTTAATCAATCCGTAGCCTGCCCGCACGTGCAGTGAACGAGATATAAACCACTTTCTTGAGCATGTGAAATGACTGAACCAATGTGGTACATTCAGCTATGATCTGGAAGACAATTTGACAGAATGTTACATCCAGATTGCTTTCAGCAGCTATTCATCCATAAATACGGAAGAAATGTTCAATTTAAGATAATAGTCGTGCTTTCTGATGGTTGAGTAAAAAGTTCCTTTAGAAAAATCATAAACTTTTGTAGCATGTTTTACAGGCTTCACTTGTACGTTTTGGAAGGGCATCTTGATTAAATTCAACAAAAATCATGATATAGTGAGGTAGTTTAGCTTCTGATAAAAAAGAAGAAGCGTAATCAAGACATTAACTGTATATATATCCATAGATGCAGGACTTGTTAAAGAATTACTTGCATAGTGTTGCACAATTTTATTCCAGACGAGAAACAAAATTTGAATGCACAAAGTAGCCAGCCTTGCATGTCCTTAATAGATTCACGCCTTTTTTTTTTTCAGTACGTTTGATGATATACTTCTTAACAGCAATGGTCCTCCAAAAAATGAATTCTACTTTGTTTTAAACATTAAAAAACTTAACACCTCAAAGGTTCGCACAAAGTCAAACATGAAACAGAGCGAAAGATCTGAACAAAAGCCAAGCAGAAACGCAAACCCTCCATCATTTCTAAATGGTTCAGTGTTTGTTTTAGAAGATGGAACATATCGAGAAAAGTTAGGAATACATCCAGGTTATATTTGAAAACAGGTTTTAACCATTGTTCTTCTCAACAATATTCCAATTAATATGTTTCTGCATATCACATAGATACCTGATTTTTAGGGAACGCTACAAATAGAAAACCTATTGTTTCCTCTGCTGTATATAGTGCTTACTGATTTTTCTGTCTCGCGCATTTATTTTTTGTGTGACTTTTTGATAATGTTTTTATAGTTGAATCTTTGTAAAAGTAACCACAGCAGGCTAGCAGAACATCCAGAGCATGAAAGCTTGTAGAAATCTGTATCGGCCGCACATCACGTAGCTATCTCTGTTTTTGCTTCTGATGTTTTTAAAGGAAGTGTAAGTTGTGTCGAGTTATGTTAGTGAAGTTGTAATCGGAATCGAATGTAACAGTCATATGCCGTGTTGAGTTAGAAATAAATATTGTCACATTCGCTGTTAATCTGAGTAACCAATGTTTCGGAATCGTCGTTTCTGTTAAATTTGATCGTCGTGATTCTGAGTATCTTTGACATGACCTATGCCGGTGCTGTGGAACTGTTGTCTGTAACTTGTGCACCGTGATCAAACCATCATGGACATTGGCATATGATGCTCCGACAGCCGGAATCGTGCCGGAATTGTACGCCATGGTCGTGCAGCTGAATTTCCCCGACGTGACGGATGACACAGCAGCAGCCAGATCCCCGAAGAACATTTTTTAAAGAAGACGCAATGAAACGGGCCGCCATGTTGATACCGGGTACGTTGCCGTACCAATCGGAAGCTCGTTGACCGATTCTGTTCATGGTTAAACCGTAAGAAACGGATCTCCATTGGAAAGGTAACGTGTGTGAACGATCCTAACAGTTTCTCCGATGTACATGTACTGTTGGGAATAATTTTGTTCGTGGAATGTGCACGAGTGTTAACAACACAATGACACATTTGCTGTGTAGTCGCAACTTGTGGAGCTCAAATTCTTAACAAGCTAAAACAGTTCGCTTGATTTTATCGGTTTCGTGAATTTTTTTCTTTTTCGGTTTACCCAGTTTGATACGTCAATGATAGCTGCAAGGTGAAAAAGCATATACAGTGTAGGACATAAACAAATTTTAAGTCTAACAGAATTTTCTTGGGGGGGGGGGCACTGATTTAGCCTTGCCAATGATTTTGTGAGATGGCAGTATGACCCTGTATTACATGTGCATTCAGAATATGTAAAACCTCCTTGTTCAAATTCAGTACATTCTTGATTTTAACCTTGATTTCCTTGATCCCCATTCAAGTGCCAGGCCAAAAGTGGTCAGCATTTTTTTGGTGTTCTTTTTTTTTTTAAGAAGAGAGCTTACAAATGTTTGAGACTCGAGTGGAATTAAAAGAAATAGAAAAAAAAAACCTCAAACTTGCATTATAACTTGATTCAACACTCATCATAGAAGATTGGCTCCAAATTCCAGTCATTTTTTGTTCACTCTACAAATCGAATGCACCACATTCTTCTGGTGTATTCAAGGAGTCCAACTTTTATGTGAAACAAATGCTACTATTAAACCTCATGACAGCAGTTGGTATCTATTTGCGTGTTGATCTGACGTTTGGCCTGGCTCAAGAACTACATGTATCTTCTTTGAATTCTGTCTTCCCAAACATTAACCCTAACCTTCCCAAATCCTCCAAATTCCTCCTCGCATAAGTGGTTGATTTCGAAGGATTGAGGTTGAATGGCGATAAAAATGTAAGGCTGATTATGAGGATGCATTGTCCTAGGCCGAACCTTGCGTTGTTCATGCTTTGCTGTGCATAAATTTAGCCCTAGATTACACAGGTATGCACTCATTCGCATTACTCCAGGATATCATAGGCACTACCTCAATGTATTTTTTTATAACTGTAACTGCTGGAGGATTCTGAAGGAATGAGGCAGTAAGTAGCCCTCCAATGAATAAATTCAAGAAATAATAGAGGATTTTGGAGGATTGAGGTTGCTTCCTAGCAAAAGGCCTAGGGGTTAGGGTTAATGCAAAGTTTTATTGTGAGATACTGCTTATTAAGTCGTTTATGACTACTTTTTAGTCACCAATTATTATTTATTGTTGTTTCTTCCTTTTTTTTGACAAATCAAATCTCCAGACAACCTCCTGCAAGGGTACCTCCTGCGAGGGTACCTCCCATGAGGTTACCACCCTACGAGGAAGCACCTACCAGGCCCAGAAACGGCACAAGCTTTGCCGACGATGTCACTGTTTGATGTCATGGTAAGATGGATTTTGGATTTTTGCAAGTTTGAAGACTAGTAGTTAAAACAAATACGAGGGGGAAACTCCTGGGAAAAGAAAGGTATCGAGGGAGCAAAAAGTTCAAAAGAAATGATTCCAATTTTAAAACAGAATTTAGGTGTCCCCCCCCCCTCCACCAAGCAGCGGTGTCAATTTGCAGTCTTTTCAACATTGTAGTGTCTTTGCTAAAAGCCACTTAATAGCAGTTACTACCTAGTATTAAGTTAAAGCCGTGTAAAAAGATCTGGTGGTTTTTTTCCTTCCAAAATACAGCAGCCCAACACAAACACAACACAAATGTAACAAATTTGTGAAGACCTGTATTTTGCAGATCACACTGTTTTATAATAAGTTTGACGTGCCCTTCTCAATTTCTCAATTTCAATCTATTCTCTTATTTATTTCAGAAGCCAATCCAAGATCCTGGATTGATCGTGAGGGTGTCAAATTTAGTCCATCGTCCAGCCTCTAGTTTCAATTAGCAGCTGATTTTTAACCCCCAGTGATGCCTTTTTTTATCGATGATGTCGTTTGATGTCCTAAGAAGTGTTTGTGTCCTGAGATTCTTGACTTAAATCTTGTTAATTTTTATATTTTTTTATCTCCTGTGTGTGTTTTTTTGTTATTTCTGCCACATCGCTGATGGTCACACTAATCAGGGGAAGAAGTGTGCAAAAACAAATAGTTACTAATTTCAAATTTTTGTCAGCAACCAGTTTGATCTGTTAGGGGTGCAGGCCAGTAAATAGGCCCGAAATTGCCTCTGCTGGCCACATCACATTTTATATGGCCTCAATTATTTTTGCTAATAGAGCAATTTGCGGGCCATGAACATAAGGGTTTGTTACAAAGAAGGATGGAAGCCATGTACAGGACTATGAGCTCGTACTTCTGTGAAATTCAGATGAAACTGGGTCTAAAAACTGCTCTATTTTTGCAATGCAACGTAGGCATTCTTTTTCAAAATGGCGATGGGCTTCAGGACTACTTTTAGGGGTGATCATCTTAAGATGGAATTTTCTCCCAAAAGTCGTCGGTAAACCCCCCAAAAAGTGAACAGAAAATGAAAGACGATGAACTAAGCTTTAATTTGATGTACATCTCAAACACCATGGAGAGTCGTGAGTATTTTTCATTTTTTTGGAAGTGGGCGTAATTATCAGTGGAGTCTATGGCAGTTTATTTACTGCACACAGCAGCTATCTTGGTTGTGGTTTTATGTCATTTTGATTCAGTGACAGTGAGTGCACAATAGGCCTGTTCATGTGCCTTTTGCAACAAAAGCACTGGGCTTCCAAGATGGCTGCCATCTCTTGCCAATCATGCCTGCAGATAAATACAGTTTGAATTGTTTACCTTCATCACTGTCCTACAAAGATGAAATGCCAATAATGCACAGACAGTACTGGATATCTGGTGATTATGTAGAAACGGGCCCTATTTAAAAAATCAACTTTTAGTGGCGTGGATAGAGGGCAGTGTTTTGATTTTTTTTAAGTCACCGCGACGCACCCGAATATGCAAAACCGTGTTGATTCACATGACATCACCTGTAAAAATGCGTAAGAAAAATGCCTTTTCTATCAAAAGATACTGTTTCTAATTAAGAGAAGTCTGCTCAAGGTTACAGAAGTCATTTTAGAATGGAAAAGAAAAACACTCCTGACTCTAACTTGACCTAGAATTTCTACATGTAGAGGGGCCCGTAACTGCACAATCGCTCGGTATCTTACCTCATGAATGAAGGCAGGCAACAGTCCTAAGCTTACGAGAATTCTTTAATGGCAGTTTATGGTAACTCTCCTTCCTTGTGGATTACCAAGTGCTCTAAGTATTGTTCCCATAACGTGGGCGTGTGTAAATATTTAAGATAGTTGACCATGAACCAGAGGTCATCAGGGCAAGAAACTGCCTTTACACGCTGGACATTCTCTGACTTGATATGGAAGTAGTATTTGGACAAGTATGTAGTATTTTTGGAGAAGTATTGCACAAGCCAATTTTGTACAAATTTGTGTTTCTCTCTTTTGTGAATATCTTTCCAAAGTCCTTGCCATTCCTTTGGAATACAAATCCAAAGATTGTGCTCGTCCTTGTAAAAATTGTAATCCTGTATATGAAGTCAATTTTTTGAATTGTGTTTTCTTGTCTGGAAAGATTAATCATAATCACTACCCGTCCTCACCGGCAATTGTGTAAATATGTAAACATGTAAAAAGGTTTGTATTGAACTGTATATTTCATTACGTAAGACATTAGTGAGATGTGGCCTCCATTTTCTTGTCCATTGAACAGGGTTCCCGCAGTCAAGGACAAATTCTAGAAAATCCCAAAGTTTAAAGCTGTCATGGAAAGTCGTGGAACAGTTGTGGCCTTTTAATTTTCACATGGAAGCATGGCAAGTTAATGTTGCAATGGAAAAAAGTCATGGAATCCTGCACAACCAAAACGTGATGATGCGTAGTATATGGCCCTGGAGAGTCTTCCAACTTGCATTCCAGTTACAATACTTTGTCTTTTATGCATGTATCAGGCATGCAACTTTTCCTCAGATCAGCTGATTTCCTCTTCTTTTTTCTACTTCCCATGTGTGCCATTAAATGTATAAAAAAAAAATGCTGTACAAAGTCTTGGAAAGATTTGAATTTCCTCTTTTTTTTTGTGGCTTCCCAGTTGCGTGCCTGATGTATGCTGTATACTTGTTGCATGTTCAGTGCACCATTGTGATGCTTTTGTGGTGCTCAGTGGTCGTGTGTCAAACTGGAAGGCTGAAAGGGGGTGACAACCCTTGCCTCAGTGTGATGACTGTAAATAGGTACCCTAAGATGCCAACACAGCATGGCAATTAGTCATGGAAAGCCCTAAATTGTGTCGTGGAAAAGTCGTAGCATTTCATTTTAAGATTTCTGTGGGAACCCTGATAAAAGAAAACTGTTTTCATTAAAGGATAAACTTCATGTGATTTTAAATAAACATCTTTTTGAGGCTGTTGCATTTGAATGGTATCTGTTCTCCGAAGGTGTTTTTTGGTGCTTCATATGCTTTCAAATGTGATTTTTCCAGATTAAATACAGTCGAGTCTCGTTAATACAAACTCGTTCGGACCTAGCCAAATTGTTTGTTATATCAGAATTTTGTATTAAGAGGAACATCAGTCCCATTCATTGTGCACATACATGCACAGTCGGGACCAAGGCTTTATGTTTGTTATAACCAGAATTTGTATTAACAGAGTTTGTAGTAAACGGGAGTCGACTGTACACTGTTGCTAGTCGGGGCAAGCCGTGAGCTAGTACAAGTATGTAAGTTTGAACTCTGCAACGATCTGTTGTCCTTCATGCTATTGGCATCGATGGTGGACAGTGTTTATTGGTTCTTGGCGTTTAATATGCAAGAGCTGGCATCAAAGCAATAGCCAAAGTGTTTTTCATTCGGAGAAATCAAAAAGGTAATATGTGCCAAACACATTTTATACAAGTCAATGTGCCAGTACACGTAGGCCTATTCAAGTTTAACTCACAAAAGGTGAAGATATAACATCTTCATTAATAGTTTGTTTTTTTGTGCAAAGTTGTGAAATGGAAGATAACACTTCTGAAGTGTTTCATACCTATTATGCCACCAGAATTGCCCAGTAGACCTTGTTCACAAGGAAGCCATTTTGGATCATGTTCCCTGCATCTGTTTTATAGATTGTAAACTGTTGAATGGGATGGCGCCAGACTATTATATGATTGGAGTGAGTTCCAAACCTCACTTTCAATTTCTTTTATAAATGTGACTTCAAACACTAGGGTATGTTTAATCACAATTCTAAATTATTCACTAGAGCAGACTGGTATTACTTTGTAATGAACTTTTATTTCATTGCTTTCATTTGTACTCGCAAGTTCCAAAGATAAAGAGGTTTTATATGTTGCTTTCAATTCAATATGGCGAGCCTGTATCAAGTTTGATCCTCCCAGAATTAAGAATTAAAGCCCTACTTTACCTGAAAACCAAAGACACTTTGTATTTGTAAACCAGGCAATATTCTTGAGCTGTTTTTGTAAATTGGAGTTTGTGTATTCAATTCCTTAACACGTGTATTAAACCAAACATTTTGATGAAAAGAATCAGTGTTTTTGTTACTTGGTGTCATTGCATGTGACTTCATCTGTCTGTTCAATATTCTTCTTGTAGGCCAAAGCTTTCTTATGTGCTGGTGTGTTGACTCTTCCTTGGAGAAATACAGACACCAGCAATCATAAGTGCCCCCATGAAGTTGTTGGAAAAGTTTATACAGCATGTTGTGTCAATCAATGCAATAATGTCCTAACAGGAAATTCAGGGAAAGGTCCTAATTGAATTGTCAAATTAAGAAGGGAGAAATGTGTAACATGGTATGTCAAACCCAGGTGAATTGGGCAGCGTTACGAATGGAGAAACAGCTGCGAAATAACATGGGGGCGAGTTCAGCGATTTTGAGATTTTTCAAAATTTATGATGCTACTAATGGTTATAACGTTCTGTCAAAAGTTTCAAACTGAAATTTCATTGATAATGTATTTTCAAAAACACTTTAAGAGAGGCATGTCATTTCACAAAATGACCCAAAATTAGCGAGGGCAGTCGCGAGGGCTTATCAAAAAATAAGCACTTTGGAATATCCACTTTCAAAAAACCGTGGCATTTGTAAGAGCAAAGGTCTAAATTTTTACTAATATTGCAATAACTCTAAACCTGTTCATGCCTAAACGTGACTGATTTTGACATACCACATCACACATCATCTGTTTTAATGCTAAATCAAATAGCCGAAAATTATTTTCAAAAAATATATTAATTTAGAACTTTCCTTCATTTGAATAAGTACCTTAATGCCTAGTAAAGCTGGTCCCAGAACACACAATTTTATTCAACTGATTGAGAATGGCTAAAAAGTCTTATCTGTAGAATAAGCTGTAATGGAAATTCCAAGTTATACAGTCGACTCTCGTTAGTACAAACTCTGTTAATACAAATTCTGGTTATAACAAACAAAGCCTTGGTCCCGACTGTGCATTTATGTGCACAGTGAATGGGACTGATGTTCCTCTTAATACAAAATTCTGATGTAACAAACACTTTGGCTAGGTCCAAACGAGTTTGTCATAACGAGAGTCGACTGTACATGTAGGGTAGATATACAAAAATGAACATCACATCATGGAGCTACATAAAAGCTCATGCATGTATGTGCATAGGCAAGCCTCCTGAAACTGTTCCCAGTCACAAGCGACAATGACATGGGATCTGATTTACATGTGGCAGTACGTGGCATTGAAGAGGGTGGGCATAACCAAACAAGGGGATGGAGGGGCGAGGGGCAAGGAGGGAGGGAGAAGTTGCAGATATGAACAATTCGTTGAAAACGCTCTCTTGATTCACTTAGCAATAATTTGAAGGTGGCTGTAGCATCAACTTGCATCTGGAACAGGTCTTGTAAAATGTCCACAATATTGAAAGATAGTGCCACTTGGACATCTGCCCTTGGGGGAAAGAAAACGTGGATACTTATTACAATTCGTTTTGGCTTTTTCAATATTCTGTAACTGTTGGCCCATCATTCACTATTGCACATAGCATCCGAAATAATCAGAGCAGTCGTGTACTGAATCAAGCTTGTATCAAACATTTTTTTGGTGAATTCCCAGTTGGACATGACACTCCCCCCCCTTGCAATTCCATGGATCAGAGGTTTTTTATGTGCAGAGTGAGTCATAGTCCGATGTTTCAAGCTAGATAGCATTTTGTGGTTTAGTGATAAACTGTTAAAGGTGACATTTATTGTTGTGTGTCAAATACCACAGTCCAATGAAGAGTACAGGGCTTTTGTCAATTGATCTTTGAGCTCTGTACACTGTATCTGTTTAAATCAGTACCTGAAATGATTCATCAAAAGTTGACCTTCACACAATTATAAAAACTTTTCATATCAGGCCTCACAATGCCCAACTTCATCAATAGTTTTTTTAATAGGTTTGGAAAATCCAAAATTTGTAGCTTTTTAAAGGTTTTCCAAGCATCAGAATATAGGCACAAGTTTATACGTTTTTAGGATGCAAAACCGTGCAATTTTTTAGCTGAGGTAGCAGAAATACAGCAAATTGATAAAGCTACCAATTTGAAGCAAACTGCCAAATTCTGAAACGCTTGTAAAACATTTTTATAGGCCTATATTGACAACATGGTTAGTTTGGAACTACAATAACTAAACCGTGGGTCAAATTGATTCTAACAATTTTCTTTAAAAAATTGTTAAACTGTATGCCAAAACAAATACACATTTGTACGCCTATAGGTTTTCATAGATTACTTTAACAGTAAGGTAGGCTCCAAAGTTGAAATATTGGTTTGTATAGGTTTTAAAGGTTTTCCTGTCAGGCCTGTAATATTTCTAGCATTTATTTCTGCAATTGAGGGAAGATTATTGAAAGGTAACCCAAGTGCAAACAAAAACTCACAAACACCCGCTTTGATTATCTCAATTTATTTGCCCCACAAAAATTCCCGTAGCAATTCAATACAGATTTGTATTCACAGAAAATGATATGTTTTTTTAATACGTATACAAGAAAGTACCCAGTCACCGGATTCACTTCCAACTAAAATGTAAGAAGGCCACTTACGACTGTTGTTTTTTAATCCATGTTCTTTGGTTGACGAACAGTTTTGTCCACAATCTGATTCAACTACAATACATATAATTTTTTTATTAGTTTGAATTATAAGAAAATGAAAAGATACAAAGAAGTGCATGTACAAAACACAAGTGCAAGCAACTTAACTCGAAAATATGTGCTTCAGTTACAATCCATTGTATTATAACCAGCCATTCAGCTGCAAAATGATCAGTGAAAGGAATGATGAAGGAACATTTGGCCATGGCGCTCCTTAAACCTTACAACATTACAAATGGAATAAAAGTTGAACATAAATCCCTGTATAACTTTAAAGGTAATGTTGGCTGGGCCATAGAGTACAGGAGTGTGATGTCATCTTTCTTTGCTCTGGTTCACGCAAAAGTGCATTGATGTCAACACGCATAAGCCAGAATACGCAGGAAACCTTTGGTACTCTATAGAGTTCAGAATCCGTCAAAATATACTGCAAGCCCAGGTATTCAATTTTCAACAATGGGGATTTTGGGTTCAGAGTAAGTATGTTTTAAGGACTGCTAACTTAAACTAGAATTTTTTTTATGGGAGGAGAATGTATACGTTTCATCACTGTATGGGATGAGCAGGGTTGGCAGTTAATTACAAAAGCCTTAATTAATTGCATAGGTGATATGGTAATACAACCTGCAGAATTAAAAAAAAATATGATGGTCTTAAAATTGTGGTCCGATTAAAACTTTGGACATACATAGGTTTGCACACATAATATGTCCATTATTCTTTTGACAAACTAGTGACCATTCGTTTTGAACCTATATTTTGAAAAAAATACCTTTTCAGTGCTTGTAATGAATTGCACAAAATGGATGACTTTTCCTTGACAATCACTACCGTGCATTTGTACATGTACACCATACTGCCAACATGCATAACTACACTAAAAGTCCATCAGAACCACAAGCTTGGTAACATGCATAACTAGCTTAAAAACTAATAACCCACTAATCCACACACTTAACCAGGTTTTGACTAGCTATCCACACGCTTAACCAGCTAGCCACATAGCTCTGATTCAACTATCTACACACATTTACCAGCTATAAACCAGCTTTCTACCAGTTATTCAAATTATTAACCAGCTCTCTAAATAATTAACCAGCATGGCTAACTTCCGATGTTACTTACTAACTACATGTACATGTACCAATATTAATGTCGGAGGGTTCTAATGAGTAGACCAACATGTAATATTGGGGAAATATTTATTAACATGAAAGTTTGTGGGTTCAGAGTCTGTGTTTAATCCTTTTGTCTTCCCCATCCTTCAATGTCCTTGAGATTTCTGAAGCTAAGGTTTCATAAATTATAAAAAAAAATAATGCCCTGTCCAACATGAAACAAAGGTAAAGACACTAAAATGTCAATTTCTTAAATTTACAGGGAAATTAGCATGTTTTGTTCGTTTAATCGGTTTAAAGATATTGCTACCTAAGGCACAACTCAGTCATTTTATGTACTGTTTAAAATTATGATTTTAGTACCATATTTATTTACATACATGCATCATAAGACATGAATGTGACATTTGAAATGAAAATCACTGATTACTTAATGAAATGAGAACTCCAAATCATATGCCTTCTCTCCAACGTTTTTTCTCAGTCTACGAATGTACTAATTATCTGTAAATTTAATTTCATTGATTTTTCCAGCATAGATGAATTCACTTGTAGTCAAACTGTAAATAACAGTTTCAATCATTTAACAAATGAGATGAGTTTGAGCTCAGAGTCAATCACTAGTCATTCACAACTCCGTCACAAGTCAGGTCACAAGAGGGAATGAAGAATGATATTGAAAGGAATGCGTTTGTCACAATTTCATTTAAATAGCTTGTCCCTTGCGATAAAGTCTGCATGACTTGTGATTGGCTTGTGATCGACTTGTGATTGGCTTGTGATTGGCTTGTGATTGACTTGTGATTGACTTGTGATTGGCTTGTGATTGACTTGGGATTGACTCGGCATTGACATGGGATTGACTTGGGATTGACTTGAGATTGACTTGGGATCGACTTGTGATTGACTTGTGATCGACTTGTGATCAACTTGTGATTGGCTTGTGATTTGTTTGTGATTGGCTTGTGATTGACTTGGGATTGACTTGTGATCGACTTGTGATCGACTTGTGATTGGCTTGTGATCGACTAGCGAAGACTGGTGGAGGCTTGTTTCAAAGTCTGCTTGACATAGACTGAGTAGTGGCACGTGGTGGGAAAAGGCATTCTATTATTCATTTTCTCAACTCATCATACTTCAGTGGTGTTAACAAGTGACATCAAAACCTGTCCAACAGCAACGGTTTTTCATAATCACTGAAAATCACACATTATCATGCGAAAAAAAGATTTTAAGTGTACACAAAAATCAAGAAAACTATCAAATTCATCACAAAACCATATAATTTTTGTTTATACTAAATGTTACCGTAGATTATCAAATTTAATAAGACACTGTTTTACACAAAACATCTTCATCCAGTAATGATAGAAAAGGAGAGAATCGGAAAATAAAAAGGCGACATTCAGACCTTGACCACAAGACTAATGTGCATTACTGCTTTCCTTGGCATAACAAGATGGAATTAACTTTGTATGCTGATAACCTAAATTAGCAAAGAAATATTTGGATGGCCCCCATGACAAAAGTAACAGGAAGCTTCACATGAAAGGAATGACATGAAACAGATTTTTTGTCTATAGGCCCCAGTGATGAAACCATTATTGTTGTCCCAAAATTCCGGACACTGAAAATCCCATAAACTTCAACCCGATACCCGAAAACAAAATTAAAAGCCACATGACTTACATGTATTTTTAACTTTTTAAGACACACAGAGAATTTAGCTGCTTAATATAGATCATAATTTGTTTAGTTTAAAGAAAATGGTGCCACCCATCTGATGGCTTCCTACTCAACAGCACATTGTGCAAACTGCAAAACATAACAAGTTTTTTAATAAACTCAGAATTGTTAAGTGCTTAAACATTGCTGTTTAGCAGGAATAAAAGTTAATGAAGACAATCAAGGCATGAATATTTCACTGTTGGTCCGTCAACTCAACTTATCGCTTTTCAGAGGTGTTACACGCCCCGACGTTTGCCTCTCATTATGAAAGATATGAAAGTTAGAAAGAACATTTTGCTCGCTAGTAAATAGAACTGCTACCAACATCTCAATAATTTTAAAAACAGTTTTATAAAACAGGCAAACAGAACACAAACAAATACCGGATGTTTGCACTGCACCATAAGAGACCATATCAGCTCTGTGCAGGTTGCATCTCTGTTACAGTAAGAAAAGATGGAAACTTTCTTAATTGTAGTCGGGAAAAAACATTCAGATCCTTTAAAGTGTAACTGAATAGGACCAACAATTCTAATACAGACCACCACTTCCACATCGTGTGTTTAATAGACCTGAGACCTAATGACGTAATGGCTTTGTTTATGTATGCGCTTTCCTATGGGAGCGAAGTCGGGATGCCAGATAAAGTGGGGACGGTCTACTACATAGGAAAGCGCACATGTAAACAAAGCGCGACGTCATTACGTCTTAGGCTTATTCAGTACACACAGATGTATGTATACACCATGCAAAGCGCTGATATGTTTGAGTTTTCTTATAATTTACAGACTTGCTACATGTACGTATTTTCTAGAGTCAAAAATATTCAAAGGAAGAGAAACTTAAATCCTTTACTATGTATGCATACATACGGTATGTGACTGAATCACACAAAATGAGCAAGAGTTTGTTGCTTGCAGTATGTAATAAACAGATAAATAAGAATGTACATGTACATGTATGGTGTTTGTTATTTGTAATCCAGGGAACTCCATAGAAGTCTTCATATATAGTAAAATGTTACATGAATGAAAAAAAAGGCCCATAAATAATTATTACCCATCTCAAATTTAAAGGGCCACACAATCCAATTTGAAAATGCACCTTTGTGTCCCATTAAACCTTATTTTCAATTTTCCTTTTGTCATTTTCAAGGGTATTTTGGTGTCTTTTGGTTTTTATGCTAATGCAAATTTCCATATTCATGAACAAGACTGTGACGTCATTCTGGGCAGAAACCTCAACTTTACAGCTATTTCCACACGCAAAGTTGCTAGAATTTTGGATATTTTGCTGTCATAAATTTGCTTTTCTTTGGTGATTCGCTGTGTCAGTACATGGCAGTAAGCCAATGAGCAAACCTTTCTCACAAATGTTTTCAATGAGCAAATTGTGGGTTCACAATTTGAACAAATTGAAAATGGCATCACAGCAACAGCGCCCTCAGTTGTCCGGAAAAGCAGGGTAAATTTGAAATGTTTAAAGAAGTGCACTTTCAATCAAATTCAACCAAACGGCGATGTCAAAGGAGTAGAAAGTTGCACAAAAATGTGTTCCTAAGAAAAATTCATCCCATGGATCCTTTAAATCAATATTGAGGGTTCGAATGTTCAGACTAGGGTTTGTGTAAGATTCAGTCACATTAACGTATTGATTTTTTTTTCTTCTCAAGTTTCGTTCTTAATTAACTGTGACATCAAAATGCATGGAGGTGCTTCTCCCAGGCGTCAATGTTCCGTGGATCCATGGAATCAGGACGCTTGCACCGAGCGTAGGGCCCAAAGGACGGATTGACGATGAAGTTCCACACCACCATGGCGAAGGAGTCGTGGTTGGGCAACGGATCGTAGTACTCCGGAGCTATCTTCCTTATCTAACAGGAAACCAAAGCAAAATACAGATATGAGATTCTGAGGTAATTTTAATATTGTGTCAGACCTTTACCAAAACCTTGGGTTTGTGTAAACCCTTACCTCTTGGCATTAGGGTAAGATAGGATATTTGGTTCAATTGATTGACACTGAATCAAGAAGGCAATGATTTCATATACTTGCAGGTCTTAAAGAGAAAATACAACATTTGCAAACATCAAAAAATAAAACTACCAAATCATTTTGAAATACCTTGCTGGACTGTTAGTGAATGACAGTGTAAAGCATCCTGTAAAATCATGGCACCTGGTATACTGTCATTTTCAAGAAAAGTGGTATTTTTGTATCAATTTCCAACGCTGGTCGGCCGACCAGCGTTGGAAAAAACTGGCTTTTTTTTCAAATACTGGCCCCAACTGACCATCGCACTTGTTTGCAATCGATTACACATTTATGAACGGGTACAAGCCAGCTAGACTGGTTCCCTGACCTTACAATTCCCGAATGTATGTAAACTGCTGTTTCTTCTTATATGGAGTCAGGGAACCAGACTACAGAAAAACGATTGTTTTTCTTGGTTTTTATAGCATTTTCGAACCCAAAACCTCAAAAAAGTCAGTGTAACTATATTTGCTACATATTTTCAACCCCCCAATTCCATCCATTTCTGAAAATTACAGCAAAAGCGAATGATGTATATTCCCTTTAATATAGCAGTTTGGCTCGAAAATTGGCTTGGGCGATTCCAGGTCGGAATTGACTAGATTTTTCCAAACTTGGAATCGAAATTATGATTCTGTATTTTTGAGGAATCAATAGTTGTCCCAAAACTGGGTTCCAGACACTTCAAACATGTTTCATGTCATTCTCTCGCAAATTAGCACTTTTACAAGTTGTATACCTTCTCATTACGCTGCATAGTAATTCAGTACTCTCAAACATTTGTGAAAGGACTTTCCTCAATTTGCTTTATTTAGATGGATAGAATTGGATTCAATTTTAAATGGAATTGTGGCACATATGAAATCGTACTCAATTCCAACATTTTTGGAATGTTCCCATATCACTCCCAAATCAAATTTTTCAGTCGCACAAAATTTTACTACAGTAACAGTAGCAAAATCTGCATAAATCCAACAATTGGCATTCTGAATAGGGACTCATTCCCATCAAAAATCCACAAAGCTTAAGTAACGTGTAGGATTTTGTCAGATTAAGTATGCACGGTTTACTGTCCTACACCCATAATGATTCCTTCAAAACCAAACAAATCTGACTTTTGTAGGGTAAACATTTCTGGGAAAGGTTAAGTAGAACACCAAAGAATGGTCCTACATGTTTAGAAAACATTTCATACGAACCATATTAGAGTGTTCTATTTGCATGGAATCCAAAATTCTGTTAATCCTACATGAAGCTACAGTACATGTATTTCAAATCTACCACAGTCCTACATGAGGCATAGGGCTTTGCAAGTCTTTGATGTGGTATTGTGGTCAGAATTTTTCATGATTTCAAGCATTTTTAAAAAATTCCTTTAACTCCCAAAAATCCCAATATTACCCCTGCTAATGTTATATTTTGTCAGATGTTTACACGAACCTACCCATACCCCTGTGCATAAAATGTTAACAGGTAGGGTAAGGTTAGGCCCAAAAAAAAAAATATTCAGTCTCTGGTCAGACCAAAGTTCCGGAATTGACGCGGCCACGCGGCTTTTTTTTTTTTTTCAAGCTTGGATTGTACAGACAAGGTGGGGTACTATTTTGCTTTTTTGGTGTCCTCATGTACATTGGTGTCCTCCATAATTTGCCTTGGTGCTTTCGATCATTTGCCTTGGTGCAATTTCCCTTTCCTTGGTGCTCTTTGGTAAAAAAATTGATGAGGTGCGGAAATAGAGGGCGCTGTTGGAGCTACCGCGGAACATTTTTGAAAAAAAAAAAGATTGACGCGCATGATTAAAATCGACGCGCGCTGACCAGAGACCGACTTATTTTTTTTTTGGGCCTTACACTCAATTTTGTAAAATTAAGTCCATGACACGCCCTTTTGTAAAATGCCTTCCACAGTACATGTATATGTAATTCTTTGTGTGTACATGTACATGTACCTACATGTACTACCTCACATAAAAAAAAGATAACTGTGGAAGATTTTTTTTCCTGATAAACATAGACACAGGCTACTAGACTTTGAACCGTGCATTCATTTGCGTGAAGTCATCAGTTTAATCATAAACCATGCACATGAAGAACTGCACGTCATCCATCATGACCTATTGGATATTAACCCAGTGCTGGATTTTTCTACTGGCCTCGTTAAAAACATTTTATCACAAGCAAATGGCAAGTTGAATATAAAAAAAGGGGAACAACTGGAAAATTTCATTCTCCATGAAAAAAAAATAGTGTATTTCATTTTGTGGGCAATTTTAGTGTATGATCTGAATTCTAACCGATTTGGGACAATTAACCCTTACACTCACAGGTGCAACACATTGAAACAGGTGTACGTCTGTGGGACCTTGATGTATTTGGCCACCTGTGCATGAACTGCCAATGCCGAGTCAATGGGAGCTACATGTAGATCTATGGAACTATGCCACTTTTGTAACCTGGGGCCGATTTCACGAAACTCGTCTTATCTTGCGACTCATCTTAGAACTTAAGACAAGTCCCCGCTCTAAGATCGATCTTAGCAAAGACACATTCTAAGATCGATTTCACTGCACCCATCTTTTAGCAAGACGCATCAAAACTACCAATTCAATGGATGTTTCATGTTTGTTTTTACCACTTGACGAAACAGCCGTTGAAAAGAAATGCGCGAAACCAATTTCCCGCGCACGCGCATTGAACATGAACTTTAGCCAGAAAAATAACTCTACTCAATAAATTTCACACACAAGGTAGTTCTACACAAGATGCGATAGCGTAACTTTTGCTCCCCGTGTCATCATCACTCTATTTAAAAAGTTGACTAGTTGGTGGCATATAATTAAATTTTGTAAATAACTTATTTTTATTAAACCTACCCACATATCAGAAATCTTTTCAAATCTGTTTCTACAATGGTTTTCTACCTCGAAACTCTAACTCTAGGCCAATATTCATCTTTAAAGAGAAGATATTGCAATGATTTCCAGACGATTATTACAAATTAACGCACGCATTAGTGAGATAAGACGACCCTCAGACCGATCTTGAGTTAAGATGAGTTCAGCCGCGTTGCTAAGGCCAAAAAAAAGAATAGTTCTGCTTCCGGTTACCCGACCGACCCTATTTTTAGGCTGCGACCCTAAAAAATTTATCGGCAATTCAAAAAAAAAAAAAAAAAAAATGATTGAATAAATAAAAATAAAAACCTTATGTCTTGTCTGTCTTCACAAAATACCTCTCAACAACCCTTTTGCATCAAAAAATGCTTGTATTTATTGTTTTCTTACTTACGTTCGCTATTTTTTCAAAAGAAACCTCCGTTATTTACAAATTCGCTGCGCGATTCAACTACTTCGCAATTCGATGTCTAGCTATAATCACGTGCGTAATAAGCGCAATGCGGCAACGACTGGTTCCCGCCGCACCGCGCAGGGGCCAATTATGAAAATGCGGTAACTAGTCTGTGCACGGCTATGCGATCGTTAGCGCTAGCATGGCTATGCAGGCGCAGGCACGTGCTCTGTCAACTGGTCGGACTCGACATCGTAAAAATGCTGAGAAAGACATCGTAAAAATGCCAAGAAAACACCGATGGAGAAAGAACATTTTTGCAAGTTAAATCACAGATTTGATCTAGCTTGTCTGTGTATGTATTTTCCGTGTTCAAGAGTTCATTTTGAGATCGCACTACTCGTATTTGGAGTGGAATGCAGCGTGTTTCCTGAAATTTTCGACCCGTTGGCCGCGGGCCACACATGTACATGTACAGTGCATCACACACTTCGGAGTTTTGGCCAGCTCCCATTCTTGACTAGCGTTGTGCCTATGGTGCGAACGACCTGAATTTCCCACAATTTTTTTACGAATTATCGAACATAAATATATTGACAATAATTAAGGTAGGTTTTATTCACTTTTTGTGGCCATTTTGTGTATAGCTTTTGTAGTGCAATGGAAATAGTTCAGGCTAAAACTTCGCATATAATTGAATACCCCATTCAATCTGCATAAAAAAAATTGGCAAAAAAAAAAAAAAATTCCGACCGACCGACCCTATTTTTGAAAGGCATGTAATCGGAAGCAGAACTATTCTTTTTTTTGGCCTAAGGAAGTTAGGATGTCTTGAACTCGTCTTAAGTTTGGCAAAATCGATCCTAGGACAAGTCGCGAGTTAAGATGAGTAACCCTTCCAAAGACGCGTCTTAGAGTTTCGTGAAATCTGTGAAATTTGTTTTACCTGTTGCAACTTGTTGCACTGGGCAGGCTCCTCACTTTGACAACTGGTGTTAGAATTATTTGGGTTTTCTAGCCAAAATAACCTGGAGGGTTAGGGTTAATTGAATAAACTGGATTTTAAAATGGTTCGCAATATTAAAAGGAAGTGACCGTTTATAGAAGTGCTTACCAAGGGAAGTTTGTTGCCAGGGATGTTAGGGAAGTCATGGTGCTCCATGTGATACCCCACATTGAAGGCGATGTAATTGAACGGCCCGTAGTAAGAGTACGTCTCGTGTCCTTCCTTGAACAGGTAGTGCTCCGAGATGAAGTGACCGGCCATTGGGTGGATCCCCATGCAGATCACCGTGCCGATCACTAAGTACAGGTAGGCCTTGAAGCTGATGAAGTAGATGATGGCGGCGTTGAAGGCAATCTGGATGATGTAGTTAAGGATCTCCAAGCGCGTCGGGGACTTGGGACGGCGCAGCATCGGGCGGAAGGCGTAGAAGAACGGCTGCAGCAGCATCCAGATCATCTTGGTCGGGGCGTTCCTGAAAAGGTAGCCTTCCCAGTCCGAGGGCAGGTCTGGGTCCAGATGTTCCTCACCCTAGGGAGAGGTCAAGAGTCAGGATAACGATTAGTCTTACTAGAATTCTGGACAAACACAGAGCAACTCCGAGTGCAAATTGTGAGTGCAAAATGTTTTGCACATTTAAAGGTTTTCTTTGCTTAGTCATGAAATTGGGCTAAGCCGGTAGTAGTCTCCTAAATCAATTTTGTTTGGGTTTAATTTCCCGTACCTGATATTTGTGATGATCCTGATGATACCTCTTGAAGGAGATGGACACAGGAACGCCAATAACACAGTTCCCTATGAACCCGATGATGCGGTTCCACATAGGTCGACTGTGACCGAAGGCCAAATTGTGCCCGACTTCGTGGAGCGCGAGCGACATCGCGTGGTTGATGACACCACCAAAGCAGTAACCCACGATGACAATGGTCATCCACGGTTCATTCCGGAGCAGGTACGCCGTAAGGATTTGAAAAATCACCATGGCAACCATGATGTAAGCGATGTTCACATCATGGCCCATCAAGCGTTTGATCTCTGGGTATTTTTCTGAGCAATAAAGCACAAAGGAATGTTGATTAATAATGGTTGATTAATCAAGTTTGGTCGCTGGTCGATTAGATGTCATTTTGGAATCATAAAAATACTTTAAGTTTAATAATAATATGGACATGATCATGATGATGGAACTTAAAAAAAAGAACACTGAATTGAAGAAAGAGGGGCCACTTTAACTACACAATCGCCCCCATCATGCCCATCCTGCCTAACCCAAACAGAAATATTATTAGGGGCTTATTTAGTAGGCCTAATTTCATTATTTTGTTTTTGCTAATAAACTGAATAAGATTAAGATTAAAAAAAAAAAAACATACTTGATAGCCTAATTCATACGGCAATGCATGCCAAATTTTACTGTAACTTGTAAGTAGCCACTGTAGGGGAAGACACCATGCCCAACCCCTATTAAGAAAAATCCTGGATCTACAACTCCATTCATATTATGGGGAAAGAATGTTGCAACCTGACGCCACTTTTGTCTTCATACACATCTCAATCATTGTCAATGAAGGTCATTATTGCAAAACTGAGTGATTAAAATCATTAAGACATGAGAATCTGGGACTGTAAAACATTTCCAATTTTGTGAGGAAATACTAAATGTTTTGACTCTCCATAGACTTTGCACACAACAAATTAACCGCTGAAGTGGCGTCAGGTTGCAACATTCTTTCCCACAACATGGTGTTTTATGTAACCAGCCCGAGGAAGCATTACGTCAGGAAATACATTTCATTTGACAGTCGGTGTATCAAAACATGACGATCTGACGATACTCACTTAACATTTCTTTTCTTCTCGTTAAATGCGGTTCATCTGTGTACACCCAAGCAAAATCTGTTTTCGACACAGACAGCCCCATGTTGGTGACAATTTCAGGATTACTGTTAACTCTAAACGCAGTAAAAATCTAGTTCATTTGAGCAAAAAAAATGATTCAGTGGTTGTGAAGTGAAGGTTCCCCGGTTACTCAACACACACATTTATATTGATTATCCGTCGCCCAGACAGACTGCATGATATATGCGCGCACAAGAATCACTTGTGCAAACATTGTCTGGTACCCTGATCAAGGCGTGTTCAGCACGCTTCATCGTAACGGGTGATCTGGAATAATCCATTCACAAACGGTGTGCTATTGTTTTTTCCGGTAAAAAAAACCTTAATAATTGATCCTAATTGTAGATATAACTAACAATTCAATTAAAAATAAATCAATTTCTATGTCAGGGGCATAATGTAAAACATATGAATATGTTTTTGAGGTTATTTTTTTTTAACACCACCTTATTAATCACCCCTGCAATTGGACTAAATCAATTTTGTCTGGACTGGGCGTGTTACATAAAATGACAGACAGCGAAAATGGTACCAGTCTAATTTATCACGCGCTTCCCACATGTCACTAGAGGGAGCTTTCCAAAGTCAAAGGAATTTTCCCAAAGTTGAAAATACTGGAAGTTCATCGGGACCGACCGTTGGGGGGGGGGGGGGGGGGGGGGGGGGTTGAAAAACAATAATTTTGTAAATGCATGTTTCAAATAGTTGAAACAAAATTAATAATTCAATTAGTATTGGTAACTAACTCTCTTTTTTTATTACTGCCGTTTAATTTTCATTCACTGAAAAGTGTACCCATCTATATTTCCCCCGACATCTGCGCTGCCCAGGTGAAATTTACTATAAGTGGGCATACAGTAATGATTTTCTAAGCAACTAGTGAATAGTGAAACTGTCATGCTTTGTTTATGTTGTTTCTGAAATCTGACTAGTTGTCAAAGCCGGTTCATGCTTACCAGCCTTGTTAAGAGCAATTTCAAAAGGATGAAGGCGCTAGTATACAATCAACTGAGGTTCAAATTGACACTTTTCTCAATGACTTCCTTTATACCATTGAGCCACCTTTTTTTTATTCTCTGTAAATTTAATGGACATGTATTGGCAATGAAGTCTTCAAATCCAGATCACTGGTTACAAAAAAGCCGGACAAACTGTTTATTTAAACCAAACAATTTCAAAACAGTTAAAACATAACTTAAAAAAAAAATACAGAAATCTGTTAAGACAGGATGTGGAAATGTGCACACATGAAGCCGTTAAGAATTGAATTTATGAACTCGTACTCAAATTACTATGTCCAGCCTTATTCAATAGAAACTTGGTGTCTGTCTGACATTTCCCCCCCCCCCCCCCCCCCCAACCGCCTGTTAAGGAAAACGTTTTTGAAAAGTATATTTCAAAAAATTGTTTCTGAATCTTCGGTCTTCATCCCAAGGCTAGTATGAGTATTTACAATGTAAAGTGGGAATTTTTCATGAACTAGCTTTCTTAACTTAAATACGCTTTTAAAATAATAAGGTAATGTAGACTGAGAAATGTATTCCGGCAAAATTACAGGCTAGTTTTTGTTTTGTACAGATTAAGCTAGCATAAAAAGTTTACAAAGCGTTTACTTATCATTACCAATAACTCATATATATATCCTCGACAGCACCTTTGAAATGTTTCTTGATGTCAATTTAAGATAAATGAACCTGGTTACATTACCACACACACTGGACCCGGCTTGACAGAACACATACATGTATTTACAGCTGTTTACAGTTCATTCAGTGTAATTTCATTACCAAGTTCACAAGAACTATGAAATAAGAAAAATTCATAGTAAAAAGACAGCAAGTGTGCATGTGATTCTTTTCCCCCACATAGTGCCCTTGGTCTTAACCAATACTGCTGGCATGAGGTGATCAGCTATCCGGTTCATTGGTGTGACGTCATTTCAACTTAAACATGCATACGTCACACGGTGTAGCATAGCACGAATGGAACTGTAAGTTAACGCAACATGGGTGTAAGCCAAATGGCGCTCGTAATTGCTGGTGCGTGCGCGTGTTTGATGAAGTCACTAATGAACCGGATATCCGAAATTGATCTTAGAGCACAAAGGACTGTGGATAATAATTCACTGATGTTGGCCAACAATTTCCTATTAGGTATACGCAAAAAGATTTTGAGAACATATGCACAAGACTTCAAGTGGAATGCAGCCAGGCCCTGATGATGTGGGGTGAAGTCAATTTGAATAATTATATGCGCATGTGTATGTGCAGAGTGCTAAGTTAATGTGTAGTAGGCCAATCAGACTATTTGGGAAGGAAGAACTGTGTGTTAAAGCATAAGAAATTTCAAAAGGTCAGGTTCCCAGTGTAACAGCATGCTTTGCAATTTGAAGTGTGTAAGGGCTCTGTCTCAATGGCCATTTCTGCCCAATTTTTGAAAAAGTTCATCTGTAGTTCACTGGACCAAGTATGGCATTGAGAAAAACTTGCATTACTTTACAAAAACGTGAAAGAATCAATCCATTTGGAAATTTAGGCAGGGGTTGTCCTGCTTGTTCCGGGCAATGAAAGCACCCCCAGAGACGTCACTGTTCAAGTTATTATCAAAATTTATATGCAATTTCTTAAGCTTGTTAAAACATAGTTGTTGTTTAAGGGGCAGATGTGGGTGGAAGAATTTACATATGCAGCTTAAACCTTATCCCAAATTATTTGCAATAGTTTTACACTGGACGCTACATCTGTATCCTTGCAATATCTCTGTACTCTATTTAAAACAAAACTATTTCACAGGAGAATCACAGATTAACATTTAAGGATATTTTTCAACCTCACATAACAAAAAGTTGAATGTAAAGATTATTTTTTCAAATTCCTTAATAGCTTTCGCAATTTCACAGTCATCATTAACCATTTGGGCCATTTTGTGCAGGTCAAATGCTCCGCAGAAATTGCAATTCACTTAAAACTGAATGACATATTTACAAACTTACTGGGCTGTTGACTTTAAACTCTGTCGCTGAAATGAGGCTTTTGTCTTTGATAAACAACTTTTCAAAACGGCCCTTTTTCTTCTTTCAACTGAGCTTGAGGGAAATGCCACAAACTCCTTGGCCAGTTACTTGAGATACAGGGTGAGTCAAAAAAGCAAAACCCAAATGTGGGGACCATTGATTTAATGAAGTTCTGCATGTAGCCCATTCAAAATCTAGGATACAAAGCCAAATTCACAGGCTTTCTTTTAGTACAAGAATCATTCAAATCACTCATGTACTTTTCAAGTTACGGGGTTTTAAACACAACCACAGTTTTAAAGTTCTGTCCACGGATCACAAGAAGATAAGTGTTCTTTCAGCAAAACGAAAACAAATCACATATACATGTATGTGAATTGTTTTGGTTTTGCTGAAAGAACGCACACCTTTTTTGTGATCCGTGGAAAGACCATTAAAACAGTGGCTGTGTTTAAAATTTCGTAACTTGAAAAGTACATGAGTGATTTGAATGATTCTTGTACTAAAAGAAAGCTTATGAATCGGGCTTGCATATCCTAGATTTTCAAAGTGCCACATACTGAACTTCACCAAAACAATAGTCCCGACATTTAAGTTTTGCAATTTTTGACCCACCCTGTACAGGAGTGTGGACGGCACCGAGTGGCCTGCCTAAAACTCAAGAGCCAAGGAAGCACATTAGGTGCGTACACCAGCATTATGAAAAAAGATGCTAATTTGTATGATCAATTTTCGACTGAGTGTGCACAGGCCCTTGACCCTTGCATGGAACACACGGAAAATGTCATAAGGGTCCCTCCATAACAGTTACGATTAGCATGTTGACCACTAACCCTCCAACTGATAGAACTGTCGCAAACCGTCAACAAAATCTATCCACTTCCTCTCCCACAGCTTTTGTACAGGCTGGTCACCAACTGCCTGAACCCCCATGGATTAGACCACGTAACTGTCATAACCTGTTGTAGGGGTTCAATAGATAGGGTGACCTTGAATACCGCTACAACTTGGGTAGCAGCCATCTTAGAGGGCAATGCCTTTGTTGTGCTGGAATATATGCATGAGTGAACCTTTTGTGCCTTCGTTGTCACTGAACTAAATCCATTATTGACAGGCGCTGAATCACCATATCTATCAATGTCAGTCAAAGCATGGTACCCTCAGTTTAACCAAAACTACCACAGCCTGTCAATTGTACCAATATGAGCCCAATTTACAGAACTGTTGAAACCTGTCACCTCATAGATCTTGACGGATAGGGTATCTCTCTCCATGAGAGAGAGGGGGGCTAAGAGAGTACATATGAAGTTTATACTTCTAAGTAGAGGTTGTATTAATGGTATCACCCAAAGCTATATGCAAAATATAGTTCAATGCTCACAGTTCAACCTCTCCTACTCCAATGGGAGGCACAGTCAGCAGAATGGAAGATGCCAAATCGCATTGATTTAATCAATTTTACAAAAATTCCGAGGTCTTGATATACAACACATAAACTGTGGACTACTCAACCCTTTGAAGTTTTTGGCAACGTTGATGACGCTGTGACTTTTAATAATGTGCCCATGGAATTTTGGAGTGCAGGTAAAGCAAATTTGTAATCAAGGCATAGATAAAACAGCCTTTCCAAAAAAAGATTTTGCTTTTGTGGAATGACAGTGTTTTCCTTCAAGAGCCAAGTATTTCCTTATATTGTTACTGTAAGAAAAGCCTGCTGCCTGATTTTAAGAATGTAAAACCTTGTGTACAATTGTCTGCACTGAAGAACAAATCGCGCTCGAAATTCTGGGAAGTTCTGGGGGTTCACATTGGGATAATGGGCTTGGCCTTCGCATGGGTCAAGATGTGGGACTTGAGGTTGGTGGACTGGGCGAACTTCTTGTTGCAGCCGTCGAACGGGCAGACGTAGGGACGATCCCCTGTGTGGATACGGACATGAGTGCGCAGATTGAAGTCCAGGGAGAAACGCTTGCCACAACCCTCGAACGTGCACTGTATGTAACAAACAGCAGAGGATACATGCATGGTTAGTTAGAGTTGTAATCAAGTCATCAAACTCATCACAAGTCAACCCATGTCAATTCAGTCTCAAGTAAAAGGACAAGCTGTTCAAATGAACTGTGACCAAAATGATTCCTTTGTCATTGTTCATTTATCATTAATTGTGACCTGCCTCGTGACCTGGGCCCAATTTCATGGTTCTGCTTACCACAGCATTCAACGCTTATGATCATCACCATTCTGTGCTAACAGCGCTAGCAAAAAAGTTGAGTGCTAACCCTGTAAGCACAGAATCCTTAGTTACAGGATGTACACATGCACATAAGCCAAAATTCCTCACTAACCCATGAAATACGCTTACTGTAAGGACAGAATTTTTTGCTACAGTAAGCAGGGAATTATCACTAACATTAAGCAGAGCCACGAAATTAGTCCCTGGTTACAACTCTCACTTTCTGAAATCTCTAAAGCCCTTTTTCACACGTCCCCCCACCCCCACAAATTTTTGTTTTACAAGATTTGAGAAACTTTACAGTTACATGTACAAGCGTCCATTAGCCCTTTTATTATTATTTCATACAACAACAACAAAACTTGAAACCCAGACAGTGTCCGACAAGCAAACACAAAGTATAAGTCTAAATGCAAAACAAGGAGCGATTGTGCCTAGTTCCCTGCAAAATTTTGGTAAGAACGTAACTTTGTTTGTAGTTCTCCTTGTCAATTTTGTGACTTTTTTTCCATTTCTAATTATTCATCTCATCCTAAATAAATATAAAAATCATGCTAGTACTCCAGGTCAAAACATAAAGAGTGCACACCATTAAATTAACACATTTTCCAACACTAGCATTATAAAAGTGGACAAAGATTTTCTTATTTTTTTTCAAAAGGAAAAGACGAAGGTACAAAATATATAGTTCCAACATGGGTGTCGTTATTACCTGGAATGGTTTCTCCCCTGTGTGCACCAACTGATGTCGTTTCAGCTTGGAGCTCTCAACAAAGGCTTTGCCGCACTCGGCGCAGACGTGGACGCGCGGCCCGTGGGTGTGCAGATGCTTACGCATGGCCGAGTTATCCCGAAACATCTTGGTGCAGCCCTGAAGGAAGAAATAACAAAGACCACAAAAAAAGCAACTCAGCAATCGTATGTTGTGTGTGCAGAGTGAGAAAATTGGTTTATGTTAAGAGATGAATGAGGAAGCGGGTTCTGGACACTTGTCGGCTGATATTAAGTACTGACATGAACTACTTCTTTCTCTTGGATTTTTTCTTTTTTGTATTGCCTCGTTTTTAGATTTATTCCAAAATGACAAATATAATATTCATTATGTTGGATAAGTACTGTGTAGCTAAATGTGCTACAAAAAGGGGAGAATTAAAAATATATAAAACTATTTAAACTAATGATGAAAGACATGAATATTTTTTCTAAATCTTAATGAAGAATTTCTGCAAATTGGAACTTGGTGCATCCATAAAAAATAATTACATATATTCAGCTGATAAATGGGAACAAGAGATTAACCCCAACAGAACTCAACCCATCAAACCCCAACAGCATGTATTGTTGGAATCTGTCAGGATGGGTACAGTACCCCTAAACTGACAGTCTTTTACATTGGGTTGGCACACCTCCAGAAACAAAGTCAGAAATATGTGTGTACTGTTTCCCATATGGTGTTGGAATTTGCCAGGATGGGTATGGTTCCTGGTAAATCATGCTAAGGGTTAGGGTTGGAAGATGTGTCCTCATGGTTGAAGGATTGAAGGGCCCATTGTGGTAAATAATCACAAAACAAATTAGAATGGGGCAGTAACAAGGGTTAAACACAAACAACGATTATAAACAAAAGAAAATAAAACGGAAAGACGTACATGTACCTTGTGCGGGCACGCTATGGTCCGCGGTAAATCATCATCTTTCGGCTTCTTCGGTTTTATTCTGAAAGAAAGAAAACATTTTAAAGACAGTTATGAATTATTGAAGAATGGTTTCTGTCTGGAGTTGTCACATGAATAAACTTTTTTTTAAATGGAATTTCTTTTTTAGGGAGGGAGTTCTTCCAAACAGTTAGGCAAAGCAATTTATTGAAATTAATTAGGATTTTTGAAAATAAGATCACTGGTCTCAATTTTCTTGCATCTAACCCCTCGGCCTTTTTGCTAGGATGCATCCTCAATCCTGCAAAATCCTCCAACTGCCTCCATGTACAAATTAGATACGGCCTCAATCCTCCCAAATCCTCTGCTATTTCTTGAATGTGGTTTTTGCAGGGGTGACCACTGCCTCAATCCTGCCAAATCCTCCAGCAATCACGGTAAATATGTTGAGGCAGAGCCAGTGACATCCTGGAGCAGTGTGGAGGATATCAAGTATAATCTAGGCATACATTTATGCACGGCTGAGCATGAACAACACAAGGTCCGGACTAAGACTATGACACAAGTGCATCCTCAAAAATCAGCCACACACTTTGGCCATATAGCCTCAATCCTGCAAAATCCTCCATTTTGCAAAGAGGATTTGGGAGGATTTGGGAAGGTTAGGGTTAAAACAAGGAAGAAGCCATTTCATTTGCATATTTCTGCTGGTTCCACAGGAGCCAGCCTTCAATCCTCTTTGCACCTGACTGACTCACTGACTAACTTACATACATACCACAGTCACTTGTAAAGCCTCACATTGGCCTGAAAATTGGACTTGGATGACAGCCTACACCCTTCTGACCAAATTGGTCTAGAATCAGCTTTAATAGGCCTGCCTTTCAATTTTCCTTTTCAAACCTCTCCACGTCAGCTCAAATTAAGACTTCAGAGGAGTTTTCACAGTTTTGCTATATATGAAAGCAGAAAATCTCAGATTAACTGGTCCCAGTCTTTTTGTCACTGTCCTCGGAATTCTACAAATGTACAACTGTACATGTCAATAACGAGTCAATCAATAACGAGTCAAGCAATCTCAAGTCAAGCCACAACTAACAAGCTGTTGAAATGAACTGTGGTACAGGTATTCCTCTGACACTGTACATTCACTGTTATTTGTGACCATACTTGTGACTGACTTGCAGATGAACTTCACTGCAACCACAGGGGGAAAAACAACTTGCTATAAAGTTTAGGGAATAGTTTACTACCTGGCGAATTCAGCCAGCTGTTTAGGGTCACTCAGGTCAATTCCAGGTATGCCTCCTGGGGGCAACTTCTTGCCGGTCAGGTACTCGGAGTAGTCTGGCGGCTGCTCATATGAACTGTGATGCCCCTGGTCCTGACTTGGAGACAACGCCTGCTGCGAGCCCAGGTCTGGATCATCCGAAAGATTCTTTTTGTCTTCTAAAATGCAAGAGAAAGACAAAACATACGGCATGTCAATTCCACGCCTTCCAGGAGTCACAAGTCCATTCAGACTCCAAACTGACACAGAAAACACAAACAAACAAACAACTAAACCGCAAAAAAAAAGGGGGGGAACCTGCATACCACCATTGATAAAGTATAGTGCTAGACCATAAAGTATCGTGTCTTTAAGAGGTGTAATCCTTCTCTCAGACATTTATATCATTCGCCAGATAAAATTTGTTAAGAGGTGTTCTGGAATGTATTCTTTGTGAACTGAAATTGGCTACTTCTGAAAGTTGGTGTCTCAAAATAGTGGAGTCAAATTTGGGACTGATTCTCTTTAATCCGACCTGGATTCACCCGAGCTACATGTAAATGCATATTTGCCATAACTGTAGTTTGTGCTTGACCTTGTAGTTGTACACATATGCAGTTTCCCTAAAGTTGACACGTGATTGAAGTGATACACACTTATACATCTACATACACAACATACAACAGGAAAATAGTACATGTAGGTGTGGTGTTTGTTGTTATTTGCTAATTTTGTTTGCTTCAGAATGTGGATGTGGTTAGAAGGGGAATGGTTCAAAACCAAGAAAAAATGTTCCTGCGATAGTACCAAGTTGCATGTCACTTCTATTTACCCACATCTTAAGTTAAACATTTATAAGTACATGCATTCTCGACTTTTCTCGTGCCAAAGTAAGAGTACATGTAGTGTTTTAGCCGGAGGAATGGCTCAAGTGGCATCTTTTGTAAGATATTTTAGACACACAAGTATCATGACGTCACTTTGACGGCTCTGTACAAAGTCTATGAGTAATGAAAATTTTCTTACAAAATTGGAAATGTTTGTCAGATCAGATTGGTTTTTTTTTCTCACATTTGCAATGACTAACAATCACTAAGGTCACAAAGTGGAATCAGGATGCAGCCTTCTACTTTACACTTTTCTACAAATGTACACACAAAAATGCACAAAGATTCAGCAGGTTCAACATTTCGTACACCCTTTTCTAAATGCTGATTAGAACCCTGAACCAGAGTGTTATCATGAATCAGCTGATGAAAAGGTCAGTCTGATAACAAAAACAATTCTAGGTAGATACATCTTTTTCATCATTGATACGGTAACTTTGTAAAAAAAAAAAAAAAAAAAAAAAAATTTTAAATATATTAGGCCAAAAAAAAATAAATATTCGGTCTCTGGTCAGACCAAAGTTCCGGAATTGACGCGGGGACGCGGCTTTTTTCTCTTTTTTTGGCTTTTTTTTTTTTTCTTCAAGCTTGGATTGTACAGACAAGGTGGAGTACTATTTTGCTTTTTTGGTGTCCTCATGTACATTGGTGTCCTCCGTTATTGGCCTTGGTGCTCTCGATCATTTGCCTTGGTGCAATTTCCCATTCCTTGGTGCTCTTTGGTAAAAAAAATTGAGGAGGTGCGGCAATAGAGGGCGCTGTTGGAGCTACTGCGGAACATTTTGGAAAAAAAAAAGATTGACGCGCATGATTAAAATCGATGCGCGCGCTGACCAGAGACCGACTTTTTTTTTTTTTTGGCCTAATAAACATCCACCTGAACGCATTGAGTCCAATACTACTATTGCTTATTTGTAAGCAGCTTGTTGATGTCAAGAAAATCTAAAAAGAAAAAAAAAACTGCACTGCAGTAAGCCTATTTTTTGATAATTTGAAAATAAAATTATTTAGCAGTCTTTCAATTGATTTCATTAAATTTAAATTTTTTATTCAAAATGTAACTATGCAGAACAAAATTTTGATTGAGCTTAAGGAAAAACAAATAGTTTACAAACTTGTGAAACAAACATGAGTGCATGACACAGAAGATTAATTCTGCTGGCGCGCATTCAGATCTATGAAACAAATACAGTGAACATGATTTACATAGAATTAGATCCTGAATTAATTGCAAAGAATCACGAGATATATGCAGAAATATCATAAAATACATGTAATCATGGTAATTAGATTTTCTATTTTCTTTCTGCTCTGCTTAAAACAATGTTTTGTTTGAAAAGAAAATTTAACCATGGAGGAATAACTCATACTAGTCATAGTAACTCCTTGTATAATTCCAAAGGCTCCATGCTTCAAAATCAACCTACATGCAAATGAGAAGAAGGCTAATCGTTTTATTCCATTAAAACATGGAGCTATATAACATAATTAATGAAGGTCAAACATGTTAAAACTTTTCCTGCAAAAAAAGGGCACAGACAGGCACATTGGTGAATAATGTGGTTTTTTTTTTTTTTAGATTTTAATGGTTGAACTGACATACCTCCATGAACTAACTGACACAACGTAACATTGAACGTTGCAACGAAATTACGAATCGTCTGATTTAGAAATTCGGTCATGTCGGTAGGGCCCATGCCGAAAACTAGATTGTACTTTGTAGAATGTCAGTTTCGGATCGAATTTACATGATTTACAAATCCGGAACCTTTCTGTTCCTAAATAAAATATTAATGTCTTGTTCTCAAGGCCTAGGTCTTTAACAAAGTAAACGTATTGGATTCTGATTTCGAGATCCGATTTGCTGGACAGATGGGTTGAAAACTCAACACGCTTACCACCCTACGTGTACGTTTTCTCCGACAAAATCCACGCGCCACACGAACAGCCGCCATCTTGGAATTTGACAAAATGTTCGATGCAAAAACTTTGCCCACAAATGACACCGTTGTTAATGACAAAAACCCAGCCAAAATGTACCCATATGAACATGGAAATATCCTCTCATGTGTGTAGATTACGATGGTATTTAGATTGGTAAAATGAAAGAACTTTTTCCACGACTTTTTAGAGCTCAAAATGTCCGACATTCCGAAGCTGCGCCATCTTGAATCGCCATTTTTAAGATGGCTGCGCCCATGCGAAAAACATGGCGAAAAACATGGCCGAAACTAACCAAATGGACAGGTTTTCACACAAAAACGATGTTAATCCTTTGACTTCAAGTTTCCTCAACCATGCAGCATTGATCTAAGAGCTACCTTTGATAAATTCTATCTTTCTTCGACACGAATTTAACAGTTTTTTCCTCCAATAACGCGGACGGGAGTCTCGAATCCTGACACGCAGACCAATCTGCAATGTTTAGGTTTCAAAACAAACATTTTAAAACTTTTTTTGAAACGGTATAGAAATTTTTTAAAAATCAAATTTATCGAATTAATTTAGACTCTTACCTGAAGCCCACATTGTGACCGAAAATTTTCCCTCCAATGTCTGGATTTGCACTTGCTTTTGTTCCCATTTTCTGCTGCCTCTCTCTCCACCATCGAACACGGATTCGCCGCTGGCCAGAACTCTCGTTCTTGATGTTTTCCTACCCTTCTTTCGCTTTGAAGTGCTTCCAAAGTGATCATCCAAATCGTTATTCGGAACAGGTACCGAATCTATGATATATGTAGATCCTCCGAAATCGTCAACATCTCCAACCACCTCTTCTCTTGTTTGCAAAACGATTTCGTCTTGGTCATCGGACAGCTGCTGAAGGGCGATCATCGGTTGCCCTTCGATCGTTTCAACAGTTTCTACCGTTGCCACATTTGCGATGTTGTCGACCGGGATTGTGACAATGTTCTCAGCCGGAATCGTTTCGATATTTTCCATTGGAATACTTTCAATTTCAACCTCGGTGACGGGGATTTCGACTTCTGAATAGCAGACGTCAGCCATCCCTGAATCAATTTCGGAAACATCCGCCATATCTGGATCGGACGCCATTTTTAGGAGCAGACTACAGCTTTCGTCTTTGCTGGGGGTCTAAACGCGGCCCTGGGTGGTGACGCAACTAATATGCATAATGATCGACCATTCAGAGCGATGGAAATAAGGATATTAATCATTTATAAGTCACGTGACATCCCAACTTTCAATAGCTTTACATAATTTTCCGAAATAAAAAGGCTTGAAAACGTAGAAAAGTCCCCTGCGGGAACTAGTATTAATGTTATGATGATCGACTCAATTTAACCGTTCGTTTGCGAAACACATATCAGGAAAGGGGCACACTTTCATGTGAATAGCAAAATGGCTGATTTGCCAAAAATCCATTTGATGCGCGCGCAGTGGCTTTTAGTTTTACAGCATATGACATTATTTTTCCATCAGTCTGAGCTCAGACTAGGTCAAACTTATGTACAGGCTCGGTCAGAACAATTCCTATATGAAGGGGGCCGTATCATAAGTCTGACGCCTCAGAGCTCCGACGCCTATAAGTCCGAAATTTCGGACTTATGGGGCGTCGGACTTATGAGCAGACCCCATACCGCCACCTAGCATTATGTGCACTGCACGCTTTTAATGTTTCCATCCATTCACAGAAATGATACAATAATTATTCCAGGGAGAAATCATCTATTTTACCGCGCACTATGGAACTCCATTAGGCCTACTCGTGTCTTGTTTTCCAGTTGATTATCATAGATCCAAGTTCAAGAACAATGTCAAAAAATGTAGCACTTTCAAAATCTAGGATATAAAAGCCCAATTCGTAGCTTTCATTTAGTACAAGAATCATTCAATCACTCATGTACTTATCAAGTTACGGGATTTTCAACACAACCACCGTTTTAAAATTCTGTCCACGGATCAAAAGAAGGTAAGTGTTCTTTCAGCAAAACGACAACAAATCACATAGGGCCAGGGATGTGTGTGAATAGTTTTCGTTTTGCTGAAAGAACGCACACCTTTTTTTTTGTGATCCGTGGATAGAACTTTAAGCGGTGGTTGTGTTTAAAATTCTGCAACTTGAAAAACACATGACGAGTTATTTGAATGGTTCTTGTACGAAGAGAAAGCTTATGAATTGGGCTTTCATTACGCTAGATTTTGAAAGTGCTACATGCACAACTTCACTAAAACAATAGTCCCGACATTTGGGTTCGCTTTTTTTTACTCACCCTGTATTTCCTTTTTTGTTCGGTGTCCCTTCTTCATTTCAGTTGGGGTTGCCCTCACGACACCTCGAGCGGCCCTTAATTATGGGGTGAAGCAAGAGAGAGGGGGAAAACAACTCTCACACATTATTTAGTTTGGTCGGCAAAATCATTGTTCCATGAATCGTGTTTCTGTTGGCAAATATGCCACAACTTACAGCCCCTCCCCCATTTACAAATAAACATGCAATGCAAATAAACATTGGTTCTTTTTGCATTGATTGCAACGCCTCATCATCCCTATATAGTCTATGTATAGGTCCATGATAATGTGAGCAGATTCGCTGATTAATTAGGCAAGACAACAGCCTCTTGACCTCTAGATTTTGACCAATCAGCGGGCGCTTTCTATATCGGGTTTTCGGTCATTCACCCGTTGCGCGTCATAGACAATGGATACAAAGAACCTGTGTCACGCGCTCTGTATCATGTTACGTGATATGCGCCCGGCTGTTGTATTACAAAACATTGCATTTGAATTGACCAATTAAACCATTAAGTCCTGATTTGGGAATAAAATGACGTCACGATTTAGTAAAGTCAACTCCGACTGACTGGCGCACAGCTTGCATGTATCTGCATGTCTATGCATATATCAGTGACGTTATACAGGAGACTTGGCTCCGTGAATAACGGGTGATACTCAGACAACATCATCCCTAACCATGCGTTGAAACGTCCTGGACTTCAAGACCCTAGCCACGCCCCCTCCTCCTTTGGAAAAACACTGGATTCACTTCTCTCTGGGTTCCCCCTGGTGCCTCCCCGATCACGTCAACACATGGTTCTCCTCTTCTTCTCGTAGCTGTTTTTCGAGCCTGGTCCAGAACACCCTAGCCACGCCCCCTCCTCCTCCTTTAGAAAAACCTGGATTCACTTCTGTTTGGGTTCCCCGGCCCCTCCCCGACACGTCATCAACACATGATCTTTTTCTTCTCGTAGCTGTTTTCAGAGCCTTTCACATGGTGTATAGTCCTCCCAGTGCAGTGATACCGTTCCTTTGCGCAGCTCAGTAGGCCGGCATGTTTTATTCCTTCAAATGTGCTATTGCACGAGCAAATACCTTGTTTGCACGCAATCGTCATGGGGTACGGTCACATTGGAGCTAACGCTAGCCGCAGCTCAACAAAGCTATAACTATTTTTATACCGCGCATTGAAGTCAGAGTTTTAACCTATTATGCATAGACTACATCCCCAGACATGCAGGATATCTAAAAAAAATAATTCTTGAGATTCAAAATAAATAATTTTAAGCTTTATATATACGATGCTAGGCTATAGACCTTTATATTGCTGTCACCATTCCAGTCATGTTCCCTGTATCCAATCACAGTACTGAATGATAATGGTTTTTGTGCAAAAAGGAAACAGACTTTTTTTCCGTCCAGCCTCGCTTTGGTTACGTTGATTTGAAAATGAATGGGAAAAATCAAGATGACCGCAACATGATAATGGTCTATTGCCGCAGGTTCAAATTCCATCCGCCAATTAAAAGTAGTACACAGTGTATATATTGTTGGTTGTATTTGATTTTTTTTTTCATACTTTATTTAGCATTTATTATAGGTTTTCTCGGTCAATTTAGGCAAATGAGCAGCCAATTAATTTTCGTGCGTTCGAATTGAAGCTATTTTGCCTCTCCAGTTGTTACTGCGTTTCAAATTCAGAATTCGGTCATTCAATTTCGTTTTGAGGCATTCAAATTCCTTTAGCACTGTGTTCAAATTAGCATATCGTCATTCTTTTTCGTGACACACAATCATCATTCAATTTAGTAAAGCTGGTTCTACTGGAGATTTTACTGATTTAATTTTTTTCAATTTCGTAAAGAGGCAATCAATTTCGCTTAAAGAGAATTCAAATAAGTACGACTAAAGAAATCCGAATAAACAGATAAACTGTACTAGGCAACTGTTTCGTATCTTCACTTTAATTCAGGCAAACCTTGTTTTCTTTATTTATGTTTCCAGTAGACTTTACATGGGGCCAATGAGGTTTTTTCTTCTTCTTTGTTTTCTTCTTCATTTTTTTTTTTTGGGGGGGGGGGAATCTTTATTGGTGAACTGACCAAGACCTAATTTTGTATTGTGTTTGAATGGGGTGTTTCTTTATGTTTTTCCTGGTTTTTTATTGTTTATGTTGTTTCTTCCTCAACCATCAATCTATTGGCGTGCCAGACATCTTGGCATATATGTTTGGGTATGGTTGTACCACTGCATGCACTTCGCTTGGGTGATGACATCAACGCTCTGGATGGCTGCTTGTTGAAGGAGATCGCACCTCCACTGCTGCATGTTCATTCCTGCTTGCTGGGCAGCCTGTCTGTCTCCGACACGTTGTTGCCACTCAGGTAACCCAAGGATGCGTTTAACTGCAGCCTTGAATGCAGAGTGTGCCATCTCCGTGCTGTTCAGGAATTGGGAGTAGGGAGGGAGGCGCTTCAGCTGGATCATTGGGTTGGCACCTTCGGGGAGTTGGGCTCGCACGTGAGGCCTCGCATTGTCGTATATGAGGTAAATGGGTTCGTCGTCTGGGAAAACTGCATCACACTCTTGAATTGTGTCCGCAAGAAACTCCTCGAGTCTCTCTCGCGTCACAGTTTCGAATGCGATTCGGTGGTGCACCAAGCCTACTTCACTAGAATCAGCGAAGGTGACATTGCAATTTCTCCCTCGTTGTCTGTCGACGAGTCGTCTTGCAGCGATCCCTCGTGAAGCTCTACCCTGGGAGCGTCGAGTCCAGACGTTATAACCTGTCTCGTCAATGAAGACTAGATGCGCCAGAACACCATGCTGCAGGAACCACTCACCATACTGGACGTGTTGATCAAGAACTTCAGGGGAATTTCTTGCATCAGGGACGTCCTCCACTAGTTTCAGTGTAATCATCATCCCATCCAAGGCCCTGGCTATGGTGGCAGTAGAAACCTGGGGCTTCTCTGGCAGATGCTCACTCAAACTAGCCTTCATTTGTTGAAGTGGCAAGACGGGATTAGCGTCAAGGATGCCTTGCAGATGGTTTCACATGTCATCATCCATCTTGCTGTGGGTTGCTCCTCCTCTTGCCAGCGTCTCTCGCCTTCCAGTCCTCAAATTATGTTGCAACACTTGATCTGGCTGTGGACTTGTTGATGTTCAAATTGACCGCAAGCTCAAGGTAGTCTTGCTCGTTTCCCTCGATGGCCTCAATCAACCTTTCTCGATCTACCTGGGCCACTCTAGCGTAGCGATCACGAGCTGCCATTTCTAGAAATATGCGTGTAAAACTGTAGCGAAAGCTCGTCTTCGAAGTACATCGGCAAAGTGACTCAAGTGCCAAAAGGTGAACCGTATTTATGCCTTCAACATTCTTAAGGAAACAAAAATTAACAAAGCGTTTTTTAGATTGCACAAATTCCAGAAATGACTGCCCAAAAATGAATTTGAATGACTAAACACACGCCTCAAAAAGCTCCTGCGAATTTGAATGCTGCTTTGTTGAATTGTTAAATTGCATGATTATTTTGTTAAATCGAATGACGCAACAGTACATTTGACTGGTCATACAACGAAATCGAATGACCCTTTTCAGTAGCATTTGATTTCGCGCGAAATAGAATAGCGTAGTGGTTAAATTGGCTGCTCATTTGCCGAAATTGACCGAGAAAACCTATAGTAACCTGAAAGTTTGCTTAATTTAATATTTTTCTTACTTAAGCCCCGCCCTACATGCACTTTCCTGACATCAACAATACATTCGAAGCGCGTCCAATCCGTCCATCATTGTTTAAGTATGAACTTTGGCTATAAAGCTTTTCATGGAAATTGGTAGGCCTAATGCCTGCCTCAGCCCACGTTGCGTAGAGATTTGAAGGAAACACACCAAGCGCGTATTAACGTTGGCTATAAAGCTTTTCACAGAAATTGGTGATCCCTGCCTTAAACCCACGTTGTATATCGATTTGAAGGAAACACACCCTAGTCACGCCCACTTATCTGTGCCAATCATACGGCCGCCCACGTCGCGCGCATTATATGTGCCGTGATGCCTTTTTTCACGAAACCGCTTGCCAGCGTGCGAGTCTGAAACCAGACCAAGATGTTTCGCCGTTTTGGAAATAACGTATGCAGTAAAAGTTTAGAAGCTAGGATACGGAAGCTGCAGAAGGCCATCATCGGTACTTCCGGATAAAAATAATTATAACGCAGTCATTCAGATACTCTGCAAATTGTTTGTGACCGCATGTATACGTTACGTTGAATCGATATCTTTTATGAGAAAAATAAAAGAATAGTCCTCCTTTTTGTTCAGTGGCGCACCCAGGATTTGGCTGGGGAGGGGGAGGGGGGGGGGGAGAATGAAGGCTCCAAAAAAATGGCCGCAGAAAATAATATTTTTGGGGGGCGGGTGGGAGGACGATGTGGAAGGTAATTCTGTCCCCCGGTAAAACTGTCCGGGGGGACAGAATTACCTAGGTAAAAGTGTCCTCCCCGGCCCGTTAATTCTGTTCCCCTCCAGGTAATTCTGTCCCCCAAGTTTTTTTTGTTCCCCCTCTATTGAAACCCGGAAGGCCAGTTCTCTTTGTTTTTATGAATTCACTCTACAAGGTATACATTTTGGACTTTTAGTCTGCCCTTAATGAATATCAAAATATTTAATTTGGTCTATTCATGGAGGAATAATTCCTCCATGGTCTATTAGATGATTCCTCCATGTGTGAACACAATGTTTCGATTTGGAGTACGGTGAAATCTATCGCGATTCTACCGCGATAGGTCAATACAGCGGCGATGCATGGCGATGGCCCTCCTCTCATTGATACAACGCCTACTTGGATTGATGTGTTCCCATCATACAGCGCGTAATGAAAATTCCTATTGGATGAATTTCCATTGTAGAGTGAGATGCATAATTATGTACACATGTGATAATCACTGCCACATATCTTGCAGCATGTACTGGCGCGCGCGACACGCTGCTGCTCTCAGTACATACTGCATGGGGACACATTTACCAGGGGGACACTTTCACCGTTTGGCAGGGGGACATTTTTACCTGGAGGGGTACAAATCTACCTAGGTAAAAGTGTCCCCCCGGACACATTTACCGGGTCACGAGCCGGTAAATGTGTACGGGGGGACACATTTACCAGGGGAGACAGAATTACCTGTCACAACGGACTATTTTGGCGTTGGTGGCGCCATTACATCCCATTATACTACTCGAAAATAGGCCACATACATACCAGTACGGTGAAATCGAGGGACTAAACGAAATTGACAACCTCTCCCCCCCCCCCCTTCCCTCCTTGGGTGAGCAGATGACTTTGTTTCCCAAAACCTTTTCGTAATACTCCGGGCAATGACAGCAGAGGGCGTTATTTGGCACACTTAAAGCCCCCCCCCCATGAAACCTTGTCGCCCCCCCCCCCCACTGAGATTTTGAGTTTCTAAAAAATGTATTATTGATCTACATAACGCCCCCCCCCCCCATGAAATGTTCCAGCCCCCCAGCGCCTGAAGCGCAGGGATACATACGTCGTAGACTGAGCCGCGAACCATTAGGTTAAGACGAGTTTTGTCTGTATACAACAAGACAATCACGTGTTGATGCACTTGTACTAGTTTGGCCGGTTCAACTACGGGGAACTGAGGAACGGAGTTTTATTCTAGAGGGAAAACTCAGTTTAAAAAAACCCAGCAAATCAACAAATACTTTAGTTTTCTATAAATTTTGAGCGCTAGTGATTGGGGTCAAGAGGACAGGTCTCAAGCGGGTAGGGCGTCCCCTGCCACTCGCCAATGCTCCAACTCGTAATACGCGGTAGAGGCAAAACTCTACATACACAACACATTAGTATTACACTCATGTTGTGCTATAGATACGGCGCGTCTCACCATGGAGCTAAAAAAAGAAGGAAAATAGCTCCATGGTATCACTTAGTGCGACGTGTTTTCTAAAATGAATCGTAGGACCACTTGCCATGCCATTAATTTTCGTATCAGCGGTGTAACTTTTTCTTTATTTTAGAGGGCTTCAAAATATACACGTGTGATGATAAGGCCAATAATAAAATATGTCGGTCTCTGGTCAGCGCGCGCGTCGATTTTAATCATGCGCGTCAATCTTTTTTTTTCCAAAATGTTCCGCGGTAGGTCCAACAGCGCCCTCTATTGCCGCACCTCCTCAATTTTTTTTAACAAAGAGCACCAAGGAATGGGGAATTGCACCAAGGCAAATGAACGAGAGCACCAAGGCAAATTATGGAGGACACCAATGTACATGAGGACACACCCAAAAAAAAAATAGTACCCCACCTTGTCTGTACAATCCAAGCTTGAAGAAAAGAAAAAAAAGGGAAAAAAGAGAAAAATCCGCGTCCCCGCGTCAATTCCGGAACTTTGGTCTGACCAGAGACCGAATATTTTTTTTTTTTGCCTAATACATAATCACTACCGCAAATTTTGCAGCATGCACTGGCGCGACGGGCTAGTATGCTCTCCGAAACGTTCAGTTTACCTCTGTTCTTTTTCAGAACTTCACAAAGACACAAACTCACAAAAGAGATTCGTATCGTGCTGCTACCATAAAGTTGCTCTTTGTTTGCTATCTTCACCATGGAAAACCTTCAAATCTTATCAAACAGTCCCTCCACATGAATGTCTATAATAGGCATCCGTAGAAAAATACCACGACAACTGCCCTGTACGGCATGGACTTTGTAATTTTAATGATTACTATTTGGTGCGTACCAAATTGGGTTACACTTACAGCAAAACTCGATATGCCAACCCGCGGCGGCCGAGTTTGTCTGTGGTTTAAAGGGAAGGTACATTATGTATTTCGTTGAATTCAAAATTTTGATTTGTTTCCCCCCATATCAGTCGATGTCTGTCATCACATGGAGGTAAGAAATCTTCTATATCGCACTTGTTTCGTACAAAAACTAACATTTGCTCAATCAATGCAGTGCCGAGTTGGGAGAGTCCGTTATTGTCATTGATCTCCGTTCAGTGCATGTACAGTACATGTATATGCTGTGCGCAAAGGTCGAGCTTGTGTCGTTCCATGAGTGCACCGAGTTTCCCAGTTACCGATTACGTACGATCGTATCAATGCCCAATTGAAAATAGAATCAACCGGCACAGCTGTGTACCATACTAGCAATCCTAGCGCGCAGCATGCAGTGCATATGAATGATATGTAGACTGCAGTCCTGGAACGAGAACTTGGAGAAGTTGTACTCAGAATTAGAAATGATCGACAAGATAAGATCACCTGATGGTGAGAAGTACTCTGTTTTGCGGTCAGCTTGAAAAATGAGGTGCGACTTCACTCATGCTTAAGTTCAGTGTTTAGCTTCATACTCAAGCCTGCCTACTTCAGTTCAGTGTAAGTTATTATATTATTAAACGAGGGTGTTTCACTTCCTCGGCAACTAGTAACTACCCCTATCCCCCTATGCCGGCTTGTTACATTCACAAACCACATACATGTTTAGGCATATCAAATGCGAAGCATGCTGTATTACTAATCCTTAATAATATACAGTCAACAAGAACAACCAAAAAAAAAACCTTGGGAGTAACTTTGGAATGCAGGGCCACGCGTCGCAAGAGCAAGGTTTTGGTAATCCTTACTTTTAGGACACCTCTATTTTGTATGAGTTCTGTTCAAAACTGACTTTTGCAGATGACTGTCCAGTACCAAAGTGACTTTTGCAGGCTAAAGAAGTCTTTTTTTCTTCAGACAAACTCATGTTAGTTAGAATTTTGAAAGCACTTTCTAAGAAAATGTGACTTTCCTACAATTTTTTTGCAGTTCGCCATCTTGCTTTTTTAATATATTTTCTGTTTGTCATCGTCGTCTTTAACCCCTCATAAATCAAAGCCCTGCCCTCTTTCTACAAAATTAAACCTGCTGATATTCAAGAGGTGTCATTGCCAAATGTTCCAATGTGCCAAGAAATATCAGAATGTCACTTTTAATTGTCATTTAGTCAGCTGTTTTGGTGAGTCTTTTAACCTTATATAGGAAAGGGGTCCTAAAGTTAAGGATTACCAAGGTTTTTTTATGTAGGATGGGTTGCCCAATATTATCGCGGTACTTATCACGTTTCTCGTTCGGAATAGAGATTGCCCACTAACTTTCCCGAATTGTCCTGTCCCTGTCTCTTTTGTAGTAAACTCTTCCTTTTCAAATTGATAATGATATAAAAGAAATTGACGGTGGTGTGGTTTATTCTGTATACGATGCCTGTGAAAATAGGCATGCTCGCGGAGTGTGCGAACGGAGGTGGACTCCCTATTATTGCGGTATGCCGGAAGTGGTTTTTATAATGATCTTACTGTTCGACCAAAACATCCCCAGAATAAAGTCTGATATTTTCCCTGTAGTTGATTAAAGACTATATCATGTCTGCAGGATGATTTCTTAAGACCCTGCCCTTCCCCTGAAAGGAGAACACAAATCACTGACGTATTAAGTCTACTGATTGGCGATTGGGGGCGCCATTCACTTTACATGGTGTGCCGTTTTATTTTTGTTAACGCGCTGTGCTTAGTTTGATCCCGTAAAAGTTTTTACGATTTCGTGGTACAAATATCGTCCTTCGACTTCATTTTACATTTGCAGCTGAAGAATGGGAACCAGACAATGGAACTTTCATGGACAGAGCACCATTACAGATTTATGTTAAAATACAGACGGTACCTTTTAGCAGGCACGGTGAGGGAAAATTTGCAAGTTTTGGAAAATTCGTTAAAAGTCACGCAAGACACAGCATTTTTTAATCGTCCTTTTTATACAACTCGGCAAAAATCCTTAATGACTGGTGAACTGGATAAAAATCACCATTTGAAGGAGTTTTGGCAACGCAAAAAGAGAAATTTCCCATGCCGCGATAATAGGGATGCTGCGATAATAGGGAGTCTGACTATACTTGGAGCCTTGGATCGAGGCCGGCGATGTGAGGATAGGAGTAATGCCGTTAGAGAGAACGATGTCAGGAATTGATTAAAAAGTACAATAATATGCAGACGCGCAAAAAGTGCTAAGTACAGCAAATGCACTTGTCTCCTCAAGGAAGGGAGGGCGCGCTTGTGACGGGGCACTGGAGGCGTGGAGTCGCGGAGTTGCGCGCCGGTAGAGGGCGCAATTCTCGGCGGTAGGATATCCATATGAATGATCCTAGGACTACATTTTTTTGAGAACAAAGCATCCATATCCATATTAATTTCCTCGCAAAGGAAGAGAGGGCGCGCTTGTGACAGGGCACTGGAGCCGATGAGGCGCGGAGCCTTGGAGCTGTCGAGTCCTCCATGGCTCCACGCAAAATGATCCTAGGACTACATTTTTTTGAGAATTTCCTCGCAAAGCATCAGACGGGAGGGCGCGCTTGTGACAGGGCACTTGAGCCGTGGAGGCACGGAGCCTTGGAGCCATGGAGTCGCGGGGCGGTAGAGGGCACAATTCTCGGAGGTAGGTTGGGTCGACTGCGGCTCCAAGGCTCCACGCAGCCATATGGACGTGCGGATGTAGAGTGGAGTGGCCCTGTATTTTATAGTTGTGCCCTCACGTTCAGTCCTCTCAAAGAAAAAGGGTTGGATCGATCCCGATGGTGCAAAAAAAACCCCAATGAAACCAGTCCCATTTCCGTACCGAAGCCACAGTTTGAGTTTTAACGTGCCAGCGAAGCATTGTTGGCGTGACGTCAGAGAAGTCTGAGTCTTTTGGTCTGGGGACTGACCGCAGACACCGTTTATAGTGCATATCGAGGGCGGCGTCAGACGGGCCAATCACAAGGCACCTGGAGATTTTGAGACGAAATGTTCACACTCAACTTCCATTTATCAGGCATGCAACTTTTCCTCGGATCAGCTGATTTCCACTCTTTTTACTTCCCATGTGTGCCATTGAAACTAGAAAAACACTGTACAAAGACTTGGAAAAATTTGAATTTCCTCTTTTTTTGTGATTTCCCAGTTGCATGCCTGATTTATACAAAAGTGCAATTTTTGTCGGTATCATTTGTCATAAATTGCATAATTTTGTACACGTTATCGCTATTTTGTGCCAAATAAAGAGTATGGCTGGAATGCCAAGGAATTTTTTTACGGATTAGTCGTTATTTGAGTCGATATTTGCAAATGTTGTACATATTAATCTTACACTATGTAAGATTCTTGGAACTAGAATCGTGACTCCATTGCAGCTGACTTTAGTTATTCGAGAGCCAGTTCTTTGCTCTGTGGTTCAAGTCAGTTCCCAATTGGTGCAAACTGCAAAGATGGGCCAAATCCAACATGAGTTTGAAGCTACCGTACATGTACGGTACCATAGATGTACTGTCAATTCTTTTGAATAACTTGATTTGTTCCACCTCTGTGATTACACCTTATTGTGAATTTTATTTGGGTTTCTTTTCAGGGAGTCTTTCAGGGAGTTTTGACTCACTGCAAAAATATTTGTTCAAAAATTTTGAAATGAATACCAAGCTGATTTTCAAGGCTAAGATCCCTATTTAAAAGTTGCTTTATCCTCGCTGTTTAACATCTTTTTTTTCTCCTAACAATTTTTGAATTGGAATGTTGCATTTGAAAAGAAAAGAAGTAAAATGAGCTACTTCTGCTGTGGACGTTTTTAACCCTCTAAAAATATGCCTACATGTATTTACCTAAGTTACCTTTTACTTTGGTTACTTTTGCATCCTTAGGCCTATGGCACAAGGCCTGTGTCGTTGTCAGGCTGCAAATAATTTGATATTTGTAAAGTGGATATTCCATATTAACTAAATGAGGGCAGTTTTTTGGGGGTCAGATGTCTCATTCAAAAGTGGGTAAATTTTGTATTGCTAAAAAAAGAGCAATGTAAACATAATGTGGTTTCAGAGGTGAAATTAAAGAATAATATGACACTGGACATGCTGGAGAGAAACTGCAAATAGAAAATCTGTAGTTTAAGTGTAGTGGGCAGACTGGGACCTTGAGTGCAGAATAACATGCAAAAAAAATTCAGGCCAACTTTACTGACTCTTTAGCCGACAAAAGTCTCCAGAACTTTCGTGAGGCAAAGACAAGGTTCTCAGTATTTCACCAGCCAATTTTGAAGTCTCAATTCTATTTTTAGAGGAGACTTTTCTTCAATATTTTGCACCTGAGAGTGAAGCCAAGTGATGTCAATTCGAAGCCTAAGACTAGACTGGTACTGTGCATGTCCAACTGTTTGTAAAGACTAGACCTCTCCATTGTCTGGTGGCAGACTACATGTAGGCCTATATGGAGAGATTTGTACAAAATAGAGACCGATACCATATGTTTCTTTTGACACAGTTGACTGATGACGTACTAAAGGGTTGTTGGACTGGTGTTTCATGCGCCAGTCTATTTTCTGGTGTTACATGTTCAATGCCTTAAGTTTTAAGACTCTCATGCACTGTATTGAGACTAGAGTCCCAAATTTTCGGAATAGTGCAGAGGCAGATCCAGGGGTGCAGAGGCCCCCCAACCCCACCCCAACCCCATCCCCAGCCCGGCAGTGACCTAAATTTGATCTCAAATAAGATCTCAAATATGATCTCAAATAAGGCCATTTAACTCTTAAGAGAGCCCTTCCCTAGTTGTCACTTTTCATGGTTTCTATTTTCTTGCTCTCAACCATTCCTTAACAAGTCAAACATTTCGGGGGAAGTCCACAAATTCAGACTTCAGGTACCTAAAGAAAACATCCCTTTGTGAGTTTCTTCCTGACTAACTGTTGCTGTACTCTGTACAATTTTCACAGTATACCCCCGGTACACTGAATGTAGGCCTATAGCTGTCATGGTTCATGGTTTCTGTTTTCTGTCTGCTTTGAGCTACCTGTAGCCTTTCAGCATTGTGTTCAGTTGATCACATTCCAGAATTACCACAATTGAGCAGAAGTTTGCTCATTACCTTTATTAAGATTTTGCGGTTTGAACTTTCCCGAGCCAGTAGACTGTGTCCAATTTCAATGAAATCTGAATTGTTATTTAATATTCTGAAGACTTTCCAAACTTGTTTTTTTAAAACAAAAAAAGGAATTTTGAACCACCCTACATGTAAGATTCCTTTTAGCTCGCAGTTCAATCAGTTGCATGTGAAAAGTGCATTGTGTGACTTGGCCCTTAAAGGGAGTTTGGCTTTTGCTGTAATTTTCAGAAATGAACTATTTGAGGGGTTAATATAATAGATCAAATATTGTTACACTGACAAGTTTGAAGTTTTGTTTGAAAATGCTGGAAAAACCAAGAAAAACAAAAATGTTCAAGTAGTCTGGTTCCCTGACTCCACTAAACATGAAATGAATCAATTTATAGATGCCAGAAAATTGTAAGGTAAGGAAACCAGTCTAGCTGGCCTGCACTTATTCATGAACATGTAACCAATAGCAAACAAACTTTGGATTGAAAAAAATGGTAAATTTGGAGCAGTAGTTGAAAAATAGTTACGGTGGTCGGCCGACCACCGTTGGAAATTTATACAAAATACCACTTTTCTTGAAAATGACTTCACACCAGGTGCCATAATTTTACAGGATGCTTTAGACTTTCATTTACCAACATCCTAGTAAGCTATTTCGTAAAAATTTGGTAGTTTTGTTTTCCAATGTTTGCAAATGTTGTATATATTCCCTTTAAGGTTCACTAGTCACCAGCTCATAGCACCCCCATAACACTGTACTTTTCTTTCCTTTTCTGTGTAGCAGCATTCATTCCCGGGAACTCCACACACAACTATGATTGCCGGTGAAGGATATCCACCTTCCCATTCCGACCGTCCGTCACACGAGGTGCGTCACCTCATCACCAGATCCAGCAGGCACAGTGGGCATGCCATGACGGCCCCAGTAGTGACTAGTCTACCCAGATAGTTGTTAGCCCTCCTCTTGACGTCAGCTTGCCTTGTTCTCTGGTTCTGAGGACTGAAAAGCAGATTGGCTGAATGCACAGTACATGGCTCAGCTACAGCAAACACCTGTGGAATTGGAGGAGGCCCACACGATGGACGCTTCAGCACCGAGCAAGGGAGGGGCCCAGGCTGGCTCGACCCATGCGGCTGGGGGGTCGGTAGCAGCCTCCGAAGAAGCCCCGAGAGCGCTGGATGCCAACAAGCAAAACGGGCAGAACGGTGTGTCATCAAGGTGGATAATGGCTTCGGATTTTATCGCTGGGTGTGTTGGAGGTGAGTTACAGGCTACGCTTGAGTCCCCCGTTGAGGGACGATGAATCAATTTTGTGGGATGAATCAATTTTAGCCGCGCATCCCCTTTTGTAATACGATACCTGTATGATGTGTTCTAGAATTAAATAGAGTGACGGTAAGCAGAGGCTCAGACTTCAAATTCTTAAGCAGTGAGGGATAATTTCATAAACCCAAACTTTTTCTGTTCTATTTTCAGTGAAATAATGATAAATTGAAGCTTTTTCTGCGTGCAACTGATTTGTTTCTTCATGTTTTTCACCCCCGTACATGTAGTGTATCGGTATGTGTACATGCACATTTAACCCTCCTATGGTAACATGCAATGTCAGCCTGCTTATTACTTGGGTCAATATTGGTCAAGACCCCCATTGGTTTGTACACAGTAGGCCAGGAGGTGAGGAAGAAAGTTTTGACCATGGGTGACCTCTTAAGCAAATGGGAGTCATTTTTGTGTATTGATCACTTTTGTCGGTGTTCCTGTCAGACATTAACCACCAAGCCTATATAAATAACTTCACCACAATAACCAGAATTTGTTGGCAGCGTTCCATGGCAGAAAGCTGTGGGGATTTCCCCTGTTGAAATATCATGTGATGGCATGCATGTTATCTCGATACATATGGTAACGTTTTGATTGGCCAAGCATACATGTAGGAAAGACTTGTATTATATTCAAATGTATCATATCCCATGGTCATCATGACTATTTATTAGCCTGTGTACTCATTTATTTGTCAAAATGCCATTCCATTTTGGGAAGTTAAATCAATTAATTCATCACACCGTACATTCCCAAAGAACATCAAAGTAATGTTCAATTTTTGACTCTGTAATGCATGTGAAGTCACAGAGCGACTTTGATTAAGTACAATGTAACTTACATGTATTTCAAACAACACACAGTGTACACATTTTATGTACAAATGTATGTTCAAAATGTTGCCTTTGGAAATGTTCTTTATAAAATCAGCAATTCACCTTTATTTCAAATGTTGTATGGCCAAGTAAATAAATAAACTTGTTTCTCGTCCCCGCCCCCTTCCTTTTTTCCCAGCCGCCTCCTTTAAAAGTTTCTTTTTTAAATCAATTATTTGCAACATGTAGGCCCAATTTTTTCTTTTATATTCTTCCAGCAAAATTGTAGCTACAGTACCGGTACATGTACCATGTACAGTATGCAAGTTTAGAATCTGTTTTAAGGCGTTACGGCTCATTTGGACTCAAAAGTATCAGCAAAAGAGTCAAGAAAATGGAAGATGCCATCATTAAAAATCCGCTTTCTTAAAAAAAAAGGGGGTGGGGAGAAAAGGTCTCCTCCTTTTTTTCAAACAGCACGGACGAGACACTTATTTTTGTTTTACTTGGCCTACGGTATGATGCTGCATCCAAATTCCTTGGCTTACAATGTATTTTCCATAAGTGCATGCATGTAAAGTCAAGTACATACATTTCGTGTACATGTGTACATGTACATGTACATACTTATGTACGGAAGTCAGAAGCAGGTGTACATTGTACCATGCATTGTGCACCCACCTGTTGATGTCTATCATCTTAACAACATTTTACCCACTCACATAAGTGTGTATTTGCCTGCAATCGAGGACCCCCTATTGTCCCTCTTTGTTTGTACTCTTAACTTTTTAGGAAGACCTCCCATATGATTTGTACACAAATCCAAATTGGGGATCTCTCAGGAATTGGGGACCATTGTCCTCTATTGTTCAACGTCCCCTAATGAATGCAGAAACAAACTCACCCACGCAATGTATTTATGCGCAATTTACATACAATAAGGTTTGGTCAGACATCTATATCCCTTACTACAACAAGCTGGAGTAATACAATGTACCGGTATGTACGTACCGGTACATTGTACTCTCAAACCCAATGTTTAGGCGGTTTCAGGCAAATACTTCCCCGGATAAAAATCAGATTAGCTTTCAGGAATTTCTGCTTTCTCAGCCCAACATTTGAAGAAAAAAAAAATTCAGTAAAAAATTATTGACAGACATTAAGACAGTGGTTGGGCAGCCCCCCCCCCCCCCCCCCCCACAAGCTCCAGTCCCTTCAAATGGGCCGTTTCTCTCAAACCAAATCTTCAGGCAGTTTCAGGCAATTTGAAAAAAAAATGATTAGCTTTCAGGAGTTTCTGCTCCCTCAGTCAAACTTTACGTGTAGATTTAAAAAAAAAAAAGTTTCAAGGAAAAAAAATAGGAACAAAAATGGTACCGGTAGGCCCACCATTCATGCAAGCTCCTGTCCCATTCAGCCATTCCTAATCTTCCGACAAGTACAATGGCCTTGTTTTTTTTCTCCTTTCAAACAAGTTGGAGAGTTCTTACCCATTGGCCTAATGGCAAAAGTGCAAGTTGTTGACTTAGTATTCCATTACTGCATGGCTGCCAGCGTCAATACTGGCACCTGTTATGTGATGGCAGGTTTAAACTTCACCTTTGCCTACTGGTTTTTAAACTTTCTTTTCTTTTTCTTTTCCCAACCATCTCGTGTTAAAATCCAGGGGCTGCAGGCGTGCTGGTTGGGCAACCGTTTGACACTGTGAAGGTATTGTATTTTACATGTATTTCTTTTTTTTTGGGGGGGGGGGGTTGGGAGAGGGGGCGTTCTGTGCAACATGGTTTTCGTTTTTGACCACGGCATTGCTTAGCGAGGGGTGCCAGTCATCAAGACATTTGCTTACTGGTCTCGCGATTGAAATTGCAATTTTTAGGGGACATACTTAACTTCCTTATATAATATCTTCCTTTTTCGAAATTTTTTTGAAATGTTTGCGTAGTATTTTTGCATAACAGTAATTGCTTAAACTAGGCTCTTGAGCCTTACAAAAAGTTTAAAGCCCCCCCCCCAATAAATTGTCCATGCAACCAAAATGTTGATGCCTTTTACTCAGATTAAGTAGACATCGCCATAAGGACATATTTTGACATTGTGACTTACTGAAATTTTGAGTTTACATGTATACCTACCTGTAACTTCAAGAGAAATTATTTTGTATTATTTTGAGACAGAAAAAAAATCCTGCGTTGTTTTCTGTTGACACAAAGTTTTGTTTTTTAAGTGGTCCAACCATGCCCCGTCACACAGAGACACATGGCTAGCATTTTTTTTCCCGATATCCTCTTCTCATATCAAACTTTTGATTTTTCGAATCTGATTAAAAAAATGCTATCATTTTTCTATATCACATTGGTAACGAGTGATCGAGTAATATCGATAATCAGTCCTTCTGATTTGAAAGTCACAGGTGTGTGGAAAACGCACACCTGGATTTATCTAGGCGTGTGATTTTTCTAGGCGTGTGATTTTTCTAGGCGTGTGATTCTGTGGTCCAAGCTGGGACCGAACAATCTGGCATTGTTTTTCAAAATATTCATCTTGGTTTACAATACAGCCATATTCTCTTCCCCGACGTACTTTATTTTTCACAAATTATGAAGTGTAATTATGCCGTAAATGTATGCCGAGGTGTGCGGTGCTGAGGGATTCAGGCGTGTGATTATTCGCACTTCTCGGGAAGCATTTAGGCGAGTGATGGCGTGGGGGTGTGATCGCACGCCTCAAAACAGAGGGACTGATCTACAGAGTGTACGTACTTCTCTGTCTTTGAGATTCCAGCCTTGGATCTCACTTGTTATCACCCTATCCAAGGATGATCTTGCTGGCCACCCCCACATAATTGTTATAGGCATTTACAAATGTATGCATTTATGTGCCTATGGGATCTTTTGCTTTCCATGAATTTTGTTCATTTCCAATAATAATACCGCTCCTTATCCAAAGAAACATTTCAATTTCTTTGTTGATGATATTACATTTATTGAGAAAACCGTAAAAAACCATGCACAACAATTAATAATAATAATAATAATAATAATAGTGGATATTTATAAAGCGCACATATCCACCAGGACTGGTGCTCAAGGCGCTACATCATTATTACCCCTGCTCATTGGGAACCATGAAACAATCCAAATACCATCTCAGCTCCCTGGGGAGTATACAGCTCGATGCAGCCTGTTAGGCGCAAGGAAGCTAATTCAATCACCAATAGCACTCTTTTTTCCATCCATTGGCCGATAGTTGGAAATCACCGACATTTTTTTTGATTTTGTCTATTAATGACAGCAAGCCAGACGGAATAAATGTGCTTGACGGGGTGTTTAGTACCAGTACAATCTTTTATTCCAAGTCACAACTGTTTGATAATAATTCAGTAGGATTTATGCAAATTGTTCCTACATGTGTATTTTTAAAGCCCGAGTCCATCATTTGCAGATATCCAAAAAAGGAACTGGCGTAATTATTGTTGAAAAACATACTGGTTGAAAGATAGTAAGGGGACTAAACTCCCTGTGAAATTATCCTTTCTGGCAAGCTCTCATTTTGAAGAAATCAACGAAAGAAGGCATTTCCAACGGTGCTTCTTAAGAAGCACCGTAGGAAAGTTTAAATTAGTTGTTCGTTTTGTTATTCGGCGCAGCGCGCACAAGCATTGGAACGACGCACAGGTGCGTGCGGTTGCTATAATTCGTCAGATCAGTGCGCCACATCGCGTAAAGCTGCAATTCAAAACACTTCGAAACATGATTTAGCAACTTTTGAATTTAAATTGAGATCCTAGAATGTTGTTTTTCTTGGAATATGAAGCTGAAGCTGAGCTGAAACTTCATCAAGTAAGTTGTTCAGTATCCTTCATTAGATTTTGAACACTTTTGTTGCTTCAAACGAACAAAATGCACTAATTACAAATGATGAACTATAGCTTTAAGGATGCTTGTCCTTGAAGTTAATGACCTGTGTACAGTGCATGCAGTGATACAGCGGGGTGTGGTACAGCATTCTCCAACTCATGATTGTATCATGACACTATTGCAACATTAAATTCCCTAGATGCGTTTGAGACATGCATGTATGCCTTCACATCAGTGTAGACTGCAAGTCTTCCGTTCCGGTTTCCGGAGTCATGTGCAAATGTGATTTGTTGCAAGAGTTGTTTTGGAACGTTTCCAACACTAAGTCAAACTTCTTCATATACATTTTTTGTAGGCTACATGTACCGCGCCACATAGGCACCATCTGTAGATATGTGAACGAACTACTTGGATTTTTTTTCCACTTTAGAACATGCAAATTTACATACAAAGCCAACTTGTCTGGGATGAATGTCATGTTGCCTCCAAATCCAGATGGGCAAAAGAAGTATGTGATATGCAGTACCCATTTGTGACTTTTTGTGATAAACCCCAAGTTCGCCCAACATGCCCAAGGCACAGAATGTTTGTTCTCATGAATCTTCCTAGATCCTCCAAAATCATTCTGTGTAGTTAAACTTTCATGATGGATTTTTGTAAGAGCCTAAGAAGGTTAGGGTCAAAGGGCACATGCAATGTAATTTTTTTAATGCAGTCCCCGAAAATACACATTGTGTCCCACTTTAACCCCATTTAAATTTCATTTTTTCGTTTTACGTAACCCCATTTAAATTTCATTTTCAAGGGTATTTTGGTGCTTTTTGGATTTTTATGCTGATGCAAATGTCCATATTCATGAGCAAAAGTGTGATGTCATTTCAGGCGGACATCTCAATATTACGTATTTCGGCACCAAAAGTTTTCAGAATTTTGTTGTTTGGTGATTCATTGTGTCAGTGCACGGCAGTAAGCCAACATGGCCAATGTGCAAACTTTTCTCACAAATGTTTTCAATGAGCAAATTTCGGATTCACAATTTGAACAGAAAAAGCTGAACAGTGTCTTCCTGAAATGACATCACAGCAACAGCCCCCTCAGTTGTACGGAAAAGCATTGACAATTTTAAATATTTAAAATAAAGTGCACTTTCTAATAAATTTAACCAAAAAGGGATGTCAAACAGTTTTCATACATTTAAAAGGAGTAGAAAGTTGCACACAAAATGTTTCTAAGAAAGATTTAATGTACTTCATGGCCCTTTAAAGGAATCAAACTAATTAGATACACACATCCATTGAACCATGCCAGAAGATCAGGCTTGTGATTGAGTGGCTATGTGTACATGTATTTCATCATTTGAAATGCTTTTTGGTTTAGAATCAAGTCACTTACTGTACCGTATACATCTTTTCTGTTGAATTATTTATTTTTTGTTGAAAATTTGGCGGAGTTTGAGTATGCGAATATTTATATGGCCCCTTATCTCAGTCATTTGGTGGTTTAGACAATTTTGTTGAGAAAGGAAATTTTGAGGAAGGTCCAACTTAACCTCTTGGAGTTAGCTGTTTATCAGAAGTATCAAGACTGTGCCATGTCAATTGGGTTTCTGCAGATTGTAGGATTTTGCAGAATTTGGGCAGATCTCGATAAAACCGGCCTCTGATGGAACCATTGGCATCATCACAAAAGTCATGCTTGGGTCACAAAACTGAGAAAGGGTGTGATTATTGTGGAACAAGTGGCATCTCAAGACAGAATAATTGCAGCCATGCTCATGTCGCCTACGATGCGACAACAATTCACAACAAAATTACAATGATCCAGACACGACATTGTAATTTCACACGGGTCCACTGCGATTCATTCCCGGCTTTCGGGCACGAAATTTTTCTACTTGTTTGGAGTTTCGACTGATGCCGATCGTCTTAACATTGTCACAGTTGCACTCAGGTCGCAAAAGAAACCGGCACCTGATGTTCCCGATGGTCGTACACGTACATGTACATGTACATGTAGCTAAAGCGCAGCCTCATCCTGAAAAGTCAGTCCGAGTCGCCGACTGTTCTGTTTCATCGCAAGGCCCGCCTGAGGGCGGTTTAATACAAAAAATTGGAGGAAGTGGTCTTGAATATTGAAATGAGTATCGAGTACCGTACATGTACGTGTATGTAATTTTTTGGTCATTTCTTCACAAATGATCTCTCCTTAAAAGTAATACACTTAAATTGATATGAACAAAAATACAAATGTACAATGTATCTTGCAATTTGATAGAAAGGACATGTTTAATCGACTTGCTGGTTAGAAAATGCCATCACAACTCTGCATGTACACGTACCGTACCATGTACAATGTATACTTGTACATTATCTGAACAAATTTGTGCAGTGATTGTCACTAACATGACTAAGCTGTTGTGTTCACTTTACACAGTTTGGGATATTTGGTTAAGCAGGGGCTCAGCTACATTTGCTTGACTTGCATTTTTCTAAAGAAGCTTATTGAATATTTATGCAGGCTCTTTCTGTCTCTGTTATTCATAAAATATAGCCACACAAACACAAAAATCCCACGTATAGAGTACACGCAACAAATGCACATCTTTGCCAGTTTACTTTTGTACCCGTGTGCCGTCATAGGTGCCTAGAGTTACGTCATTTATAGTACGTGTGTAAGTTCAACATTCGATTGGCAACAGCTGATGAATAGACGTCAGCGAATGTTACAGAAGATTTCCAGCAGGTTGCATTGTTTTGATGAAATACAATTTAACGATTTGGAATATACATGTATTGATATAAATTTACATTGCACTTTCAAATTCTGGAATTCTGTATTGTGGATGCAAATTTT